CCTATCTCTTATCTTATTCATTATCCTAACGAACTTTAACTCAAACCCTAACCCCAAGTTAGCCCTAACCCCAACCCTGCCCTAATCCATCCATATCCCTATTTTAACCTTGAAATATCTCTAATCATATTTATATCTAAAAGGCCAGGGGGTATTTGACGGGTGGGCAATGTCCTGCTACCGTATGGCGAGTGATGGGTGGGGGGTGGAGCTTATTAAACTGATTTTTAACATGTTAATAATAGTTTTCTTTAATTATTTTGAAAATGATCAACGCATCTAGTATTGACCCATATTAGTAAAACTATTCCGTTCGGTTTTAAATAATGATTTAAGGGGGTGGGGGGGGGTGTGTTGTTCTGCCTAGCTAGAAATCAATTGACAATAGCAATACAAAGGGAAACAACGAAATTAATAATTTCTGCGAAATCATTTTAGGGTGGTTATATCCCCTTTCGGAATATATAGGGGCCTAAGTATTTCAAGTTAGTTGGTGTCTGACTTTTTTTGTGACGATTTATAAACAAGGGAGGAGGGGGTTAAAAAGTCACCAAAAAGGCTTGACATCACTTATGCATGGCCCCCTCTTAGTTGTTGAAATATTGATTAAAATCAATATATAGCTGGTCGATGAATGCTAGCTTATAAATTTTAAAATGAAAAATTCGCTTTTACCGTTGTTTTTCTCACTCCACAACTGCAAACAAAAGGTTAAGAATATAGGGTTTTATTTATTTATTTTTTTTGCCAACAGTCTTTAAATATCTCTTGTTTAAAAGACATCACATCAAGGCTAACCCTACAAAATCCTTACTAAATGGTGTTTATTACAAAACCAGCAGGAGTTTATTGCCGCCTTCTTCAACTTTTCTTCAACTTTTCTTACTGATTTAGAAGAATAAAATTGCGATACGAACATAATGCCTTTTAAATACATAAAAGATAGAGAGCCAGACTAGCAGATTGAGTTTTCATTACTTCAACTTTGTTTAAAAAAATTGTTATTTTTTTTATATTTAGAAAAAAAACATTGGCAGTATTAGTATCTGATGATGATTCTATTTTTAATTGTTCTATTTCTGATTCTTATTGACATATACAGCAAATATCAATGTCGTTATCATTTCATAAAGCTGAGTTATCCTTGAGGGTATATTTAATTGAAAATTCATTGGAATGGATCGCTACTTGTTTGTAAATAGACGGCAAATAAGAATTGAGAAAAGTTAAATGATAGTCAGGTTATTCACATGAAAACTAGTCTTTTACGATAATTATTTTTACAAGAGAATGATCGTATAAATAAGAGAACTTAATCACTATAGACATTCTCTCCAACTAATAATACTAGATTATCTCCCCCTACTGTTGAAAATAACATTCAAAAACTTTTCTAGACAAATGAAATTTGAAATTAATGATTACACTTGAGAAGTAATTAAATGTCAAAACATTATTTGTGCAATAAAAGTTAAACTTCGATATAGTTAAATAGCTGAGACTTGAAAATATGAAAAACCATCATAATTGATTACAATAACATCCGGATAGGTAACTGCAACATATTCAAAACATATACACAGCTACTTACCTTGGTTTATATATATATATATATATATATATATATATATATATATATATATATATATATATATATATATATATATATATATATATATATATTTATATATATATATATATATATATATATATATATATCGTTTCCTTGATCATTTTTTTTATAGTTAGTCAAGTCGACACAGCTTCCCTTTATGTATGCATACCTCTTTGTGTTCTCAATAAAGTAATTAAGAAAAAAAACAAGTTGGTATGATTTTTATTTGTTTTTAAAATAGTAAACAAAGGAGTTGTATAATGTGCAAAAATGGAAGATTACCTCACACACTTAATGTGATGGCATGATCAATTTCAAAAATAATTAATCCGTTTAGTGAAACATTTACCTAGTTTCCTATCCACACACATACACACACACACACACACACACACACACGCATGCACTCAAATAAAACACACAAAAACACAAACACTCACACAAACACACACACATATATATATATATATATATATATATATATATATATATATATATATACATGTATATGGAAATTCGCAAACCATATAAGATTAATGTAAAAGTACATACATCGAGCTGAAAATATACAATTAACATCGATTTTATTTCTAAAGACCACGTTCAAAAATTATAAAATGCTATTGATTGGAGACCTGTCCACTCAAACACTTATTTAAAAAACCTATAGTGATTGTACAAAATATATTTGGATTTCCCTTACATTGTTAAGATAAACAAAACTGATGTTGTTAAACACAATTATAACTTGAGAGTTGTCTCCCTAATATAATTATGCAACAGTATTTGCGATTTGGTTTTAGACATGGGAAATAACGTTATTTTTACATTGAAAAATAGTTCTTTTTTTTTAAATTTCTTTATGAATATTATAGACTATATATATTGTCAATCAAAATTAAATTCTGTGTAATAGATTATCTAAGGCAGGGGTCTCCAAACTACGGCCCGCGGGCCGGATGCGGCCCGCGAAGTCCTATCATCCGGCCTGCGGCGATCTTTTTGTCCACGGAATAAACGTTTGTTAGAGGTGGCTGAGGAACTTAGCCCAGAACATTCAAAACAATTTGAAAATGTGGCTTTGGGTGCAAATACCATTGCCCGCCGTTTTACAGACATTGGTGAAAACATATTGACTCAAACAGCGTAAGGTCTTTACGGCTTTTGCAACCACTGAGTTCCCAACGTCATTTGCATTCAAGATCATCAAAGACCTCCAGCTGCAGTTTCAGTAGCAGTTTTCTGACACGGATTCAAAGGCAGAAGAAAGTGAGACTGTTTCAAAACCCATTTGAAGCAAATATGGCCAGTTGCAAAGATGAAGTGCAGCTGGAGGTCATTAGCGACACGTTCACTGAAGGGCGGATGGGTTTTTATAAGTTTTTTCACACGGAAAACTGTCCTAATATTACAACTTTTGCATCAAAGTACCTTTCAAGTTTTCGTACAACATACCTGTATGAATATGTTCAAGAATCAAATAGGTGAAGAATAATTTGAGAGCAAACTTGGACCTCGAGTGTATTGTTGGCCCCCGATAGTGGTTTTTTTTTTCAGATTTTTTTTCCAGGAGGGGACACTTGAAATGTGTATATATTTGTATATAAATTATATTTCATTTGGGGAGGGGGGGGGGGGGGCGGTAGACCATCAACACGAAGAGAAGCCTTGAAGAAACTCTGGCCCCCGAACTGATATTTGATAGTTAATGCGGCCCTCGGGCTGAAAAGTTTGGAGACCCCTGATCTAAGGTAATAATAGTAAAACATGTTAAGGTAATTTTGTTGCACCTGTTATTCAACAATTAATAATACAAGCTCATTTTGGTTTGTGATATTTGTATCTTAAGGACACAGCGTATTAAATTAATATATAGCAATGAGACCCACGCGAATACAAATTATCTCACTGTTAATGTCAGAGTCTAGCTTAGCTCTGCGTGTGGTGGATCGCATTTTTTCGACTCTATGATAACGATAGATCACTAGAGATTCAAATCGCTCCTAAGAATGCTCGGCATGCAATCACATTGTTGATCTTGATCTACCCCCCCCCCCCCCTATAGAGTCGTAGGCTTTGTAAGGTAAACAAATCTAAGGACACTTGATCTTCTCTAGCCGTTAATTTAGTTCAAGCAATCAAAGTGTCACATTTTTTATTGCTTTGTTGATATTCCTAGGTTTTTATGGTTGCATTAAAAACCTGATATGGTAAGGTCTAGTTTTAACCATACAATGATGATTTCTACTTCCTGCACTTATCGATATTTTTTCCGTTAGAACTATTTATGTCGAAATACTTCGGTCTTTATTTTAGTTGTCACATTTAAATACAAACAGTTAAACAAGATTACAAATATACTTGATAGGTTTTCTCAGAGGCATAGGTGTATGTATTTGTGTGTGTGCCTATGCGTAAGCGTGTGTGTTTAGAAGTATGCAAAAGCGTTGCGTGTTCTGTATGCGCGTATATATATATATATATATATATATATATATATATATATATATATATATATATATATATATATATATATATATATATATATATATATATATATATATATGTACACTCTTTCTTTGAAAGGTGAGAGATAACCCATATTTCTGTGAACTAAAAATAACTCTTTTAACATAAATGCATGCTATGGTTATTTTCATAAAGCAACATTAACTATAAGTCGCTGCCTTGAATAATGGAAAATGGTCTTACGTTAGCTTGTCTACAGGAATGTCGAAAATGAAAGTAATGATTCCTCCTTACCCCTAACGATTCATTGGCCCAGATGAAGTAGAGTTCATCTGTTTCTTGAAGTTGGCATGTGAAGGGTTAGTGTGGTCAGCGCTATGCCGAACCGCCTTTCCCCGTCCCCAGCGTTAGTCACGTACCCATCAAAGCTGGGTGGACTCAGGGACGTCCAACAGTCACAAGTCCGAACCGAGATCCAAGCTCTAACCTTCGGGCTAGCAGCCGAACTCTCTATCACTCAACCACGCCGTTTCACAAGTCTTAATTATGGCAGCTATTATGTAGCCAGTCACGTACATGATAATATTTAACGTAATGAGCTAGAGTGGAAGTTTTTTAACCTTCTTATAAAAAGATTTTTTTTTCAAATGATAATTCTATTTTATCAATTAAGCAACTTTTTTGCGGGATTTCTAGGTCTCAGTTTGTCTAGGAAACTTCCCTTGAAAATTATGGTTCAAAAACTAAAACTATAATCAAAACAATGTTGATATAGACGGCTTTTAAATTAAAATAACAAACAGTAAGCAATGATAACACAAAAAAAACATTCTTTTTATAGTGTTTAAAATAAATTACTACCCGGATGTGTTGCTGTTAGAAACACGTAGGCTACTGCTACGGTTATTCTGATCAAGACCTTTAGCGCGTGTGACACATTATGACAAGTCTAAGACAGCTGATAGTTTCACACTGAAGTTATGAAGTTGGTGATGTAACAGTAAGTGATATTTTTTCACTCTAAATTTTTAGTTCTATATTAAAACCAAAGTTAGAAAAACTGTTTTCAACTTGATTAAAAATGTTACAACGGTTACTTTATTTTCGGAGTTTATATTTTAGCAAAATTTTATATCGTTGATTATATATTAAAAAATACAAATTTTAAAAACACGTGTATAAAACAATTTATCATTTTTAAAATTCCATTGCCTGGTTTTATTTTTAATTGCTTGGATTTAAAAGAGTTAAATATAAATATATAGAATTCGACACTTTAAAAATATTGTTTTTAGTAGTGCTAAAATTTGAATTAGAATATTATGTAGGCATATACTTTCATTTTTTGTCGAAATCTTGTTTACCATAATATTTTTCTTAGAATTTAGAATTTAACTATAAATTTCAATTTTTCTACAACACTGCATTTCTTTCTCAAAATATTAAATTGCTTTTTTTTTACTGCTATTTTTAAATGGTTTCAATTTGTCATCTTTGAGTAAACTACGAAAAAGTATGAAGAACCTTCAAACTGCAGATCTTCGATTTAAGTTACTTTGTTTAATCCAAATGCTGAAAGCTTAAATGTAACAATGTAGTCAGTACGAAAACCTGATTTATGAAGTCAAGTGGAAAACCGACTATGAGCTGCATCGATCATAAGATAACTTATTAATAGATTTGATCCCAAACGTTTTACATATTAAATCTTTTTGGCTCTTTTAGCATTGACTGATAATCGTCGTTTTAATCAAATATGTATTTAATTATTACTGTATTTTAGGTTTCATATAATTATGAATTATTAGATTTTTCTGAAGTATAGAGACTAAGTGTCCCTATTTTATAAATACTATTCCTATAAAGGCAAAAACTTTTAGTTAATGTGGATATGCAATACGCTTAATAGTATCCGTTTCAGACAATCATTTATTTCCTTTTCAGGAAATAATGGCTCAAGCTTCCGTTAAACCTCGCTCTACTGGTTTAGATATTATTCTTATTGGTAAATCTGGAAACGGCAAGAGTTCGACCGGTAATTCTATTTTAAGACGGGGAAATATTTTTAAACCCAGTTATAGTACGTCATCTGGGACGAAAATACCACAATTTGAATGGAGTAAATTTGATGACAGAATTTTACAAGTCGTTGACTCGCCTGGTGTTTTAGATTCGAGCGAGGATGAAGCAGGGGGAATAACTCTGGTACATAAAGCTTTACAAAATGCTGTGTTGGCTAACCCCAGAGGCTATCATGCGTTTCTAATTGTTATTAAATTCGCCACACGTTTTACCGAAGACGAACAAAAAACTGTAAAAATTCTGAAAGGAATCTTAGGCGAAACTTTTCTTAAGAACTACGGTATTGTTCTGATGACAAATGGGGATACGTTTGAATTTAACTGTCGAAAGGATAAGAACTTTAATCTTGAGACATTCTGTGCTGTACAGACAGGTCCTTTCAAAAATATATTGGAAGAATGCAATAACAGAATTGTTGTTTTTAATAACATAACTCAAGACGAGGAAGTGAAGCATAAGCAGCTGAAACAACTTATTGACACGATTGACCAGCTAAAAAACCATCGTCGTAGATATACTAATGAACATTTTAACAAGGCGGATAAGTTTTACCAACACTTCGTTGCAACTGCTTCGATACCGATTGTAACCAAAGAATTTTTACAAGAGCAGAGTCTGATCATACACGCCATTACTTCTTGTGAAACTTTACAGGACGGGCAAGAAAAAATAAATTCTCTAAGTTGTCTTTTGCCAAGACTTGAAGCCTTGAGAGACGGTCTCCAAGAAAAAGATAGAGGAACTGGCGCTCTGAGAGATTTTATCACAAACGCGGAAGATACCAGAAGAATGATAGAGACTCGAATCAAGTTGTACACTGACATTATGAACAAACTAAACGCGATAAAAAAGAAAAGTGACAAACTAGAACAAGAGGAAATTGAATTTAACAAGAAAAATAAAAAATCTTCAGTGGCAGAGAATAAGATTAAGGAAATCTTAGAGCAAAAGCTACGGCTCAAAGAAGAGATTGAAGGAAATCAAAAGCATAATGTTGAAATGTTGAATAACTCAAATCGCCAATTAAACGAAATTGATGAAAAAAGAAAAGGTTTACACCAAGAAACAAATGAATTTTTTTTTGAAAAAGTTGACTTTGTTGTATCAACGTATGGCAATTTTATAATCGACACAGCAATGAGTGTGGCTGAAATCTTAACAAACGTTCTAACAAATAATATGCTGGGTGACAATTAACGTGTGTGGCGGTTTTTTTTTTTTTTTTTTTGTTTTTTTTGTAATCAAATCCTAAATCATCAATCCGTTAATTTTTAATTTCATTTAACGTGGATTTTTTTTTTAATCTACAAGTCACAAGGAATAATAATCGTCTGTTTCAATAATTCGTTTTTTCTATCAAATGCTTGTTATGCAATTAGAGAATATTAGGTAAATTTACTATAAAGTTAACTAATGTTTAACATTCATATTTGACATTCATTATTTTTATAGCAGTTTGTATGAAGCATTCGTCGTCGTTAAAATTTAAGATGTATATATTTTCAACTGTAATAACAAAGATGGAAAACAAAGATTTTTTTGTTGAGTGTACAGACTATTGTAAATTAATAGTATGTATACAATGAAAGTTTTTAATGCATGTCAACTGTAGAACAAAGGTTAAGTAGAGAGCACTTGTCTAATGGTCGCTAATAAAATTTGATGCTTTTTTGTGCATGTAGAATTTTTTTAAAGCTGGACACGCACATACATTCACTCTCACACACATACGCACCTACACACAGACATATATATATATATATATATATATATATATATATATATATATATATATATGTATGTATGTATGTATGTATGTATGTATGTATATATATATATATGTATGTATGTATGTATGTATATATATATATATATATATATATATATATATATATATATATATATATATATATATATATATATATATATATATATATATATATATATATATATATATATATATATATATATGTATATATGTATATATATATATATATATATATATATATATATATATATATATATATATATATATATATATATATGTATATATATATATATATATATATATATATATATATATATATATATATATATATATATATATATATATATATATATATATATATATATATACATATATACATATATATATATATATATATATATATATATATATATATATATATATATATATATATATATATATATATATATATATATATATATATATATATACATATCAATACTAGTTACAACGTGTTAGCAGAAACAGATTTTATGTAGCTGATTAAATAATATTCTGTGTTTTGTATTTTCCTTCAACTTTATGTATGTATCTAAATATTTTTAACGGTGATATCAATATTGTTTCAGTAAACAATGAACGATCCACCAAAAGAATTAGACTTGGTTTTAATTGGTAAAACTGGAAATGGCAAGAGTGCAACTGGTAATTCTGTTCTCAACAAAGAAAATGCTTTTACGGAAGGCTGCGATTTTAGTTCGAAAACAAGATTTCCTGAGTACGACGCTTGCGATTTTTTAAATTACAGAATACAAGTTGTTGATTGTCCTGGTGTTTTTGATACAGAATTAAGTAAAGAAAATGGGGTTATGATGGTTCATGCAGCACTACAAACTGCTGTGATAGCTAATCCGAAAGGTTATCACGCTTTTCTTGTAGTTGTGAAATACGGAAATCGTTTTTTAGAGGAAGATAAAACAACAATCATGATTCTGAAAAATATATTAGGAAGTGATTTTTTAAAGAACTACGGAGTACTTGTCTTAACGAACGGAGACTCTTTAAGTCTTCAGACGAAAAAAACAGGACTAAGCTTGAATGATTTTTGTAATCAGCAGACTGGGTATTTTAAAACTTTACTAGAAGAATGCCAAGGAAGAGCTGTTGTTTTCAATAATGTTACTACAGATGATGAAACGAAAAACGATCAAAGAAAAAAGTTGATTGAAATTGTTGAAAGTTTAAATACTAATGGCAGAAGGTACACAAATGGGAATTTCCTAAAAGCTCAACAACTCTACAAGCAGATACTTGATGAAAATCAAGGAGTCATGAACAAAGATTTTATAAATAAACAAAGTTGTATTTTAGATCAAATTTGTAAAAAAGAGTCTAAGCATGATAAAAGTGGGGCTGTCGACATGAAAAACCTTTTAAAGGAAATTATAGAGTTAGAATCTCATCTGGCAAAAACTGACAAGAAATCAGTAAAAAGTTTGTTAACTAATCTTGAACAGGCACAATACATAGTCGAGAAGAAAATAAAAGAACTAGAAAATCCATTACCTATTATGGGACAAGAAATAACAAAGAAATCAAAGGAATCTTCCCAAGCGAGCGAAATATCGCGTATTTTAATTAATTTCCAAGAGATTAAGAAAAACCATGACAAAGGATTTTTTTCTTCTTTAGAAATTTTCGTTCAGCAGCCAGGACATCAAATTTTCGAAATTTGCATTAATCAAAACGTGTCGAAATCTTAATTAATCAGCAGCCAGGACATCAAATTTTCGAAATTTGCATTAATCAAAACGTGTCGAAATCTTAATTAAATACACAAAATGGTTTTAAGTGTAAAAAAAATTGGTTGTAAATATATTATAAATGTAAGGATTTTGATGACATTTCAAAAATGTCATATACCTGGTTTTTTGAACAATTGAAGAAAAGTAACTTTAAACTTTTTTTTTATTATTCTGATACAGTAACATTAAGGATATATTAATATACAAATGTTCTTGCAATTTTTATTTATAAATATTACTATTTCAAAATATATCTATCATTTAAAAATAAACTATAGCTGGTAGATATTTGTTTAACTGTTTAATTTGAAACATAAAATAGAAATGTAAAAAGTGTTCACAAATCTAATTGAATTTAATTCTTCTTCTTCTTCTTCTTCTTTCTTAATTTTAGTGTTGAACATTAACATTATTTGTTTTTTCATTTCTTATATATCTAATTTTTTAACCGCTGGAAATCTTGTAATAAATATTACTTGCTTGATATATTCCTTTAAACTCCTGACGAGCAACGGCCTGTGGTTACACTTCTCAACAGACTCACCTTTTAATTTGGCCCATGCAAGCCTCTTAAGCCATTGCTTCTCATGAATATGGTGAAAACATAATTTTCAGTAATTTTTATACAGTGTATATAATTATGTTATAACATTTTAAAGAAAGATACTCTTTCAGTTGTAGGTTTGTACTCCATTCTTACTTTTCCATTTATTCTATATTATTGTTGATTCATTATTTGAATACTTTTTAAGCAGATAAAGAGTACGTTATTTTACTAGAATAACACTTTTCGTGGAAGTTTATTGCAACATCAAGGTTAATGTACGATGGAAGCTTAATGTATGGAAGAAACTTTAAGCAATGTGTGAGTCTAATGAAATGCAAACGTTTGGTTTATCGCGAGAATTTAATATTCGTAAAAATATTGTCAATAAAACTGTATGTTATTGATTTCTTTTGTTGTTTTTTTTAATTACAAATGTGTTTATAAAATCGTCTAGCTTTAGAATCAACTCAATTTTCCACTGTACTCAAACAAAGACAGTGGCAGCTGGGTGCATTGCTAGAGTTAAGTGTGTGGGTTCTTTGTGTGTGTGTTGAGCTCAAAGAAAGTAAGAGTAAGTGAGTTTACTAGAATGAAAACGTTTCATGCGAGTTTATTGCAACAACAAGCTTCATATCTGGAATCATAATGTTCGGAAAAACCTTTAGGCAATATGGGAGTCTAATAAAAAACTAATACTTGGTTTATGGCGAAAATCTGATACTCATATTATTCGTAAAGAGCCTTATTTTGGGTGCTGATTAAAAGAAGATGGAAGTGTTTTGCGAAGCCAAGATTTAATGCTTTTCGAGCTCGTTCCCAATCTACAGCTCGAGATTAGTTAGACGTAAAATCTAATAAATGCGTTAAATGAAGTGATAAATCAAAATATCACTGTTCATTGCAAAAAGTCGTTATAGGTTTCTATTGACTTAAGCATAAAGTCTTCAATGACCTTTACGTCAATTCTTAGAGAATGGATTTCACACACGCTTATTTGCTAGACGATCGTCAATAAGTTAATATGCGTTATAATATAAACCATTTTTTTTAACTTTTGACCATAGAAGTTATATTATGTAATATAGATGAGAGCAAACAAGACAAGTTTGCAAAATAAGTTCCTCATTCTTATTCACAACTGGGTTTCCTTGAGTTCATATGGTGAATCTTCACGAAATAACAATACATATATATTGGCTTTTTATATGTATTTGAGCCTCGGCGTTGGTCTTGTTTTCAGTGAAGGTTGCTACAGCCAAAGACAAAAATCGGCAAAAGTGGGAATATAGAGGGGCACATCGCGACATGGTTTATAAAAATATCACCTTATATTGATCGGCTTATCGTTCCCTTCTAGAATCATTAACTTGTTTAGCCAATTTGCGAAATGGCCTAGACGATCGGGCAAAGTCGAAGTAAGAAAGTTTTTTACTTTACTTTACATGAAGTTATGATTATAACATTATGTAGATATTTATTACTAATTATACAAAATTAAATCAGTCAGATTACTTTATTTTATAGTAAATAATCATTCTTTGTTATCACTTGTTACAGCGGTATGAACTGTCCTGACATTTTGAGTTACACAGGAGTTTGTTACTTTAAGATTAGTCACGATTTGTTGAGCACAACCAGGACACCAGCGAGTAGACGAGATTCCTTTCATAATGTTGTTGACATGGAATAAAAACGTGCTTTTTAGATTTAGACCGTAAAAAAAATTTAAAAAAAACATAAGCCTAAAATTAATTTTGAAATTTTATATTTTTAGAATAAATGCTATAAATGTTGCAAATCAAGAGAACTTGAAAATAATTTATTGAGTTAAAGGCTACATTTCTATTTATTTTCATCAAGCCTAATTTATAACCGGATGTTTCACTTTCGTAAGACAAATATTGATTGGCTGTACAGTAACTTAGTGATCTATAACTATTTGTTTACAAAACTTTGCAGATCAACTTTTTAAATAACAATGCAAATTTAAACTCCATGACCTAGTTTTTCTTTTTTTAGCTTACAATGTGTACAATAAAATTTATGGCGGCCTATCGAATAGCAGGATGCCATTGTTTATGTCGCCATTACACGTGAAAACCAAATTGTTTTTGCTTTTTTTATCATTTTTATTTAGTTACCGAAAATATTAAAAACATCAAATACATCAAATCTTTAGTAAAGTCCGAAATAAACCAGACAGACAGGATTTTATAACCATATTAATTGTAACTACGCCGTGCATGATTTTTAAATTAATTTATGGACCTCTCAAATACCTTTGAGACTTTTCTTGCTGGCGCCCATTGCATCGAGTTTAGCCTTGGCCGCCGTTTTGTGTTTGTGAACATGCTACTTATCTTAGTAGGCAGTTTCTAATGCAAAATGGAAAACACACTTCTGGGATACAGTTGTTTGATTTTGTTACGTTCCATACCTAGAGACGTTCAATACATCTGCAAGGACGCTTCGTGGATCACCACGACATCTGTTAACATTGGGTATACGAATGCGTACATAATCTCCAGCTTTCGCTGTTTGTTTTTAGCGTCTTAGAACATTCTGTTTGCAAACTAGCATGAGCTGCTGCCAATGGTTATTGAGGTAGGGTAGGGCTAGGGTAGGGTAGGGTAGGTTAGGTTAGGTTAGGTTAGGTTAGGTTAGGTTAGGTTAGGTTAGGTTAGGTTAGGTTAGGTTAGGTTAGGTTAGGTTAGGTTAGGTTAGGTTAGGTTAGGTTAGGTTAGGTTAGGTTAGGTTAGGTTAGGTTAGGTTAGGTTAGGTTAGGTTAGGTTAGGTTAGGTTAGGTTAGGTTAGGTTAGGTTAGGTTAGGTTAGGTTAGGTTAGGTTAGGTTAGGTTAGGTTAGGTTAGGTTAGGTTAGGTTAGGTTAGGTTAGGTTAGGTTAGGTTAGGTTAGGTTAGGTTAGGTTAGGTTAGGTTAGGTTAGGTTAGGTTAGGTTAGGTTAGGTTAGGTTAAGTTAGGTTAGGTTAGGTTAGGTTAGGTTAGGTTAGGTTAGGTTAGGTTAGGTTAGGTTAGGTTAGGTTAGGTTAGGTTAGGGTAGGTTAGGGTAGGGTAGGGTAGGGTAGGGTAGGGCAGGGCAGGGTAAGGTAAGGTAGGGCAGGGCAGGGTAGGGTAGGGTAGGGTAGGGTAGGGCAGGGCAGGGCAGGGCAAGGCAGGGTAGGGTAGGGTAGGGTAGGGTAGGGTAGGGTAGGGTAGGGTAGGGTAGGGTAGGGTAGGGTAGGGTAGGGTAGGGCTGGACAGGACAGGACAGGACAGGACAGGACAGGGTAGAGTAGGGTAGGTTAGGTTATGTTATGTTATGTTATGTTATGTTAGGTTAGGTTAGGTTAGGTTAGGTTAGGTTAGGTTAGGTTAGGTTAGGTTAGGTTAGGTTAGGTTAGGTTAGGTTAGGTTAGGTTAGGTTAGGTTAGGTTAGGTTAGGTTAGGTTAGGTTAGGTTAGGTTAGGTTAGGTTAGGTTAGGTTAGGTTAGGTTAGGTTAGGTTAGGTTAGGTTAGGTTAGGTTAGGTTAGGTTAGGTTAGGTTAGGTTAGGTTAGGTTAGGTTAGGTTAGGTTAGGTTAGGTTAGGTTAGGTTAGGTTAGGTTAGGTTAGGTTAGGTTAGGTTAGGTTAGGTTAGGTTAGGTTAGGTTAGGTTAGGTTAGGTTAGGTTAGGTTAGGTTAGGTTAGGTTAGGTTAGGTTAGGTTAGGTTCGGTCAGGTCAGGTTAGGTTAGGTTAGGTTAGGTTAGGTTAGGTTAGGTTTAGGGTAGGGTAGGGTAGGGTAGGGTGGGGTAGGGTAGGGTAGGGTAGGGTAGGGTAGGGTAGGGTAGGGCTGGACAGGACAGGACAGGACAGGACAGGACAGGACAGGACAGGACAGGACAGGGTAGAGTAGGGTAGGTTAGGTTATGTTATGTTATGTTATGTTATGTTAGGTTAGGTTAGGTTAGGTTAGGTTAGGTTAGGTTAGGTTAGGTTAGGTTAGGTTAGGTTAGGTTAGGTTAGGTTAGGTTAGGTTAGGTTAGGTTAGGTTAGGTTAGGTTAGGTTAGGTTAGGTTAGGTTAGGTTAGGTTAGGTTAGGTTAGGTTAGGTTAGGTTAGGTTAGGTTAGGTTAGGTTAGGTTAGGTTAGGTTAGGTTAGGTTAGGTTTAGGGTAGGGTAGGGTAGGGTAGGGTGGGGTAGGGTAGGGTAGGGTAGGGTAGGGTAGGGTAGGGTAGGGTAGGGTAGGGTAGGGTAGGGCTGGGTTGGGCAGGGTACGGTACGGTACGGTTCGACACCACACGGTACGGTACAGTACGGTATTAGTCTATAACAACGTCTTATTGCTTGTGTTTGGTAAACGGGTAAAAAAGTGTTTAATATAGGAATCTTTTTAAACGTCACATTAGCTAACGAAAAGTCGATTTAAACCCCATGTTCGTTTAGCGGTGCCGCCACGTCTCTCTAATCTCTGGTTTACGGGCGTCTGCCTGTGCAAGCATTGCCAACCAGCTGTTCATTTATTTCTAGAGCTGAGCCTCCTGCGACCGCTGTTTTATTAACATTATATTAAAACATATTTTTGTATTTTATATTGACAGAAAATAAGATGTTTAAAGCGTATACGGTAAGTTATATTTTTAGGTAAAATATTAGGACAACTTTCTCGTTTATTACTTTATTTAATTAGTATAAGTCTACGAGTGCGGATCGTGGACTTGAGACTTTTAGACGTCTCTGAGTCTACTAAGCACTAATGGGTAGGCTACCTCAGTTACGTTAGAGAAACGAAGGCAGCTATGCATAGTGCTGACCACACTATCCCCTTTTATGCCGAAATATTGAAACAGATTAACTCTACTTCATCGGCCCCATGTATCTTGGGCACGAACGGGAAAAGAGACAAGAGATTATCGGACATGTAAACATCTGTTTGATATAAATCACTGTTTATATTTTAAAAACATAATACAAAAGTCGATTTTGGGAGCGTTAAAAGAAATCGACATTTTATTTAATTTTTCTCTGATTTGAATTTAACAATGTTTTAATAATAATTTAATAATAATATTTTATAATTTTTTACAAATTTAAATATATATTAATTTCAAAGTTCGTGTGTATTGATTTGTAACTTTAAAAAAATATATGAAATACACTTCATAATATGGTCAGACAGTTGCTCACATTTTTTTATATATTGATTGCATTTTTTATCAAATTTATAAATTGTGAAAAAAAATTAATTTTGCGTAATAGTTACTTTGTTAATGTATTTTGTTTATTGCGTTTGATTTTTACCAATTTCGCTTTAGCTTTTTTCTTTGTGCATTATAATTTTCTAAATCTATTTGTCTTCTTCGTCATGCAGTTGAAATCATAAATGTTACATAAGTAAATGGTATAATTTTCATAATAAGTATAAGTGGTATAAATATATACAAACTTATAATTAGATTAATGTTGTTTGTGTGAAATACTTTTTTTTCAGAATCTTTTGCTTCAACCAGCTAAAGAACTTGATTTTGTTTTAATTGGTAAAACTGGAAATGGTAAAAGTGCAACCGGTAATTCTATACTAAACAAACCAGAACATCCTTTCAAAATCTCCTACAGTTGTAATGCACAAACACAATTTCCAAAATATGATACGTGCGAATTTTTGGGTTACAAAATACAAGTAGTTGATTCTCCTGGTCTTTTTGACACACGAGTAAAAGTTGAAGATGGAATTGAAATGTGTCGAGCTGCAATACAAAATATTATTCTGGCAAATCCCAAAGGATATCACGCGTTTCTTGTTGTTTTTAAGTTTGGCAGCCGTTTTACTCGTGACGAAACAGAAACGATCGATGTTCTAAAAACAATTTTAGGGAGCGATTTTTTGAGAAAATACGGTATAATTGTATTGACAAATGGAGACAATTTTAGAATGCAGAAAGATTTAACCATTGAATCGTTTTGTAAGAATCAAGATGGAGACTTTAAAAGTTTACTATCCGAGTGTGAAGGACGAATTGTTGTTTTCGATAACATAACAACCGATGAAAACTTAAAACAGAAGCAAAGAGAAAATTTGCTAAAACTTGTGATAAGTTTGAAAAATGACAACACGCGATACACAAATGAGCATTTTAAAAAAGCGAAAGAAATGTTTGGAACTGAAAATGCTATTGTAATCAAAGACTTTGTAAATACACAAAGCTTTATTTTAGATAGAATTTATAAAACAGAATCAACCTCAGATAAAAAAAAAATTTCAAATATGAGAGCGATTTTTGAAGATCTCAATCATTTAGTATCAGTGAAAGGTGATATCACTCCATCTGAAGATAAATTAGATGAACAAGTAAACAAGTTATTAGGAAACATTAATGAGACACACGGCTTTGTCGATGAGCGCATAAAAGCAATTGTGCGTGAAAATACAAAACCCGAAGAAGTAAAATACACTACGACTGATCTGAACAGATTACAGGATATTTTAAAAGATTTTCGGGACTCTAAGGAAAAAATTGACGATGAGTATTTTTCTTCATTGGAAGTTTGTGTAAACAAGTCTGGAGATTACATTATTAAAATTCCTGGGAAAAATCTATCTTCATAAAGGAAAACAGCATATATTTTCAAGTGTTGATTGTATTTATTAACTATTATGTAAAAGTGATTAATGCTACAAAAAAACTTTCACTGTCTGGCTTTTCATGTCACTCACCCAAAACAAGATTTTTTTAATTCGTTTAAAATATCAATATTTTGTTTTAATGTGTTTTTTAAACTCATATGCTTTTCTTAAAATTGGTGTCTATTTGTACATTGTTGTTTCTCAATATCGTGTGCAGTGATAAAAATATAGAATGTGTTTTGGTAACTTTATCAATTGTATTTTTTAAATTAAGAAATTGTAAAGCAAATTTTGTAACATGGGCTTTTATTGAAACCAGCTATAAAGTGTGAAAGGTTATAATGCAAAGCAACATTTTGTAGTTAAAATTATTATAGGATTTTCAAAAGTTTTAACATAAAAAATCGGGTAAAATGTAACACATGTATGATTCGAAAATTATTTATTTATTTTAATAAAGTATTTTTGAATTTGCAATTATCTTTCTGCTATTGATTTTAGAGACTGGTAACATGTAAAATCATCTTGGATTTTTATTTTTATAATGCGCAAAACATTGGAAAATTCTAAGAATTATTATTGTTGGAAATCTAGAGTGATTGCATATAAAATCAGATGACGTCTAAAAATGGGCGACATATTCAAACTTTTTATACATCTATTTAAATAAAAATGTGTATTTTAAAAAGTATACTATTTAACATTATCACAATTTTAAAAATTAGAAATTACATGACAAGAGCAATTTAATTTTCGTTTATCAGATTTTTTATATTTTATTTACTACAAATTTATTAAGGTTTGAAACAGTTTGTTCAAAGATGTAGCTGCATTTATTTACAAAGTTAGACTCACACAAACAAGATAAATATTAGTTAAGTATAAATATCTACTTCCTCTATATCTGAAGTTGCTCCAGTTACTCTAATAAAGTTTTATTTCCTTTTATAAATGTTTAGACCCAAGAACCTTTAATTTCCTCTTTTCGTTCTCCTTGTAACTATTCTGTGTGTGTGTGGGGGGGGGGTAGTCTAGAGGTTGTGCCTTTATGCTCCGGACATTACTAGTAGAAAGAATAGGGAATTTCATCATCCCAGCTTCCCTCCAGTCTTTCCTCCCTTTTGTATTTTTAAGAAAAATCCCTCTTTCTAATCCCCTGATGTTAGTTCTTTCTATCTGTATTATTAAAAAGATAAATAAACACATTGTGCGTGTTTTGGGTTTTAAATATGTACGTCTATGAGTCTATGAACTGCTGGTGTAATTAGAAGAGAAAATCGTAGAAGTAACTAAGTTCAATAAAGTTTTAAGGCCTGGCACAAATAAAATATGCAATATTGCTTTGCATCCGTGGCTTTCTTCTTACGCTGATTATTTTAGTCAAGAAATTTGTTAAACATTGCCTTTAAAAATGTTCTATTATTTTTAGCCAACATCATGTAAAATAAAAAATATATTTGTAAATACATTTTGATATATTTCAGCTGCAACTGGACCTTCTTCTAATAGGTAGATCAGGCAGTGGAAAAAGTGCTACGGGGAATTCAATTTTACGAAAACCTCAAGAGTTCAAGACAAATTACAACACAAAATCTAAAGTGACTTATCCGCAATACAGTTTGGGTAGATATGGTGAACGGACTCTACAAGTCATTGAATGTCCAGGGGTAATTGACACGGACATTGAAAGTCCTGAAGGCATCGAAAATGTCCTGCTTGCTATACAAAATGCTGTTTTAGCCAACACGAAGGGTTATCAGGCTATTCTGATTGTGGTCACTTTTGGTCAGCGTTTTCTGAAAGAAGAACTAGATTGCATCCAGATTCTTAAAATCATATGGGGGAAAGATGTCATTAAATCTCATGGCATCGTTTTGATGTGTCATGGAGACACTTTCCAGCATCATGTTGATACTGATAATTTAACAGTCGACAAATTCTGTGAAAAGCAAGAAGGTCCATTTAAAGAACTTCTGGATGAATGCAACAACAGAATTGTTGTTTTTAATAACGTGACAAAGGACGAGAACATTAAAAATGAGCAGTTAAAAACACTCATTCAAAAAATTGACCAATTGAAGAGCGGCATATACCCAACAGAAACTTTTAAAGAAGCCATTGCTTTGACTGAATCACTGCAGAAAGAGAAAAAAATAATAATTGATCAGAATTTAATTTTACAAGACATACAAGATGCTAAGCTCAAAGAAAACAGGGTGGAGGTTTTTAGGAAACTCAAAGAAAGAAGTGAAAAATTGTTAAGTGAGATTGACACGAAGTACGAAGAAAAAAAGATTTTCCGGCTTTTAAAGCGAAATATCCTAGAGACAAACGCCTACATTGCTGAGAGGATTGAGATTGAAACTACGAAAATTAACTTTGCGAAATTTTATACAAGTAATAAGAAACTGGAAAAATTAGAATGGCAATTTAGAGACATTAAACAGGAAGCAAATGAAGGATTTTTTCATAAATGTTTGTATCAACTTGAAGATAAGGGTTGCAATTTGATTAAGAAATGTTTGGAAAAAGTAAATAGGGAATTCTAAACATTATAAATTGTTGAGTATTGTTTTTACTCTTATATCAAAATAGCTCATCCTTTCTTTTTCTAACGTATTATTGAAATTTTTAAGTTTATTACTACTCAACTAATTTAATATTACTTGTTTTCTTTTTACGACGTATTATTGAATTTGGATATTCGTGTACTATTAAACAGCACTTTTTATAGTATAAACCAGAAAGCTATATAAACATAATATTAATATAATTTGTATGTTATATGTTTATTGCTCTTTCGTATAAAATTGTTTCATTGTTTAATGAGATAAAAGACGCAACCTCCTTAAATAACTAAACATTCAGTTTATTTTTATTTTTACATTTTTTTTTGCAGTATTTATTTGGTAAAATTAGTTGTAGTGTATAGCAAACGTTTTCATGAACAGTGACTGATTTACTCAGTAATGGTTTTGTCTCTTAATGTTTATATTTTTTTTTTCTGTGTACCTCAGCTATTCAAATACTTAATTTTTAGTACAGTTAAATAGACATAAAAAACATGGGTTGATTGTTACGTGACTCACGTTAGGAAAAGTAAAGCGCAGTAAAGGAGGCTGGGCATAGTGTTGACAGTACCATTCGCACCCATGCACTGAGGTCAAGTAACTATGTGAACTCTTCTTCATCTGCACTATGGGTCGTAAGGTTTGAAAGGGGAACTTAATTTTACTTTTTAAATCATGTAGTTGAGTAAACTAAATATATTTTCTTTAAAATAATATTGCGACTTCAGTTTTAAATTCATTTGAATGTTGTTTTTAATTAACCAAGTTATTTTCCTTCGCATTATGTACACATTTTGACCAGCGTGCAAAAAAAAAAAGAAGAGCAAGTATGGATTAAAAATGTGCCTATTACAAGAAAACTAAAAATAGTTACATTTATAATTAACTCTGATTAAGGGTTATTGTTGTTTACGTTTTATTTCGTGCATGCACATTTCGCATTACAATCATGATTAGAGTATGGCAGTGGTTTCCAAACTGGGAGTGTGGCGAATAAGTGCATATCTGCGCAGGAAGTTAATCAGACACGTACAGTATAAAGATCTAGGCCTACTTTTTTAAGGTAGTTTTCTCGCCGTATAGTTAATTTAAAATTATGTCTCTGATTGTTAGCCTATCTCAAAAAAACAAAGATCCCAAAGCAGAGGCATAGCGAGGACGGGGCGGGGGTGCGGACCGCAACGGGTGACACCATTTAGGGGGGGGGGGGGTGACACCAAGGCAAAAAAACTGCAAAATGACTAAAAAATGTCTCTTTGACAGTTCCATTAGTGATTAATTAAAGTTAAATAATCTTCTAAGTACAAATCGGCAATGTTTACAAGAGGGTGCGGGTGACACCATGATGTAAAGAGAACAACGCTACATCCAACTATATTATTTACAGATTATAGATAAACATCGTTACTATTAAGTCTGCTGTGATTAAAGCTCATACATGTAACCGTACGTGAAATATATTTAAACTATAGGCCTATGTATGCCGACACACACACACACACACACATATATATATATATATATATATATATATATATATATATATATATATATATATATAATGTTTAAGTAGATTTCCATAGGGCTGGGAGGGCGTTTGATAATTTTAGGTTGAAAGGGGAGAGCGACAAGCATACACTGATTTAGACCATAGCATTTTTACAAAATGCCAATAATATCAATAAAATGTCAATAAAAATGTCAAGTCCAAACATTATTTAGGAAAAACATTTGTTTTTTAAATCAGAAATAGCTGAGTATGTTTTGACATAGGCCATTAGAAACATTGCAACCATTGAAGTGCTTACACAAGTATAATAAAAAAATTTAATGTCAACACACATGACATTTGTTGATACGTCGCTACTAGAAACCTTCCTCGTTCTGGCTACAAGGGGAAACAACTGCCAAGATTCTTCGGAGGTCATTAGAAACAGTCATGTTTATTCACAGCCTATATTACTTTCAAGTTCAAGGTTACCTTTCTTAAACGATTCAGGTCAACCACACAAGTATCGAGTGTTGAAAGCAGAGTTTCTTCCAGGACTCTCGTGGCGGGGGGGGGGGGGGGTGAGGCAAAGCCCCCTCCCCCGCCGAAAAAAATTTACCGCCCCCCCCCCCCCGAACGAAATGAAATTTATATAATTTATATAGAAAATATATACTTTTAACAGTGTCCGCCCCCCCCCCCCCCCGAAAATTTCAAGTGCCCCCCGGAGAAAAAAGTCTGGAAGAAACACTGGTTGAAAGAGGGCTATATTTGGTTGATTCGTTTGATTGGTCAGTTAATGAGAAACTACATTTTTGGGCCAACTTCGGACGTTAAAGCAATATAAATGTTAATTGATAATTTAGTTCTTTATTAAGCTTATGTGCATACTTTAGGGGTCGTCCATAAATGACGTCGCACTCTTAGGGGGAGGGGATCAGTAATTTTGCGACGGTGTGTGATGAGGGGGAGGGGATTCAGATAATGACTGCAATTTTGAGGGGTTTGTATGCTGAGGTGTGACGTCATTTGGGGGAGTCAGGCTTTTTGTCACGATGTGTGACGGAGGGGAGGAGGTAAGGTAAAAATCGTCCAAAAAAGCGTGACGTCATTTATGGATGACCCCTTAGGGCCTTTAATGGGTTATCCCTCATTCTACCCATTTTAATTTTGCGGCCAAGTCAAACTGTATTTGCACCAATTCCCCGCCCCCACCCCCAACCAAAGGCTATATAAAGGAGCGTATTAAGTATTACAAGTCCCAAGAACTTTTTCAGTAATACTCAAACTTTTTGCATTGCTTTTTCATTAGCTGCAGAACAGCATGAGTTAGTTATTGTATAATACAGAAAAAACAACCTTGATTATAGTTTGTTTTACATCAAAATTAAAAAAAAAAACTTGAAAGAAAATAAAAATAAAAAGATTTTTAAATCACTATTTTAAGCATTTTTTATATTTTTATGGTCTCATTTTAAAGACCCCTGGCACCCTATTCGCGTTGCATGTTTTGGCACCACTGTAGCCCCGCCACCGTCAATAAAGCGACTCGGTAAACTTCCCGGTTCAATAAAAAAAACTGTTGTTTGTTTAGCCGTCTTCCTCCCCGCTCCCAAATTCACATTTGTGTCGTTAAACAAACCTCCGCGAAGCGACGTTTATCTATATATTTTTTTTTATTGGAACTGAAGACCACCAGCAAGCACTAAACAGGAATCAAGTTTGAGAAATCCGGGAGAAAAATCGCTTGTCCGGCACGTCTGAAAATAATGCCGTGTTTACACTTGCGACTTGTATACTATACAAGTCTAGAAAAAAAATACACAATAAGTGTGTAGTATACATGTCACAAGAATCAACATAGTGTAATGATGCAGCCAGAGTTTCTTCCAGGCATCTCGACACCCCCCCCCCCCCTCCGAACAGTGTTCCTTAAGACTTTTTCCTTGGGGGGGGGGGGGGGGGTCACTTGAAGAAAAAGTTTCGGGGAGAGGGGGGCTTACTCGTTTGAATGCAAACAATTTTCAGTATGATTGCCCCAAATAATATACTAAAATTATTTTAAAATATTATCGGAGGGATAATGCCAACACAAAAAAAAAACAGAAAGGTAGTTGCTATCTATTTAGACGAACACAGTAAAAAAATTTAGCTAAATAAAGAAGTGGATCCAATTTAAAAAAAAAAACTCAATTAATAAACATAAGATTTGGCTTTTAATGTAGGCTATTCATAACTGAAACATAACACTCATGAGGCCATGAAAAGAACCCTACTTGTTGGGTACCACACTGTTCAAGCTTAAAATATTTCCTTAAAATAAAACTGAACAGCTATTTAACTGTGTTTAAAACAGAATGTGACAACGTCAATAAGCTGTATCGTTAAGCTTGATAGCTCATAAAAGCCCCCCCTCCCTCTCTTTCCCACCTTGTCAACCAGCCCACCACCTTAAAAGGTCACTCTTCTGGAACCCTAATAACAAATATTGACTAGGATTACGAGGACTCGACCTTAAGATAGTGTAGGAACTTAATGCAGTGTTTAATACTGTCAGTGCTGATTCACGTGATATGATACGTTGCTAACGGATACCTTCCTTATTGTTTCATACAACAGAAACACACCGCAGACATTTTTTAAGAACTGTTGGCAGCGATCAGCTTATGCAAATTATGCCATACATTAATGTAGCTAAAGACATAAACCACGTAGGTCATCGATTGATCAATCTGGTACAGCATGCAACGAAGAAAATGTTGATTAAAATAATTTATTGTCTAATTCATTGTTGAAGATAAATCAGTTTTTAGTGGTCGAACTTTAATTGATTAAAAGCATTTTTTCCTCTAAAGGAATGTAGAAGGTATTACCGTCTTGAATTATTTATTTTGATGGACTTGTCAGCCATTATTTGTATTAGGATATATAACATCATCTTGAATCAGTCTGATCAATATCAATAGAATTAAAACAGAAAAGATGCTATTTAACTATCAGTACTAAACACGTCTTTAAATATATGCCTGGCAAATTGCCATAGAAAGAATTGTCTCTACATCTACCTTTGAAATTCGTGAAGCAATCAAGAAGCGTTAAGTTAGTGTGCATGTTTATTTGTGTGTGTGTGTGTGTAGTGTGAGGGGGTGTTAGGTATTAAAACTCAATGCCATAACTTAAAAAGTAGGTTTGTGTTTACATGTCAGCTTCCTTCAATACTGCTACTTCCCTGGCAGATCTATTAATAGTCTAGATTAGAATTAGAAGTATTTTAGAGAGAAAAAAAAACAGTTATGAATAGAAGATCAACACTAAAAATAAAAACAATATTGAAATGTTTATTTAAACATTGCAAAGAAAACTACAAAAAAAAGGTGTTTAACAGTCCTTTTCATTATTGAACACTAAAGTGACAGTTGTTTCTCCTGATGTATCAGACACTGCCACCAATAAGGCACAAGATTGGCAACAATTCATTTTTACTTTACAGAGAAACGTTTACCTCACTATAGGACTGTGTTCTTTCATCCCATTTTGTCTACATACTCAAAGGAATACATCAAGCAAAAACACGAACTTATCATAAAGTGAAATAAATAAAAACAGAAATAAAAATCTAATGAAGAATTATATTACAGTAAGTAATATCTTTAACCGGTATATTGAAAAAGATAATTTTATAGTTTAAAATAAACTAGACTGATAATTCTTGTATGTACAGAGATATATAGTTCTTTACAATTATCAATTCAATGCAGACTGTTCCACACAGTAGACCTTTTTGGTCTTCTAGACAAAAAGGTACCTTATTTGAGTTAAAGAACAAGTTGTTACAATTCACATTTTGTAGCTTTATTTATTAAAAAATAAATGTAAAAATTCTTGATTATTTTGGTCCTTAAAATTCTCCGAACAATTTCTATCTTAAAAGATATTATTGGAGAATAATAGATTATTTTTTTATTAAAGAGAAAAATAACATTGTCTTCCTAATTTAAATAATATTTTAAAGCTACATTTATTTGAAAATAAAGTATTAATTCATTTTTTATAAATATATCAATTCAATACATATTTTTTGTCTGCATACATTTTAAACACGGCTGTCTATTAAGTAACTTAACTTTCTCACTAATAAATATATGACACTCACTTAAGCCATTCAATGATCTGCACAAATGTATAGAAAAATTTATATTAAATATTTGTAATTTGGCTTCTTTTATAAAAGTCGGGTTTGCATTGTAGGAAAAAATGAATCCTATGCATAAGCCACATGTAATCACATATTTTACAATGAAGATAAGTTCTAAAAATGTATTAAAAAAACATTGAAGACAATTTACAGGTGATAATGTCCAATTTTAAGTAAATCCTATCCTGGTATGCAGAAAGATGTAGAATTATAAGCTGAGCTAGCAGCATCTCTTGAAGAAACAAAATTGTATGTGCCAATGAAAAAATCTAGTACTGTATGTACATGGTGCTATTATATTAACACTTGGCTCAATCTTGATCAACAAGCACAGTTCACGGGTTCCACCCAGTAAAATGTGATTTAAATAAAGAAAGGACAGGCATCCAGTGCAAACAATACTCCTTATTAGTTGTATGTGAATAGCATGCTGATTATGAAATAATATGATTTGGATGTAAATGATTATGTACAAGAATATGAATTAATTGCCATTTGATAAATAAATAGTTGATGATCAAAATGTTAAAAATATATTTATAGAAATAAAATAGTAATTTAATATCAGATAATTCTGACAGAGGTTTAAATTTAAAGTTGTATATAATTTTTGTTTCTATTTACTAGGTGATCACAAACTGTAACAAAAAATATATATAAACAGTATTCTATACTGAGAGAAGTTAAACAAAAAACTATGTCTTGATGAAAATGAAAGCAGAGTGTCAAATAAATTTACTACAGAGAACACGTTTGATAAAATATGTTATCGCCTCCAACAGTCTTGAATCACAAAGTAAAAAAAAAAATATACCAAAAACTTGGATAATAGAATTTACAACTGCAGTTGTGTAGTGTATTTTTCTTTTAAAAAAAATGTTTTTAAAATGAAAGTAGAAAATTGTTGAGTGTTTAGGCATACTTTGCTAAATTTTTATCCTATCTAAATCCATAGTTGACACATATTTTTAATTCTAATGCAACTACAATAATTAATCAAAAAAAAAAAAAAGAGGATAAAAGCAGGCCAAAAAAAAATAGAACTAATGGCAACATAATCAATTTTAAAAAAATATATTTACTCTATGGTTAAAAAAGCATCAGTAAAACAATTTTTCTGATAACAAATAATCCTAAAGGTTCAGTGGTTTCTGTTTGAGCATTCCAATGTTAGCATAAGTATGCTTAGCTAAGTATCCTTGATTTAAAAGTAGACAAAATGATAGAAACATAATCAAAGATTATACATGATAGGATTCTCAAACAAAACCCCCTAACAAAACCTAGGAACTGTTTCAAAAGATTCTGCTAATATTTCCATTTTATTTAATAAAATTGTAAAATATTATGCAACAACAAATCATTATAGTTGCCATGTCTGAATAAAAACAAATGTATAGAATAGTAATAAATAAGAAGAAAAGAATAAACATACAAAAGACAAACCAATGCTATATACAAAGCAACTCTTTTAAGGAACAATCATGCCGGGAAACAAATAAGTATACATAAGAAGATTTATATATTTTCTTTACAATTTGCCTAATTTGTTTTACTAATACGATTACTATATACAGGTTTCTTTCACAGCATTTTTACAGCCAATTTAAAAGCAAGTTGTGGAACTATTCTGCAACAGTAGTTTCCATTACAGGACTCTCTATTTCTGTCTCATCGTCGTCATCATCATCAGTTTTAAGAAGTTTAGCCTTTTCCTCTGCCATCATTTCCACATCACCTGCTTTAGTTTCCTTTACTTCGGGATCACTTTCCAACAAACTAACCTCATCAAACTCATCTTTATTATCCAAAGACCCAAATGTTTTGTTCTTATCTAAACATGTATCAACAATTTCTTTATCCCCGTCGTCATATAGCTTTTTCTTACCAGTGGAGTTATTACTTGTATTTGATGGATTACATTCGTCCATGTTTTCCTTAGGCTCATGTACATCCAATACCTTATGAATCTTTAGCACATCTTCAGTGTCAGGTGCCTTTACACCTGCAGTTTTCTCAATGTCTGAATGTGAGCTAGACACAATAGTGTTGCCTCCTACACCAGCTTGCTTCTCCTCTGTAGATTTGATATCCACATCACCCATCTGACCACATGTTTCTTGCTTGCTGCAACCTTCCTTACTTTCAGCCACATTTGGAGAAGGCTCAAGTACTTCACCAGTCTTTACTTCTTGCTTCTCAGGCAGAGTATCCTTACACTCAACACTATTTTTTAAAACCTTCCCCTGGAACTTTGCTCTGGATTTTTTGCCTTTAGAACCATGAGCTCTGTTTTTCCCCTTGATGACAACTCTACCCTCAGGTTTCTCCTGAGAGGGGTCAGCACTGCTGGACTCAACAGATTGAATTAACTGTTGCTGCTGAGCTTGCTGGGCTGACAACACCTGGACTGTGGCCTAAAATTACGAGATTAGAAAAAAAAGAACATTACATTAAATTGCCCAATTATAAATAAAACGATTTTTATTTCATATACTAAATATAAAATACTTAATTTTGCCAGCTTATATGGCACTCTTTCAATCCTCCATTTGTATTACAAACAAAAAAATCTGTCTTAAGCACATCTTATAACACCATTATTTTTCTCCCATGAATGGAAGAAATAAGTGCCCTGTATAAGTTTTTATTGTTTTTTTGTTAAAATATGTATTAATAATTGATGCCTCTTTTGTTGCTAAATTCTATAAACTGGCAAATATAAAAGAATTAAGGTAACAGGAATGTGTATGTCTAACAACAGTGGAGCATGCAGCACACAATGTTAAGGCAGCGTTTTTTATTCACACTAACAAGATCTGTTTGTACTAAGGTATAACTGAAGAAAAAGTTAACGTTTCAAAAGCTAAACATTTATAAGATATATAGGATAGCTAGTGAAATAAACAAAATAAATCACAAACTAAACAGTAATCTTTATGAATAGGCTGAGCTAAGGGATGTATCCATATGCAAGAAGGATAATTTTTTAAACCGTTATTTGCTGAAAGATGCTGTTAGGAAGTATATGAACATATATCACAGAAAATAATTGTTGTGATATTTAAATTATGTTCAAATATTAGGTTAGAGATGTTACACTTATTCTACCCTGGATCCACCCTTTGCTGAGCTTTGCATTTTATCAAAACTTTATCAAAACTTCTTAAGATAACATACATTTTTGTTGGCATTAAAATTATCAAATTAATTTTTTTTTAAAACCACTGTATGAATTTATAATAATAATTTTAGTTTAAAAGTAAAAGAAAAAGTATGAAACACAACAATAAACATCTAATCAAGCCTGATAACAAATGTAACCCTATGTTAATTGGTGATGGTATAACAGGATCACATGACCTGCTCTTACCTGGTCAACCATTAGAATATTTCTGCATATATAAGCTTCTCTCTGCACAAAAAATAAATGGAACTAGTACAGTCCATATTATTTCTTTACTCACTTTTTAACATTTTAAAGCAGGTATAATGCAATCTATTTTTCTGTCTTTTTAGGGGGATTTTGAGGTTTCAACTCTGTTTATTTGTTACAATTAAAGTTCTCAAACCTTTAAAACCTTAGCTTGATAGTCATTTAATGAAATTAATTTGTTTGGAAAAAACTATCTTAGTCTGATATTACCTGAAAACATTTTAAAAGTTAAAATATTGTATAACAGGGTTCATGCTCCAAAACACTAAAAATATACAGGAGTTTTCCAGGAGATTCCAGGAGTTTTAAATAAATTCCAGGACATTTTTAAAATTTATAAATCTGTATTGTATGGCCATATTTACATTAAGTTGATTAAGCGCAGACACTCATGTTTATCTGTTCTTTTCTCTGTAATTAAAGCCGTCTTATGCCATTTTTGTACCAATTCATAATGTAGCTAATATCTTAAATAAAAGAAGTTTCTGTTACTCTAAAATAACAATGAAAGTCCTTTCTAATTACAATTTAACGGTAGAAAGGTCACAGTGAGTTAATTTGAGGTCAGAATATAGTAGGCCTAGAGCACATGTCACAGGACGAACTTCACTGCTATTTGAGATTGGCCATAACCTAATTTTTAATTTTCCTAAAACACACCATATCAAACAAACCAGGCTCTGCTGATGTATTTTTCCTTCAAGGAACGGCAACTTTATAAAATAGATCTACTTTTTAACAATTTTTTTCAAAAATATTTAACTGCAAACATCAATGGAAAATTCTGAAAATCTGCCAAATTTCAGGGCATATCCATGAAAAAATGTGTTACTAGATCTAGTACTAGGGCTATAAATATGTGCACTCTCAATGATCCCCAGTATGTTTTCAAATTACTTGGTTTTGGGGTTTTTAGAAAAAAATTGAAATTTCTTGAGTTTTCCAGGGCCTCCTGGAATGTTAGGAGGTTGCATGAACCCTATTGTAAGGAAAAATATGTGACAACCTATAAATGAGATTTCCTTTTTACTTACTTCAAAATGATTTCCTATCAGATGCTGGAGTTCATGTTTCACCAGCTTTTCAGAAGCAAGAAATTCCCTATCACAGTACTGACAGATGAATGTTAAAGATGAGCCACTACCATTGGATGAAACCTGCTAACACAGACCACAAAAAATTCAAACACATTTACATTATAATCACTACGAAGGTCTTAGCAAAAATGATTTTCTATAAAAAAAAAAACAGCAACAGATAAAGAATCTATAAATTGAACAGCAAGAGAAATGAGCTTAAAATAATGTTTCATCAATTGTACCTGGATATTTTCTTTTCCTTCTGATTTGCCATCTTTACTAGCATCTTTCTCAATGCTTGTTCCAGCAGCCTTCCCTCTCTTTTTTGATTGGTTCTGGTACTCATGAGCAACCTTATAAATACATTGAAATATTTTGTTAAAACAAATGGACGCATATAGTTTGTGATATTAAAAAAAAATCATCTAATATGCAATTTCAATAAGATTTTTTAAAATAATAAATATTCGTATTTAAAACAATAAAGAGTATCATTGGGATTTTTAAATAATGTAACTTGAAATTTTAAGATCTAGACAGAAAAAAAATATATTAAATTAAAGGGAATGAATCCAAAATTCATTTTGTCAGAGTATTTATTGATTTATTTTCCTTAGATGGCTGTGTTGGGTTATTTTTTTTTTAAATGTAAATAAAGTTCTGTAGTGTTCTAAGCCAATTGACAGTTAATCACTTACTTTGAGAGCTTCAGCAAGGTCAATGTGTCTCTGGCTAGTTTCTCTCTCTGTCTGCCCATTCTCTAGTAACCAGTCTGATAGCTCAGGTAGTGGACAGAAGTGTACCCTAATATGTTGGCTCAAAAGTGGCTGCTTCGGTGCACTGAAAAACAATTCCAAATTTTCATTCTTTTTCAAAGATAAAAATAATAGTTTTAATCCTTAAATAAATACTATAAAACTGTTTCTATACATATTATTATCATAATTGAACTTTATATTAAGATACATAAGAAATCATATGAACCTGTAATCACAATATGGACAGACTAAGGCACTTGGGACCATGTGAAATTTTAGATGAGAAAGTAGGTAATCTCTCCTAACATTTGCATAAGGACATCGGTCACACCGATATAACTTCTTAGGCTCTGTGTCATATATGCTAAGGGGAAAATAAAATATTCATTAGATTTTTTTAAAACTAGTCATTCAATTTAATTTTATACACAAACAGCCATGAAAGCCAATATAAAAAAATAAATGAATAATAAAGTACCTGTTTTCATAAAGTCCCAGATGATCATGTATGACACTAATGGTAACTGTTGCATCAGTATCAGTGGGTGGTAGAGCTGAAGCTAAGGCCACATCAGCAGGCACTTCACTGAGGTGCTGCAGGTTGGTGATAGACTGAGAGGCCAACAAGTTCTGGTTGGGCATCATGTGGAGTTTTGTATGCTGCAATTTTTGAGGAAACAAATTCAATACACCATTCTATATCATAAATGCAGAATTACTATGTATTGATATAACTGATTTGACTTGTGTGAAATCAGAAGAAAAAAAATGTTATAAGAAAAATAACCATTCAAGAATTGATTTAGTTATTCCTCTTGAGATTATTTGAAAGTATAATTAATATTTAAACAATGTACTTGCCTGTAGAAGAAGATTGCTAGAAGGCACACTATAATCACAGTACTGACAAGTGTAACGCTGCCTGGATCCATGGAGCTCTAGATGCCTTTCAAAGTGTTGCCGCTTAGCACTTGCATACGGACATCTCTCACAACCAAAACGTTTAAATCTTGAGATTTGTAGCAGTGTATCTACCTAAGATAATTATGGACTTTGCTTTAGAGAAAAATTAACAATAAACTAACTTTATCAAATCAATGTATATTTATTTCAATTTCTTTTTCCCTCAGTACCCAGGATACATGGACGATAATTTAGTAATTACAAATAAACAAAAATATAGTATTAATCAATGATATGAAAAATGTTAAAACTGTATTATGATCAATGTACTTTTGACAGTGCCTTGGACATTTATATTCAATTCATCCATAGTAGGCTTTTAAAAGATCACATCTGTAATAAGAAAATTTAGATTAAAACTTTAAGCCCAGAAAATTAACCTTACTTTTTGCTGTTGTATACTATCTTGATCAGAATCATCCTCCATTTCACCTCCGTTATCATTCTCAGGGGCTTCACCATTGTTATTCTGGTGAACCTATTAAAAAAAGGATGTAATTTAGTGAAAAACATTGAGAAGCAATCAGTAAAAGACATTTTTTAAATGAAATTTTCTCTTTTAGCTGTATCTTTATATAAAAAGCCTTTTTAAAAACAGCTTTTAAAACATAAAAATTATTTAATAGTTTCTTAGATTTAACATAACCGGAACAAATCACTATGTCACTAAGTTTCTAGTCTTAACTTTATCACAATTAGAATTCAATGTCTGGAAAATAAAAAATAAAAATGTGCAGATAAGTCTTATACAAACCTTTATGTGATGGGACAAAAGTCCTTTAGATCCTACATGATAATCACAATATGGGCACTTAGTCAAGGAATGAATGCTGTCTCTAGGCCCATGCATCATCTCATGGAGCTGCATATTGCGTGATCTAGTATTGGTGTATGGGCAGAATCTGCACCGATGCAGCTTGCGATACAGCCCATTTTTATTAACATAGCCAGGTTTATCTTCAACTGTTTCAATTTTCATGGGGCTGACACTTGGACTTTTTGCTAAACTTGCAGTGATTTTGGCTGCTATCATCTTCTGTTTGATGAGTGCTAATTCTGTGAGCTCAACTGGATCATATACTAAACCTGGGTCTGGGGAAAGAGAAATTATTAGTTATGTTAAGAAATTTTAAAAACTGTAAGGTTAAAGTTTGACAAAAATTTAGTAGAAAGAAAAAAAAAATCATTAAACATAGCATTCTCCTTTGTATAAAAATTATATTGATAATCTCCCTTACATACTTTTTAAAATGCTTATTTAAACCTGTGCATAGTCATATAAAGGGCATATATAATAATTTAAATATAGTTACAAAAATGCATTATAGAAATATAAATTTAAAAAAAAAATAGAAATGAATGCAATTACCTTTTTACAGGATACGATTTGTTAAACAAAATTTTATGAAAAAGTGTTTTTCTGTAACCCCATTGCCATAAAGCATATACTACATTGTTTGATAAAGCTTTAGGTTACTTACCAGAATAAATAGATTTAGTTGGGGAGCCATCAATAGATAGAGATGCTGGACTGTGAGAATAACCAATGGTATGTAAGCGCATGTGCTGTTTAAGTAGCCTTTTGTGAACGACCCAATAGTCACAGTATTCACATTTGTACTCTGCAGTTCTCTTAGGACGGTGAAACTGAAACAAACATAATTTATGCATTCATTTGGAATAAAAAGTTTAATAATTTAATTGTTCCTTTTAATATAAATTGGTGTTCATCCAATAGAATTCAGATATAATTAAATCATTAATTAAGCATAATGACAGACTTAGAACTTAAGGTAGAATTATCTTTTATTAGCTGTTACAAAATCCAGCAAGCTGGTTAAGATTTGCCTGCCTGTGAAAAATTATAATTTGAATGAAAAACCTGAAATCAATTCATATTCCGCCTACGTTTCCACAGCTTTAAAACATATTTCTTTTCTTACCTGCTTATGGTAAATAAAATCATTTTTGCTGTTGGTAGTGTATGGACATTTCTCACAATAATGTCTTCTTGGAGTAGGAGATATATGTGTATGGCCCATATGAGGTTTATGTGGTGAAGCTGGCGGGGAGGTGGGCTCAAGTTGATCCCTGGTAATTTTATTACAAGGATCTTTGTGCCACTTTCTCTGGTGTTGGTGTAGCAGCCTCAGGGTGCTGACGTAGTATGGGCAATGCTTGCACTTAAACCTGTTGGCAGGGTTGGGTTTGTGGTAAGTCATATGGAAAGCTAACATTGATTTCTTTTGTGTACGATATGGGCATACTTTACAGAAATGTGACTTTCTGTTGGTTTTTACATTATCAAACTTTGGTGGTGAAGATGTAGCATTAACATATTTCTGTATTTTCAAGACATTATCCATATCAGATGTATCATGAGCTTTTTGCAAATGTTTGATAATTTCATCTTTACATTCAGATTCAGTTTGGCAAATTGTGCAGAAGTAAGAATCTATATAGTGCCCTTCAGTTTTCTCTGCAGGCTTATTTAGAAATATGTTCAGTTTAGTCATCTTCAGGTAATCTGCTCGTTTATGAACTTTCTGTAGATGTCGATGTAATGGTCCTCTGTTCATGAAAGGCATTTCACAAACGCCACACAGGAATGGTTTTTGACCATGCAGCTGCATGTGTCCAATTATGTGAGTCCTTAGTTTTGATTTATAAGGACAGAGAGAGCAGCGCCAAAGCTTCCAGTCCCTTGGTTCTGATCTTCTATCTGCAGCTTCTTTTTCCAATAAATCTGAACCATCAAAACTGCTGTCGTCCATATCATTCTCACTCCCATCAACAGATTTATCAGTGGATTTAACAAGAGTTTTAGCTGATGCGCTTTTGTGCAGCGGCAGGACTTTAATTTTGCCTTCTTCTAATGGATGTTTGCGGTGTATATGCCTGGCCATATTCCTGCGCCAGTTTGTGATGTAATTACAGCCAGAACATTTCCACTGCCTTCTGGTAGGATCAATAGCAGACCTTTTTTCTTTGTCGTCTTTATTTTTTTGTGAAAGAGATGATGGGGACTGAGGAAAGAATGAAGATTTATTAGAATCCATGTCTTGACTATCTTCATCATTTGAGTCTGCTAGAATTTCAGCCTTGATGTTGGGAGGTTGTTTAAATATAAATTGGTCCATCGAGTTTGATGATGAATTTGATGGAGGCTTAACTGGACCAACAGTAGTTTTAGGAATTGAGAGAAAATCTTCATTCTTTGGGTGACTTGGAGAACAATCTTTACCATAGGTTTGGGAGGCTTCCTCTATTGACAACATAATAACAAAGCCACCTTCATTGGGATGTTTGGATCGCAAGTGTTTCTTCAGGTCCCATTTCCAGTTGGATCTAAGACCACAGATAGAACACTTGAAAGGCTTGACATAGCCATGCATTTTGGGGTTGCTGAACTTTGAATCTGGCCTATGCAGTTTCCCAGTTGGAGATACTGCAACAGGGAAGCCCCCTTTCAGTTCTGGAGATTCAGCTTGAAGGTCAGGCCTAGAAGAGCATGGGTATATTTCACCTGTGTAATAGTTAAACTCCGTACCATCACCAACATAAACAACCCTAACATCTTTATACGGATGAGTGTAGTTGTAATGTTTCTTGACATCTCCTTTGTTAGATCCAGACTTCCCACAGATGGCGCAGGCATAGGGCTTATCAATCTTAGCCAGCTCGTCAGGTGAAGGATCAACAAATTTAGCCAACGGCATCTGTTCAGATCCACTGTCACAGTTCACAGACAGATCCCCTGACAGTTTTTCACTTTCTCGACTTTGTGCAAGGCTATCCTGGACCTCAGGTGAGTCCAACATAACTTGCCCAATAACTCTGCCATTTTCATTCTTGTGAACCATGGCCATGTGCCTGATAACTCTATTCTTCTCCAGAGACTTGAACTCACACAAAGAACAAAAATTGACAGCTAGTTCTTTGTTCTTCCTGTCGTGTTTGGAGAGATACTCTTGAATGGTGGCTCTGGCTTCATCCACAGTTAAAGTAATGACATCCTCCACCCCGGCCGCTGGGTTCATGTGAACTTTGTTCAAATGTTTAACAATATCCCACTTCCAATTGGTTCTCTTACCGCACGTAGGACACACATACTGCTTAAGGTTAAGATGAACTGCCATATGCGCCTCCATTCTCTCCGACGTGGTTGTCTTGAACTCACAGTTTGGGTACTCACACACAAACGTCCCGTCTTTCAATGTGACTGAGCCTGTGCTTTTCTTACTGTTACTGGTCGAGCTCTGAACACTGTCTGGTGTACTTTCTCTCCAGGTATCTGGACTATCCTGCTTGTCTGGAGTGTTGGCAATCTTAGAAGGTGAAGGAGAGGGAGAAAGGCTTCGGTGTCGAGAGCTCCCACTGCCTGTTTGTTTAGTCAGTGGCTTTATGTCTGGGCGGTGAATTAAGTATTCACCTATTTCAAGTGCATCTTTACTCAAGACAATTTTGTGATGGCGGAACAAGTGTCTGCCAACATCACCCCGCCAGTATGTTTGGTAGTCACATAATCGGCACTGGTATGTCTTGTCAATATCCCCATGGATGCGAGAGTGTTGCTCCAATTCAGCTTTCGAATGAGTTGTAAACGGACAAATAGGACATCTAAAAACTATAGGCGAAGCTTTCTTTATCACATTCAAAGAAGTCATTTCTCTGATAAGGTTTTCTGGGGGCTCCATGTTGTGATCTCTGCGCATGTGAACATTTAGATCACCAAGATACTTGTACTTGCTGGAACACATGGTGCATTTAAAACGCTTCACGATTGTGTGAACCTGCATGTGCCTTCGCAAGTCACTGGGCCACTTGGCTATGTAAGAGCAGTGTGAGCATTTGAGAACTTCCAGGTTAAAAATCTTCTTCTGTTTGGCTGCAGAGATCAAGGGCCCACTTTTTTTCTTCAGTACTCTCATGATCTGGTTCTCCATGCTCTTGCTGAGGGAAGCAGCGTTAGCTTGGTTGAATTTATGTTTGGCTGTGAGATGCCTTGTAAAATTCCCACGCCTGTAGCACACCATTGGACACTTGGGACACCTTAATATTGGAACAAAAAAAAATAAAAAATCCAGCACTTAGTACAAATATCAATTAAAAATTCAAGCACTTAATTAGTTTGCTAATTATCTCCTAAAAATTGGATTACTGTCTACTATAATTAACTAGCACTAAATCACTTTCAAAGCTTAAAATAATTTTAAGAACCTAAGAAAAAAGTAAAGAGCAAACACCTATATTCTGTATTATCTTCCCCATCATTCTGGTTTTTTGAATTCTCTTCACTAGTAGAAACCTTAAAGAATATATTAAAAACAAGTTGCAAAAAATAACAAAACGAATTACAAAATATACAAAATTCATTACTAATATTACATTACTTACATTCTGCTGAGAGTCATCCATGAATGAACTGTTATCCTTACTAGTGTCATATGATTCATCTTGAGAAACTCCCTCATAACTATGGTCAACACCTTCTTCATAAGCCAAACTGTCTTCTCCTGAAGGCTCTTCAACTTAAAAAGATAATAGGAAACTTAAAAATAAATTTTTTAGTTTCTATATCTAGTGTTGATCACAAAACAACTAAATATTATTAAACAATAGTGTTGACTTAACAGTGTCATGTTATACATAAAGCATTTTTATAGCCTTTTATAAATTTAAAAAGCAAAATAAGCTTCATACTAATGGCAGGTGTATGCTGTGTGGCCACGTGTCTTTTTATTTTACTCTCTGATTCAGCACCAAAATTGCACACTGTACATTTAACAGGGTACCCATCTGTGTGAAATGATCTAGAGAATAAGGAGAACATGATCAACTACAACCAAAGTCCACTAAATATACACACTAAATTTTCTTAATGTTTAATAGTTCTCTAATACTTTTATCCATACAGATTAATTAAAAAATTGCAACAAGCCCTGAGCAAACTGCATACTCATATTAATAAAAAGAAAAGCTAAATCAATAAACAGTGCTGGGAGTCAGTGGGTAATTTCCAGAAAAGTAGGGCAATTATTTTATTGGGTGTTACAAATGAATTAGTTTAAAAAAAAAATTACAAGCCTTAAAATAAAATGGCTTATGTTGCATTATCAAATTACTAACCTGTGTTTCTCAAAATTAGACTTGGCATGGGTTACATAAGAGCAATCATTACACTTCATATAACCATGACAATCATGTGTAAATATGTGTTCATAATAAATACCCTGTAAAAAAGAATTTTCTATAAAAATCTTGAAAATCTAAGGAATGTGGTTTATCTTGTGTACATGTTAGATTCAATAAGTATGGCAATAAAGTACTAAAATAGAATAAACATAATTTTCAGTTTATATCAAGATTTGAAACAATATTATAAGATTAAAAGCTGAAAGAAATAGAAAATTACTTTTAAATTGAAAATTACTACAATAACAATTATTAAATATACAATTGTGGCTAACTAGTAATTTCTGTAGCAGAAAAAGGTACGAAATGGATACAGCAAGGATGGATAAGGACAACAAAAAACCTAAATTTAACATCTTAGTCTTTTAAGTATTCAATGTCTGGAAATTTGTATAATACTTTACAGCCCTGGTGTTAAGACTTAACTTGGTTTTAAAACCTTATCTGCCTTTATCAGTCATTTTGGAAAATTAAATAAGGGCAATTTCACAAAACTGTATGATTTCTCATTCTGTAAAATTTTAACTGATTTTCATAATGACAAAAAGACTATTAAATAAAGAAAACTATATTTTAGAAAAATGAATGTAAATATAAAATTGAGAAAGAAAAACCTACTTGGCTCCTTGTTGTCATGTCACAATGTGGACAACACAACAATTTACTGTGACACAAAACATGGTGTTTTTTTACACTACTTGGAATCGATGCATAATACAGGCAATCTCTACACTGGTAATGATGTGTTCCACCTTCAACTAATATCATTCTGTATACCTCCTTAGCAGCTACATTAGGGCTTGGTGTTCCATCCTAATGAAAATTAAAAAGTAGCAAAATGGTGAAGTTCTAATTTATTTTTTAATATATAGCTCTAAAAAATAACAAAACAAAATACTTGAAAATAATGTGAAAAAGTTAACTCATTGAACAAAATATTCTATAAAAAAGCTCTGAATGGAAGATAAATATTCAGCTTGTGTTTAATTTGAACATTAACATTGTCCAATTTAACATTCTTTACTTTATATATTTAAGTAGGCATACAAAATTCATGGATTCAGGGGATATTAACTAAGCTGGTTACTGTACTTTAAAATATCAGCAGGTATTGTTTTTAATAAGTGTAAAATTAATAAGTACCAGTGAAAAATATTTTTTGGTAGACTTTGAGCTTGATTTCTTCTTAGTTGAGCTACCAGAAATCTTAAATGGCATTTTGATATTTAATCGTTTGAGCCTCAAAGGTTTTAATTTTGGTCTCCCAAAAGCATCCAGTTCAGGTGTATCTATTTCCAGCACATTTTCTCCCGTTTCCTTTTGTGGATAACAATTATCTTCCTGTTTATTGCTTTTTCCTTCACCGTGTGTATCAGAAGATTGTTTGTGAACTGCCATATGACGTTCAACTTTATTATTAAATCGAGAGGCATAGTTGCAGTAACTGCATGTGTAAATTTTTGTCATTTCACCATGGACATCCCGTAGATGATACAAGTGTTCCCTGGCACTGTTACATTTAAAAGGGCATTCATTGCAGCTGTACTGTCTGAGGGTGTAAATTTTTTAGTTTAGTTTTAAACTTGCTTTCATTTTTAATTTTACAATAATGTTAAGTAGGATAAGGAATAATAGCTTTACAATTTTAAATAGTTACTTATTATGTTAAATTAATTATGGTGATACATTAGTAAAAACTATCAACCCCAATGGACACAGCATTTTACCTGTTGTAAGGTGCTCCAGGCATAATAACATCAGAATCAAATGTGTTTTCCAAGACAGCTTCACCTTCTGGACTTTTTTCAATACTTGAAATTAGGTTCTTATCATTGCTTTCATTTAATTCTTTTGGGCTGCCTGATATATCCCATGCACCAGTTAATGATGGTGAATCAAAACTTTCTTCTTCATTAATGCTTCTATCCTCTTTCTCTTTCAAATCACCAAGTTCAGGTTCTATGTTTACATCTTCAGGTGAGTCATCAACTCCACAAACCACATTAAGAGAACCTTCTTTACTTAACAGTCCCTCTGTTCCCTTTAACCGGATAGGATTGCGAGGGGATGATCTTTTTGATGCTATCCCATGTATTGAAAGACATCTATGCAAGTGCCGCTTAAATATGTAGCTGTTTGCAACTTTGAAATCACAAAGATCACAAGTATACATAGCGGAAGTTTTTGATTTAGGCATCTTAATATTGCACTGTTGCCAATATTAGTAACATGTTATGGTCTTCTTCACAACTTTTGACTTCTGGAATTAATTATGAAATTTTAAAATTCAAAAATAGAAACAAAAATAGAAATGAGTTCTTCATCAATCATTTGTGTAAATGATTTTCATTCCATGAAAATATGAAGAATGAAAAATGAATTTTGAAATTTATCACACTACAAATAAAAACATTATACAAAGAGAACTGAACAGTTATTTGCAATGCAAGCATAAGAAAAATCTATATATATAATTCTCTTCTTCGAGCCGTTAGAAAACAAGCTGCAAACGCTCTCCCTACCTCCCCACCCCTACATGGTTTTAGTGAGCTGTGTTCACTCTAAATGTTTACAAGCAGAGCCAACGATTTTAAACGTAGGGGGGGGGGGAGGGAAGGAAGGGGGGGGGGGGGGGGGTTATGGTCCTTAACGAGCTACTTATAGTGTTTTAAAGAAATATTTTCAGTGTCAGCGTTGGTACTGTCGAATTCACAAATTATGAATTATTGAAAATTAGAAACAACTAAATAGCGGCGTATGTTATGCCGCGGGCCGGCTCGTATAATATTATTTTGCAATTAACCTGTTGTAAGTCATTTAAGTAAGTCAGCTCTGTGTAATAAACAGTTAAGACAAGTAGAATGCATTGAACATGGTTTTTTTTTAAATTCTTGTTTCTTATATAAAGATGAAAAGAATTGATGCAATTACTATAAAAATAAAGCAAGAGTGATCTCCCCCAAACTTTCTTGAATATTTTTATATAACACTTCGGGGATGGCAACTCGGGATATAGACATGATTTTAAATCAATTTTTAAACACTTAACTTTTTAAAATAGAATCGAATTTGAAAGAAAAAAATAATTGCTCATCAAATGAACAGCAAACAATGTATGTATAATAGTGCAGAATATTAATACTTAATAAATTCATATTGGTCTTTTGAGAAATTGAAAATAGCTTAAAGTACTACTTCATGTGAACAGAAATTACTCAAAATTTGACAGGAGGCAGAGAATTAGATCCTTTACTTTACTTATATGTTAAATTTAGTCTATCTCAAACAGTAGGCCTACTCAAGTTACAGGCTTTTGAAAAACCAAAAGTATAAAAGTTCCAATTCTGGTTACCGAAAATCGCTGAAAAGTTGATATAGAACTACAGATTTGATATAATACTTATATATGAAATTTCCACATCCACACAGATAAAATTGCAAGACTATGTTTTTCCGACTCAGGGATGTGTAAAACTTCGAGATTTGTGAAAATCTCATTTTGATTTTTCGCACTATTACAATACTTACTCTATACTTTGTATTCAAGAAAGTAAGAATAAAAATAATTTGATAAGACAACTAAGATATCTCTATACTATACATTTAATTCAATCCTATCACTTTAAACATAAGTTCTAGAGAATAAATTAGCATAAACAAAGGTTTTAAAACTAAACAAACAAAAAAAGCAGTCTGATTAATTATTGAAATGCTCCTTGGTTTCAGTAACCAATAAAATTGCTTGATGTTTTAAAGCCTTAACAAGCTGCATTTTTAAATTACTGTAAAGGCATAAAAAATAAATTCTTAAAGTTCCCAAAAAAGCAGATCCTAAACATTAAAACATACAATAATAATTATAATGAAAAGAAGGAAAACCAACTGAATTTTCAGATAATGGGCAAGAATGATAAGGGACAAAAATCAATCTATGGAACAAACTATGGATCAAGACCATCAAGTTTTAAGTCAAGTCATAAAAATTCTGCAATTATTTTGACCAATGATAAAACAAGCGTTGCATTCTAAATAGAGTGTCTTTTTCTATTTTTTTTTAAATGAACCCCTAGGAAACGAAAAAAAAGGACTAATGTGCAGCCTCAAATTCACTAATAAACTAAACTAGAAGTTCTAATAGAAGTAATTTTTAGGTGCTCTCCTAATCTGACAACAGATTTGGATACCAGCTCTGAGTCTGTACAATGACCTTGAGTCCATCCAGCTCTAATGAGTACCAAACTCACATTAGGAGAACACCTATTCACCTGCCCTATTCACATTAGACCAGAAATGGGAAAGGGTAGCTATCCTATACTATCTATTGGTGAGCCAGCTAACAATATAATGTGGAATAAATGTAATTTAAAATAGGCCATAGGATATCCATGAACATCCTTCAGGAACTATCAAAAGTATCATCGCTGGCTAGGAAATTTTTAGATCTTATTAGATTCTCTATATAGGCTAGATTTAATAGATTAGTTAGGCTATTAAAAAAAAAAAGCTTAGGCCTAGATCAGGGGTCTCCAAACTACGGCCCGCGGGCCGGATGCGGCCCGCGAAGTCCTCTCATCCGGCCTGCGGAGATGTTTTTGTCTAAGGAAAAATCGTTTGTTGGTGATGATGAGGAACTTTGCACAGAAAAATCAAAGACATGCCTGGAAGAAACTGGCCCCCGAACTGAAATTTGATAGTTAATGCGGCCCTCGGACTGAAAAGTTTGGAGACCCCTGGCCTAGATAATAAGTAAGGTGGTAAAGTACCCCTTTGAAACTGATGGTTTATGTGGCAGGTGAAGTAGAGTTAACATGTTTCTCTTCTGTGCCCTAAGCATATGATGAAGGGATAGCATGGTCAGCACTAGACTATACAGCATACCCAGCCACCAAACTTTTCATAAGTCAGATAGTATCTAGATCTAGAATCTACCTATGGCCCTCACCTCAGAACTAGACTCTCTTCTTAGTCTCTAGCTAGGGCTATAGCACTAGATGTAGGTTCTAGATCTCTCTAGAATCTAGTTCTGGTGATAATAGAATAAGAATCTAGATTCTAGATCTGATCTAGGCCTAGACTACAACTTACAAGTAACAAACAATCTACAATGGTACATGCCACATGCATACACAAACAATACATACACACACATACACAATCCAATGACAAATGGGAATGGTTAGGTTTGGTGACTTGGTCTCAGTAGAAATTCATATTGATTTTTGGAGCAAATAAGATTTCGTAGAGTTGTTCCCAAATTTAGAGACATAAGAAGATGGATGAGCCTGTGGATTTAGTTTTCAAAAAAGTCAACGTCTCGTTCTTCAACATGGACTGACGTCGATGGTACGCTGCGGTCGTACAAGGAAGATGGCAAAGTCTCAAAGAATATGCCGTTCTAACTGCTACAAACGACCATAAACAAAGTATACAGCTACTCTGGTGTTGCGAACAGTCAGAATAAAACATGATATCAACTAAAACACCCAAATTATTACATAAAGTGACGTGGAAAATTCCTACGGCAGTCTTCTGTTGACCACCAAAATGGCATCCAACGAGCTGTCTCACCGCGGCCTGCGCATGGTCTGAAAACTAAAACCTCTGCACAAAATACTAGAGATCTATAAATCGGCTTACCTCATTTGTTGAAACATCCATACTAGTCCCCAAAAATGAAACCTATTGTAGAATTTTAATGTTTTGGAACAGAAGCTAAATGAAATACTATTCTTCAAACCGCCGACAAGTTCTCCAGACACAATTTCGTCGAGTTGCCGGAAAGTAGGTCAACCTTCGACAAGGTAATTAATATTCATGAGCACCTGATCCAGTCTTTGTGGAGCATTGCATGCTAGATCTAGCATCGAGAGTGCCAACGGACTACGTTTTCTACAAACGCAAAATTGAAAGTATATTAAAAGTCATCGTTTACAAAATAAAAAGTTCAGTTATTCTTTCGTAAAGTAAAACATTAGACTAGGCTCTATAGATTTATTTCGCAACTTATAAAATTATCTAGATTTCTAGGTCCAAACCACCTGATATGAGGCAAAGAGGAAGAATGTTAAAAAACGATAATTTATACCAAGCATACATGAGAGGAAAAACGTTAATCGAACTCTTAGTGTATCAAACTATACGTGAAAATAATTGTAGGCTAGGGTAAAATGTAGAATAAAAACTACCAAAAAAAATCACCATATGAATGTAATTAAACAAAAAAGTTATTGATAAATTTGTACTACTGCAATAAGCATGAACTTTGAAATGAAACATTTTAGCTTTCGATCAAAAATTAGAATTTAAGATTAGATTGAGATGTACGTGTAGGCCTAGATACTAGTTAAATCGAGATATATATTTTTTTTAAATTAACTGTTCGAGAAAGTTAATAATTGTCTACTTGACAAAATTGAAAATAGGCCTAAATATGATGATTCGTGAATGACTGACCATAGACTAACCACTGGGGTTTGAATGCCATGTATGACAGCTCATGCGTTGATCTACAAAGCGTACGCAAAATAAGGGTTGTTTTTTTTTTAATTATAGGGGTAAATATAGATCTAGGGCTTTGAAATAGTTTTAGGTCTATTTTGGCATACGATTCACCTACTTAATTAAGCAGGTCTATGTGTGCAGTGTAGGCCTACACTGACCTACTTAGGGCTGATATAACCTCAAATGTATATTTAGATATTTAGACAGTTTGGTTCGCTGGTTGAGCTTTTTCGCACTCAAAAGAGGGTAGTTCATAAAAGACTTAACTCTCGTGAAAAAATGGATAAATTAAACTGTAGTAACGAGGGAACCGTGGGGTTAATAAAGTGTGGTGTGGCATTTATTTTGTTACTTAACAAAATTAATAAAGTTATGTTTATTTTTATAGCCTTTAATTTTATACTTGTCTATGAACTTTTTGACGAAAGAAGCTATACTTTTAAATTTTGCCGTCTGCGCATGCTTATCTGGACTTCAACGTCAACTTCTTAAAACTAAAGTTAACATTATTTTTTGTAAACAAATAAATATATAGGTCTAGAGACTATTGTATTTTTAATCTAACTGAAGTCCAGAAAGGGGGTTACTTTTTTTCAATCACATAGTAAACTCGACCGAGCAGATCTGATTTATTAAGTAGTTTGAGAGACGCATTGCATTGTTTCTTCCAGACTTTTTTCTCCGAGAGGGGGGGGGGCACTTGATATTTTCACCCCCCCCCCCCCCAGCATTAACGCCCCACTGGTGGCGCACATAGCTAGTGGGCGTAGGGGAGTGGAGATTCGAGCATATATGAGGAGTATAAGGGAAAAAATCAATGTGAACGGCATTAATGAGCTATACACATTTTTCGTGAAAAATATAGGTACGACCCAGTCAGCACACATATATTGGCCCAATATTGGCTAAACATTGGTTACCAATATTGGCTACATCTTGGTGCAACATTGGCTTAACCTTGGCCAAACATTGGTAGTGAAACTCGGCATGATGTTGGCGCAATGTTGGCACAATATTGGCTATATCCCGGCTACATATTGGCCCAACATTGGCTAGATCTTGGCCAAATATTGGCTATATCTTGGCCCAATATTGGCTATATCCCGGCTACATATTGGCCCAACATTGGCTATATCTTGGCCAAATATTGGCTATATCTTGGCCCAATATTGGCTATATCTTGGCCAAATATTGGCTATATCTTGGCCCAATATTGGCTATATCTTGGCCCAATATTGGCTACATCTTGGCCCACTATTGGCTATATCTTGGCCCAATAATGGCTATATCTTGGCCCAATAATGGCTATATCTTGGCCCAATAATGGCTATATCTTGGCCCAACAATGGCTATATCTTGGCTATATCTTGGCTCATTGTGTATTTTATCCTGGCTATATCTTGGCCCAATAATGGCTATATTTTGGCTATACCTTGGCTCATCCTGTATTATAACCTGGCCTCAAATAGGCTCAAATTATGATTTTTTACATACAAAAAAATCCATTCTCATATCAGTCATAGTATTTACAAAGTTAATTTCAAAATGTGATAGAAACTTTAATCAAAATGTAATAAAGCAGCAATACATTCACAAAAAACTGTTCATCTATTAAAATATGTATTATACAATTCATTCAAATGTAAGAAAACTATAACTATATTATAAAGTACTGATAGAAAATGAATATGTAAATAGTAGTGTAGTAGCTTTCATGTTGACTTTTAATTTTATACAAACAAATTAAAAACAAATATACAAAAATTTTCATATAATGTAACAGCTGTTAAGTACAGTTAAAATTAAACGAATGTAAAAACTTAATTTACTGTACAAGAATACAGAAGCTGTCATGTACTACTATGGTAAGTAAAAATAACATTCAAACAAAATACTTAATTTATACATATATAATTAACTGGGGTAAAAGTATTTGTTAAAAAATTTCAGCATTTTCACAGATTTACAATGTAGTAAACACTATCACTAAGGCATTTATGTTATTTTGAATAAACTTATACTTCTATTAAAAAATTGATTTTTTTTAAAAATACCATTAATGAAGGTGTGCAATTTTGTTTTACTTGGGATTGGGGGGGGGGGGGGGGGCTGATGCTTAAAATAATCACTCCGCCTCTTTATGATTCTGTAGCTGTTTGCTGGGGCCCTCTCTTCTTTTTCTCCCCCCTGCACGGTCACCAGACATGGCAAGCCATTCACTTGTCCCCTTTTCCAGTTCTTTTATAGTAGAATTTTTAAAAGATCTTAGTATAGAATCTGAAAAAAAAAAGTAAAACTTATCAGCATCTTGCCTTGTCAATTCTTCTGTCCATATATCTGTCATTTACCTCATCTTTGTCTTTCTGTATAGACAGAAAGCTTTAGATATATACAAATAGGCCTACATAATTTTAAGTTATTGGAAGCAAAGAAGCCATTTTCATTTTACCAAAAATTGTCATCTTGAGGTTCCGGAGGTCATTGAATTTCAGTTTTCCTTTTTTGCCTTCAAATGAGTAAAGAGTTGATAACTGAGGACATATTAATTCTTTTAAAACCCTGAACAGACCATGCCGAGCATTTTTACCTCCATAGTTGCTGAGGTAAAGACTCTGTTGAACAAAAAGTATTCAGTTAATACAAAGTATTGAAAGAAATATAATACACTCTAGTTTCTAATTTAACAGTAACTGTTATAACATTGCTTACCATCCTCTTCTGTACTGATGTGTCATTCAGACAACTATCCAGGCTGACCATTTGCTCAACTGACTGTAAAGGAAAGGTGTACCCTTCTGGCAGGCTCTGGATAGTTTCTGGCATATCCTCTCCCATACCATTCAATTTAGCCTCAAGCCTATCCACTTTTCTATGCAGGCGCCGGATTTCTTCAAGCAGCTCTGCATTGTTTTCCATAATCTTTTTAAAAAATGGCATCAGCTGATCTGTATTTTGCTGGGTGACTAGAAAAGAAATAATTTATGTCAAATCTTTACTAAATTTTTTTACAAACAAAAGCAAGAATGCTAACAAAGTAATGATTTATTTTAAAAAAATACAATACACTTACAGCCAGAAAAACTAGGGGACGCTGAAAACTGTGCATATGATGCAGGTGGTTTTGGAACAGCTTTGGAAGCTTCAGGTGGTTGTGGCAAATATTTTATGGAAGGTATAGGTGACCTTGACCTCCGCCTCACCACGACTCTGCACTGCTTCTTCCTGGCAGGTGATGATTCTGATGATTCAGAATCATCATTGGGACTCCTAATGCAAAATTTTTATTTTCATTATTTATACAAACATAACAAACTTAAATGAGGCTATATATTTAGATCAAGATCTAAATTAGATATTGTAATATATACCATCTAATTGTTGGCCGTGACTGCCGATGTGGCTCTGATCCTGAGCTCTCAACATCACTCTTATCTAGAGCCTTTCTCTCGAGTGATTTTATCTTTTCATAGGAAACTGTAATGTGATAAAAATGTCTAAATGTTTTAATAAAACATTAAAAAACAATAATATAATTGTATTATAATAAGTATATGTTACTTTTAATATTTAAAATTTTTAATGTAAGTAATTGTTGGTAATTTAAAAATATGTTAATTCTTACCATTGCTGTGCAGAATTTTCTCATATGTAAAAATCTGCCAGCTCTCACATGGCTCCTTTGCATTGCGCACCCATGCATCTCCAGCAGTTGGTGTGCTTGGCCAGTAACATTGCTTTTTGCCAGCCAGCAGCCACACATCTGGCACCACCATCACCATCCTTACATTATCCTCAACAGTTTCCAGAAGGTGGTACATTCTTTAACTTTAATACAGACTTAAATACATAAACTATACTAATTGCAACAAATATGAATACACAGTATTTACATAAAAATTAAAGACTTAAATGGATTAGATAAAACAAATTCTAATATTTTTGTTCTTTGTGATTTAGAGGAAGCAGCACATATCTCTTTTTGTATGGTAAGAGAACACATTTCTGTTCAATTTTTGATACATTGAATGTCTCTAATTTACCAGAAAGATTTGACACCTCAAAAATGCTCAATTTTGAGGACAATAATGGATATTGAAAAAAATCATAACATGTTAGAAATCGCTCAACAACAAGTACTGGTTCAGAAGACAAATCCATAATGAGAATGTTTCTAAGCAAAAAGAAAGTGTCTTCAATTTTAACACAGTTGTCTCCATTATCTATGGAAAAAAAGATACCTTTAAAATTAATTTGAGCAAATTGATCACATCTAACTCCATTTGGCAATGGCCCAAGACAATGTTTTTTTTTTGGAAAAGGATAAGGCTTGTCAGTTACAAAATCTTGAGATGAAAACAATCCTTTATCTGAGACTGCTCTTTCTGATAACCTCTTGACAACTTGTTCTAATGGTGTCTGTGGTTTACGAACAAGTTTCTTCAACATACCCAAAAAATTTTCGAATGGAAAAGCACTGAAAGAATCTAGTGGTCCAAAATTCTTAACATCTGCTGCCAAATGTGTGAGCCCATGCACATTATAAACCAGAAATTCTTTACCATAAAGTTCTTTAGCTTCTTCTACAAACATACACAACAGTTCATGTGCATAATCAACATGACTGTAACATAAAGTAGGACTAGCAAGGCAATAAATACCAACAAAGAATAAAAGGTAATGACTATAATGTACTTTGTCTATATTTCCTTTCAATGCAACTATACCACTGTATAACAAAAACTGCCTAAACTCTGTAGCTTTCCACCTTTCTATATCATGCAGAGAACGGCATTTTCTAGAGAATTCACGTGGAATATATTCTTTGAAGAGTAGTAGACGGTTTGATATCTGTTGGACAGCCTGATTTCCTATTCTAAGGCCTTTTGAAACTGGACTCTTAAGCCAGAGTAAAAGAATTCTTCTTGTCACCCCTAAGCACACTAAATGCATGTAATCTAAAGGAAACTGAGTGACCATGCCAACTGACAAACTAGTCAAGGGAGATAATCCATGAAATTGATGATTTTCATCTTCAATTAAATCGAAAGCTTCATCTGAACGTAATGTTGCATTTATTTCAGGAAAGATGACTTTTTCAGCCCACTCCCCTTTTTGACAACATTTATCACAGCCCCAGTAACCTGAATGCCCTTTTGTTTTCTTAACAAAAGACCGCGCTGGAGCATCACATATAAAACAAGATATACACAGTTTAATAGGAAAAATAGAATCTTCGTTGTCTTCAAATCTGAGTGAAGTGGCACCTTTCTCGAGTACATGCATTTCATTCACAAAATCCGTTAAATATTCTTCAATGCTAACTGGTTTGCTATCTCCATAATACAAACCAATTAGGAATGGATCAGATTCAAATGGTTTACAAATTCTTCCAAGAATTGGCCAAAATTGACTGCATGAGGATTTAAATAAAGGCAAACCATCAAAATTAATTTGCAAATGGATAACTGGAGTCTCATTTGGATGAGAATGTAGAAATTTAAATAAATGTTTCGATTTTGTTAAGCAATTTTCAATTCCAAAATGGTAGTATGCACCACCTGTAATAGCTTTAACATTTATTTTTCTAGGAGTTTTCAGCAAAGTTCTTGAATCCTTTGGTAATGAAGGGTGGTAGGTGCACAATAAGCACAGTAAGGCACTAAGTGCATCATTTTTTATTTGAAAATCAATAGCCCACTTTCTGACTTCCTCTTGTAAATTATTTTCATAGTTGTCTTCTGGCGATGAGTCTGCATCTGTCTCACAATCTACATCCGACAGAATATCATTTAAATCTGTATAATCATAATTGCTAGTATTATCATACATGTGTTGCTCAGCGCCAGTCTGTTGATGGTGAGCTTCGTTTCTAACTTCTGAAAAACATGCTTGGTGACCAGTTACTGTGACTGGTGTTGATGAATAATTTACACTGTCAAACTCATTGAGAATAGGCCTCTGATTACTACTTTTATCAATAGGCCTATCATACTCATAATCATAATTCCTGGGCCTGCCTCTGACAGAAACGTCATGTACTGCCCTTATACAGTCAGCTAAATCATTACTAACCCTTTTTCGGGTAGCTCTCCAAATAGAACTTTTAGATGGTTCTTTCGTTGAAAACATATTTATTATTTAAAACAATCACCTAGCCTGTTACTGTAATGCCTAACTATGTAAATAGACTTCCTCTTATTTAATGACAGAAAGTGTTTTCTACACAGCAGTATGAATTTATGTACATTATTCTCCTCACTGTTGAAAAAAAAGTCAATAATTGGTGCAATACCTGTTGATGCGACAAGCTCACCTGTTGTCGGATAATCTGTTATCGATAATAATTGACGATGTTACCTGTTGATTAAGTGGTTTTAAGTCCTTGAAAGGATTATTAACAGAATCCAAACGTCGGTAGATTAAGCGATGATAAAGACGAGGTCTTAGTGCCGCTGGCTTGATACAACAAAGGCTCTGTTGTTGAGGAAAATGGCGAGCAAAGAATGGCAAGTAAAGACCTGGCGGGATGCTGGCTTGATAACAATAGAAAGGAATGTGGGCATAGAATTTAGGCCGAGATGCGATGGACTAGCGTGACGCTGGACGGGTAGCCACGCACACAATTTTAAAAATATTAAACAAAATGTTTAAAACACGCAACATAGTTTGTAGTTAAATCTAATTTTAAACTGAAGTATTATATTTGATTTTTAAACGTATTTCATGGAACATATATTAAGTTTAACAAACCTATTTAAATAAAATTGCTGCAGTAAATACATAAATCATTGTAATCTTGGCAAGCCAGGGTAAAAACGGTTAAATACCAAGGTATCAAGGGAAGCTATTCAAAACAAAGGGATGCAAGCACGTACAAATCTTGGCCGTATCCTGGCATAAGCATGGCGGGACCTTGGCCAATTTATCGCCAAGATAGCGATATTGGGCCAACCTTGGAACGACATTGGGTTAATAAATTGTGTTAGCTGGGGAACGGATGTAGCGCTAGCTTTTTCCATATGAATGAGTAGAGCAAAAATACCCCCCCCCCCCCTTATTGTTTTGCAAAAAAAGTTGGGCTATTTTTGACAACGTACAAGTCACATGGATTTTCAACATGATTGGTGTCAATGAAGTTGTTCAACGCATGTCAAAGAAACCATTTCTATCGATACAAAAAGATAAAAAGGAATTATACAGGTCCTCTAGCCTAAACTTTATTAATCCACTGCCAATATTAATAGTTTTAAGGAATGACGCGACTTGTTCGTCTATAGCAGTTAAAAATCCTCAAATTGTTTCACTCAATTGTGTGTGTGAGCAGTGGTGGACTGGCAGTGTCCAAGAGGCAAGGGAAATTTTAACAGGAGCTCCCAACCCCAAATAACATATTCATTGTGCAATTTTCCCGTACAAAGCCTGATGATCATCCTCATCTTGATGGAAACTTTCGCAACAAATTATATTTTTTACATTCAAAGAAATATGGGGTCATCCATAAATGACGTCACACTTTTTTTTGATGATTTTTACCTTCCCCCCCCCCCCCCTCCGTCACACAGCGTCACAAAAAGCCAGACCTCCCCCCCTTAAAATGACGTCACACCTCAGCCTACAACCCCCCTCAAAATTGCTGTTTAATTTTTCTTAAAACATCGATATTTTTTTCCAAAATCTTGTCTGAACTCTCTCAACATAGAATATTTTAATCAACTCCTATTACAATTTATTAAATCAGTTTTCTTAAACGCGAAATAACGGCTAAAATTCGTTTTCTAACATTGCTTTTTTATAATGCAAAAGTGTGACGTCGCACGATCTGAAACCCCCCCCCCTTCCCCTCATCACACACTGTCACAAATTTACGGACCCCCTCCCCCCTACGAGTGTGACGTCCTTTATGGACCACCCCCAACCCCAAATAACATTTTCATTGTGCAATTTTCCCGTACAAAGCCTGATAATCATCCTCATCTTGATGGAAACTTACGCAACAAATTATTTATTTTTTAATTCAAATCACTAATAGGCCTAGTACAGCACCGTTCCTTGAGGCCCACCGGGATTTATCTCGGTAGACCGACGGGCCAGTCCGCCCCTGAGGGTGAGCACCAGTGTTTCCTCTAAGCTGCACGGTTGCGCGGCCGCGCAATAGTTTTGAACCTGCAGCGCAGTCCTTTGTAAAATACATATATCCTTGTATAAGACTTTTAGAACACCGCGCACACACAATACAAGTTGCACACACGCATTTTCCCCTTAGAGGAACGTTGGTGAGCACATAACGTATATATAGTTTTTACTTAATTGCTAGAAGTAGGGCTAATTTTCTACATCCATTGTCTTGCAGCTACATAAATCCCACGGTGTTCTTGTATCATTTGACTAATACATGTTTATGTAGCCTGCGAAGTGGGAGATCGGGTGTGCTGGTGCGCCAAAATTGTGATCAAAATTGGAATCCAGAAAAAATATAACATGATTTCTATTGAGAAATATATTGATCTTAGGGCCTAAACGTATAGACATTTTCATTTAAATGTAAAATACACGGTATTTATACTGAATCATTTTTGGTAAAAGTGTTGTTTCGAGAGGCACTTGGAAGATGCATTATGTGAAAATAGTTATACCCCATAATAACGACAAAAATAGGCTACAGCATCTGAACACGGAGCACACCTTATACTGCATTTGTAGGGGGGGGGGGGGTAAAAATTGCAAGTTTAAGAGCTTATAGTGGTCACTACCCTATCGCCCTTTATGCCCTGTATTAAACCTTTTTTAGCGCAATTTCCATACTGGCAATTGTTAGCGCAATTTCCATACTGGCAATTGCGTTTAATAACTCGTCATTTTTGGATGGATGGATGTGTGGATGTGTGTCCGCAGCTTTAAGTCGTATCTCCTCCTCAACGAAGCAATATCGAGGACTAGTTCCAAAAGCAAATATGTTAAGCAAGTTCCAAGGATGATTGTGGGCCAAAAAAATTCCCGCAATTCCCTCCTGGATTTCCCGGAAAAGCCAAAAAACCTCGAACAAATGCAGTTTTTGGCCAATATCTCGGCAACCAGACCACTTAGCGACGTGAAACATTTACCAGTCGATTCCTGCCATAATTTAGAACAATATTGCCAAAGAACGTTTTCAAAAATATCCTTTCGTTCGGTCAAATTTTTTTTAAAAAAATTACATAAACACCTACAAACCGATCGTTCTCCTAGCTTAAACGCACCCCAGCATTATACGTCTCAAACTTGATCACTATCTATTTTTAGATAACATAAGGAAATAACGCTTAAATTGTCACTAGACTTTTTATTAACTTGTTTCCTTAATGAATACAAAGCGCATGCAACGTCACCCGTTTCCAAGTAGACCTACATCTTATCCAGATCCTACAGCTACAGCTTCTCTGTAGCCTATATGTTGTCAACAATCTATTCCCCTTTTTCTCCCATTGAGATGCGTGAAGTCACTAATTAAGATAACCTATTTAAAAAAAACAATGAAAAAAAACAACAACAAAAAACAACAAGTGAGCACTTGGTCCAGTTTTTAACTTCATATCCGTCACTTGACGTGATTGGGGGGAAGGGGGGGAGGTGCGGTCAGAAAGTGTGGCGACACTCATTTACCTTTAAAGCCATGCTTTAAAATAAATTGTAGACTTTATTTCGTATTTCTAAAACAGTGGTTCCCAAACTTTTTCAAGTGGTGACCCCCTTTATGAAAAGTAAGTGACCCGCGACCCCATTGAATTAAAAATTCGAAATCAGTAAGGAAATTAAAAAGCACTAAAATAAGATTTTCGTATTAGACTTTCAAAATGAATTATTCATGATAACAGTTCTATTACAATGGGTGAAATTACATATTATTCACTAGCTCAACATTCGCGGTTACATTTTTGTTAACGCCAACCTCATGTCGGTCTCAACATTTATTTCTTTGGAGAAGTGTTGAAAATCTATTCGCAATGCTATGTAGACACAAAAAGAACTAAAACTCGAAAGGCAATAAATTTAACGTTTTGATATAAATGGTGCATACTACACCTAAATTGTGTGAGCAGTTTTTCATTTAACACGGTATGTGACGCGGAATCATTACGCAAATTTAAGAATTCATCTAGTATTTCATCGGGAATGCTGGCAATGTCAAGGGATGCAGAGAATGAGTTACGTTTCTATGCAGATTCTTCTTCTTTCAGATCAGAGAAAATAACACCACAGTTCGTTTTCAAAATATTCAATTTGCCTCTTCAGAATCCTCTTTCAAATTTTTATTTATCTCACAACCAGATTCATCTACCACATTGCAGAGTTTGATGATATTTTCCCCTATCGTGTGAGAGGATTTTTTGCTTCGCAATTTTTAATGCGACTTCATATGATGCTTACATTTTCCTTGGTGAAAACTTCCTGTTCGATCAAGTCTCTGACGTTTGCAACTAGCTTAATGCCAACGAAAGAACTCCATTTCTTTAAAAATCTCTTTTAGTGTGTTCCAAATGACTAGTCTCAAAATGACGTTTTAGTTTTAAAGATTTTATAGACTCACGACTGAGAACAACTTTGCACAGTACGCATTGTTTCTTCTCTATTCCATTTTCAGTGAAGTCCGTAAAGCGAATTTCAGATATTATCTATATATATAATTTTCTTCATGGAGACCATAGAAAACACCAAGCTGTAAGCGCGCCTAGCAGCCCCCTCTCTTCATTTCAAGGCATATCCCTACCACCCCCACATGGTCTGGTGAGCTGTGGTTCACGCCTAAATGTTTACAATCGTAGAGCCGGGTTTAGTGACGGCTATTAAGGGCAGATAATTTAGTTTGAAACAATTTTAAACTTAGGGGAGGTAACTAAGAGGAGGCTGCCTTCACAAGGGGGAGGGGTGTAGGATAGGGGTTGGGGGAAAGGAGGGTGGGGGGTATCGTCCTTAACGACCTACTGATAGTGTTTTAAAGCAAATATTTTCAGTGGCATAATTAGTACTGTCGAATTCACAAATTATGAATTATTGAAAAGTAGAAAATAAAACAACTAAATAGCGGCGTGTGATATGCCGTGGGTCGGCTCATTCTAATTTTTTTTTTTACCAGTTGGCGGCCCCTAAGAAAGCCCGGGGGGGGGGGGGGGGGTCGAGCGACCCACAGTTTGGGAACCCATGTTCTAAAAGAATTCTTTAAAAAAAAGTTGATCCATATATTGACTATAACCATCACACTGCATCACTGTTGACCGAGCTTATTTTATAAAGAAATCGGTACTTGCAGAACCAGAAATTCCATTTTAGAAGGAGAAGGGTGGTAGGCTGAGAGGCGACGCATTTTTAGAGGAGGAGGGGGACTTTTTGAGACTATATAATATATGGGATGATGCGAATGGGGAGTGACATTCGATTAGTATTCTATAGTGATGACGCATATTTTTTTGTTTGAGTGAATTAAGAGTAGACTAGATTCAATTCGCTTTGTAAACGAATTATCTTGTAATAATAATAAAATAATGTTTGCACATTCATTATCTCTTCATTCTCAGCATTCTGTAAAGTAGAGCCTAGATTTAATATCAAACAAAAAATAATTGTGTATTTCTATAAATGATTATTCATATATAGCATCGCATTCGCGTATCAATTTCGGTCAGAGTATAAATAATTAAATATGTAAGAATGGCTAGATTTGGACTAGATTCATCGATTTAAGTCTACGTTATTATTTCTTTCGTTGGGTGTGTCCCGTTGGGTTTTCTAAAGATTTAGCAGAGATGGGAAAGCACTCTTGATTCTAGATCTAGAATAAAAATAGATTAGAAATAAAAATGGCTACTACGGCATCAGAAGACGTCAAGTTGTTATTTTTTGACACATTTCATCACGACAGAAATATAAAGGTTTGTTTGTTTGATACCAATAGATAATGTTGATATTTACATATCAAAGGAACTAATAAAACTCAGTTACTCATGTTAGTAATTCTTTTTAACGTGTTTTTTAAAAGCGAAAATCGGGTGGATGACTAACCTTTTTTTTCTTCAAATTTTTAGTTTAAAAAACTGACTGACATCATGTGTAAAATTTTTGGCTTGGGCTACGGGTGGCGCAACTCTAGATCTAGACTAGATCTAGATAAAATCTACGGTAATCTATCGTTTTAGGTACGTAAAATTGACCAAGGCTAGTAATATGATAAAAGGGTGGGTGGAGGATTTATGACAATTTTTTGTTTTGAAAGTTACAAAAATGTTTCAAAGTGCCTAGAATACCTCTTTTAACAGTTGCATTAAACTTTTCAGTACCTAATAAAATGAATAAATTAAGATTAGCGATGTATTCATTATATGCAACCAAGCTCATTTCCTATTCCACCCATCTTGTTTTAAGTTTTTTTGGTAACATTTTAATGAAATGAATTTAGTCAGAGATTCAGGGGAAGCCACTCTAATTTCCAGATGGCTGCTGTTTATATAGCAAATCTTGATCGCAAACACTGCAGTCTAGATTTAATTTCTGGTCCACATTTAGACATTGCTTTTGGTTTATTATGCAATTATTTATTATATTTGACACAAATATCCTAGCACAATATAGATCTACTTGTATATTTAGTCACATTACTAGCCTCTGCCTATTTTATGTACCTAAAACGATAGATTACCAGTATACCATACTTCTATACCTAGATTTTCTAAAATAGATGAGAATTTTTTTTTAGATATGTTACTACTTCACAATTAAGTATGTATAAGTAACTTAAGTTCTAGATAAACTAGTTCTAGATTCTATATTAACTAGATAGACTCTGATAGACTTTTACATTTTACTAATGTCCTGAATTTAATTACATTTATTAAAAATTGTTGAAGGCTTACTAAAATTTTTAGCCCATCTGAGTGACTCATTAAACTATAAATGAAATTATTTATTTCCTTATTAATATTTAACGGTAAAAATTTAGAGAAAACCCTTGATATTTCATAGTATCCGCCACCAACCAATCAAACGCGCGCTTTCAATGCGTTTTGGTTGGCGGCTGACGTCACGCGACCCGTAAACACAGCGTTTTTGGAGCTTAAAAGGGCAGAAAAAGACATTTTTTCTACGTGTAGTTAGGATTTTTTTACGTTTTTTAAAATGGGCCTGAAAATGACCCTTTTTAAAAATGGACATAGCCATTTTTTCGAAGAATTAATTTAAAAAAGGGCAGTTTTGACCTATGTTTCGATGTAAACAAAGGCCAATGTCAACACGTGTCAAACCACGTGAAGGCACCCGATCGACAATTTCGGTCACGCATGAGTGGTTTTCGTACGTTCTCGTGAATTAAATACCATTTTCTTGACAATATATTGGAAAACGACAATTTCGTGAAAATAACGACCCTAGAGGAATGGCTTTTGAAGATTATTATATAAAAATCGGTGTATTGGCTACGTGTATTGATTCTAAAGTTGTCTATAATTGACTAGTAGGGCATGCTGAAACAACGGCCTTCGGGCGCTGTGTAGTGTGTAGTTTCGCTAAATATAAAATAATCAGCCGGACCGCAAACTGTTAAATTGGTTGAATGTGAAAAGCATACTACTTACAAATTACTTTTGAATATTCACACCACACAAAATAATCCCAGAGAAACACAAAATAAAATCCTTTAGAAAAGCATCACCATGAAATTTGAAAACCACGTTTGTCAACCAGCCATCTTTGGCTCGACCTAGAGGTCATTCTTTAGCCAACACATGTACCTTGTCAACAAATTTAGTTTCTGATGGTACAAGACATTTAGATCAATATATTAATTAACTAACTGAATTCCAACATTCTATCACTCTTATCCCAAAATGAAACAGAATTTCAAGCACAATGATCCAACGAATAAATCCCACTCTAAGTAAGTGTCGCAGCTTTAATCCTGGATACAACCGTAGTGTGTAGTCGTGTTGTGAGTAAACTTGCACGAGATAAAACACCGACCTAGACCTTCCTGATGTTGTGTATGGCCCCAAAGTTAAATTCTGGGAGTAGGGGAGGGGAATTTAACACCAGAATAGATATTTTTTTCAATAGTTAGGCCTAGGTCATCAGTAGTTCACGCACCCTAACGGGGTTGAAAGTGTAACTTTATATTCAGCTAGGCAAAAGGTGGAGGGTGTGGTCATTTAAACGATGGAGCTATATTTCTAGTCGAAGAATACAGGGAAATCATAGCTTGAAGCCAGGATTTCATTATTGTCATTGCTATTGAGTACAACCCTTTATTCTAGTTTAATGCACGACTAGGCTACTCATTACAAAATCTAAAAAATGTAGTTGTGCCACCATGTAAAAGTTGCCTAATATGTCTACTGAATGAAGTAGGTATTTGACTTGGTTTATTAAAATGCAGATCCCGTTAGCCTAAAAATATTTGGATACACATTTTAGTTATACCGTAAGGATTAATTTTATAATACAATGCATATATTCTGGTTGTCCTTCAAGTATTAGTAGTTATTTGACTATCCATAACTTGTATTTCAAAGATTTATAATGAGCGGGATGCACTCGGTGTTTTAAATTCGGTAGCTGTTACTTTGTGCATGACATTGACAGCATCCCAATAGTTCACTGTTAATGTAAACTGAGACTCCCATCGCCAAGCAATCGTATGATAGACCAAGCAAGCATCACTCGTTAAATTCGACATCATGACTATACCAGTCCTAGATTTTCAGTACAGCCTCGAAAAGCCTAGTTCTTGGTTTTAATAAAAAGCGTCTCCTCCCCGCTTGCGCGACATCGTCATCATAGGCCAATACCACGGTGCATTTTTTAACGAGTATAACACAAACCCCTCTCCCCCTCACAGCAAACGCCAACAACGTCACAGAAGGCCCAAGGCCAATAACACGCACCATGGTGGATTTTTTTTCCAATGAGTATCTACCCACCCGCCGCCTTACAGCATACCGCTAGTCTTTACAAACGGAATTAAAAGTTTAACTTTGAGTTCAAGAAGGGGAGAGGGTGGTATTAAAACAACGATGTTCTTTAATTTGTTTAATAGTACAAATACATAGTAAAAAATTATACTTACCTATTTCTATAGCATCATACATAATTTTATAAATTAGCAAATTAATTAATTAATTAATTAAATCTAATCAGAATGAAGGGAGATAGTTTATTTTGGTTAAGGCACGACACACAACACTATGTGTGCGTGGTATGTGGCCTGACCTACCGAAAAGAGATTGTTTATATTATTGTTATGAGTTTATATTTAACTCAATGCAACGAGCCCGCCGGTTGGTTGAGGCCACGGCGGGGGACGTTCTGACCGGGATTCAAAGGGTCGATTCTAAATATTATCCTATTTAACTTATTTCAAGTTGCCAATATATGTGCATATTGAACAATATATCTACTGTATCTATTAAAAGTTCACAAAACACCAAAGTTAAGCCGATTCGTTTACTCATTTTATAGCTACTGAAAATTGTGAAACAGCTACTACAAATCTGCCATGCTGATCAATACCTATCTAAAACTAAATCTATCTATAATATGGCCCACGGAAGTTTCATATTTATTATGGTTTCCTGTGTTAGTTTTATCGTAATGGTTTTTGTATTTCTTTAATTTATTTTGAACCAATTTGTTGTTAAGTTAACTCATTGTTTAGTGTACAGGGTTAAGATTTATTTTCAGCAGTTTTTATGCTCGTTTCAGTTCTCTACAGCAGGTGTATTTAGGTCTCCCCCTTTTCCTTGATCTTTTTGGATTTGAGAGTTTTAGGTCTATAATTACACTAATCTACACACCCTTTTGGCCCAAAAACTAGCTTAAGCACCTAAAGCTAATCATGTCATGTCACTAGATCATAACCTATCACACGTGTTTTTTTTCTCTGATTGGTTGAACTGACAGCTGCACATCTGGTCCTGTTATCATTTGTACATTGTGTTCAAACATATAGCGACTTTGATTTTCTATCCTTCTCATTTATAATCATATCTTATGCTCAAATAACTTTTTTAAAAGTTTTTTTTTGAGTTTTTCATATATGTTTATAATGAATAGTTATTTTTAAATTTATTATTTGCTAACATTACTAATTTGTTACTTTTATGATTTCCTTACAGGAACTAAATCTTGATTTGATACAGTTTGCAAGGCCAGTAATTGTATGTGAGTTAAGAGTTATCCCACTGAAGACTCAAGTAGAACCAAACTTGGGAAAGGGTTGCAGATTAGGGTAAATAGCTCTAAATAAAACCTTTATAAAATCAGCCTTTGAATACACTATACATTTTCTTTTCTTTTGCTGTAAATATAGTATTTACTCTCTCAAGAACTGTTATCAATGTAATTATGATATTTATTTTAAAAACAGTTAGTACTACAAATATTCTTTTCACACTTTCATACTTTCCTAATTAAGCTCAAGAACTGTTATCAATGTAATTATGATATTTATTTTAAAAACAGTTAGTACTACAAATATTCTTTTCACACTTTCATACTTTCCTAATTAAGTCAACATCCCACTGAAAATATTTACTTAAAACTTGATCAGCCTCTTGCAGTGTACTGATTCTATAGGACTGCCCCTTATTTATGTTAGTCTCTGCTCTGTTATTTGTAATAACTTTTGTGACAATCATCCCACTTGATTGTTTGCAAGCACCTTGTTTTTTTTCTTTTGTCATTGTATATAGTGTTTCATGACTAATCTTCTATCTTATTAGATTGAAATTAAGATATTTTTGCATTTTTAGCAGAGATGCATTTGTCGACAAAGTGAAAAAATAATTACTCAATAATTAGAAAATGGTGAATATTTAACCTCAAACCTACCCTCAAACATTATGACTTAATTAATTAAAAGCTTATAAAAATTTTATTAGCCCATGGTACAAAAACCTGAACTAACCTATATTGTTTGCATATTTCTCATTAAGTTCAAAAGTCCTTGCCTTGGAGTCACCATGGAATGTTTTCTCATTCAAAAACAGTTTATAAATATGTATACTCAAAATACAAATAAATAACTCATTTGAATTTTTTATTTGCTATAGGATGATGTATTTACTGATTTTTTGTGTGTGTGTGTTATATTTTGTAGTGGAACACTTCCTTCAGAATTCCTGCTAGATGTGTTTGTCAACAACTTGGACAAGCCTAATGCATCAACATTTGAAAAGCTTGGCCAGTATGTTTCAATTACATTTGATGTTTTGTCTCTCATTTGAGGGTAAAACAGAATACACCTTAAAAGAAAAACAGACTAAATTTCGTAATATGCAGCTGCTTATAGACATACTGTTACTAATTTTCCATTTTAGCCCTTAAATTAATTTTCATGATAATCGTTAATCGTTAATTAGGTTATGTTTTGAATTTATTTATTATTATAAAGTACATCACATATTTTAACTTGACTGTTATCTGACACTGTAAAAACTATCTTTTAGATTAGACTACAAAGAAAACAAGAATATTCAGCTGAAACCTGAACGGCAGGTAAGATCAGCTGACAAACGTGGCTTAAGTCATGTAGCTATTTCTTTTTGTTTTTACTTTTACATAGTGGACAGAAAAAACACGACTATATAAAAAACAAATGTGGCAAAATTAATGTGATTTTTTAAATATTTTTTTTTACCTTTTTTGGCTTAACAGTGTTGTTACCTAACATTTTCTCCGCAGATCCCAACTGATGGTCTCATACTGAAGGGCCTATACCACACAGTGACCCTAGCCGTCTATGGTTGGGTCACAGTAGTGAAGCCACCCCAGGACTCGCCCCCTCCACCACCACCCCCACTCCCAGGCCACCCAGTGCCACTGAACAAAACCAAAATTCCAGGTAAGATAGTTTGTTTCCTTTTCTATTTTTGTCATTTGCTCAAAATCACGTCCTTTTACTAATTTTCTGTGTTTGAATATTACTATTACTGTATTAACTTAATATAAAGCAGATATTTATTTCAGTTGAATTCAGTAATTTCAGTTACAACCATAATTTCAGTAACTTAAAGTAATGCTCAGTTTTTTCTTTCAGGCTTAGACAGTTCAGATGATGAGAGTCATAAGCCTGCTGTACAACCACAACACAAGTTAGACTTTTTAAACGAACAAGTTCAGAAACGCCAGCAGCAATTGTACGGGCCTGGGTCAACCTCTTCTACGTCCACCCGTGACCCCCAAAAACCCACATCTCTTGAATCCGCTTTTGTGGAGGTTCTACGAAAACCCTCACCCCGCAGGGGTTCAAGCAGGGATCGGGGGTCAAGCCGGGATCGGGGGTCAAGTAGAGACAGGTGTTCCAGCAGAGGGGGCAGTCGGGAAAGAGATATTAGCCGTGAGCGTGCTTGTAGTCATGACTCACCCAGAGATAGAGACTCTCTAAGAGACTACAGTTTCCCACCTGAACCAGTAGAGCCATATAATATTCGGGACAAAGTCGACCGGGACCGTTCTAGGTCTCGGGAACGAGATAGAGACTTCGGGAGAAGAGGCAGCAGGGATGACGAGCGGCCTCGCTCAAGGGAGGATAGAGACAGAGACAGTGTTGGGAGGAGGGAGAGGATGGGGCGGCATGGGTCAAGGGAAAGTGATAGTAAGGACAGTCGAGGGCTCTCTAATTCTAGAGAGGGTTCCAGAGAACCCAGGGACACAAAAGACGTTCTGGAGAATTTGGATAGGATGAGAGATGAGCATTACAGGGAAAAAGAGAGAATTCGGGAGCATGAGGAGAAAGAGAGGGAGCAAAGAAACATTGAGGCAAAGGAGAGGGAGAAGAAAGAGGCAGAGAAGAGAGAAAGGGAGGTGAAGGAAAGAGAGAAGGAGGTTAAGAAGGAGCACGACAGAGAGAAGGAACAGAAAGAGAGGGAGCTCAAAGAGAAGGAGCAGAAAGAGAAGGAAAGAGAAAAAGAGCGTGAGAAAGAGCTAGAGAGAGAAAGAGACTTAAAAGTTAAAGAGTTGGAGAAAGAGAAAGACTTGGAGAAAGAAAGGGACAGGGAAAGAGAGGTTCGGCAGAAAGAGAAATACGATAACGACCGTCCACCCAGAACTCGAACTCCTCCTAAGCATATTAGGTCACGGTCAAGGTCAGGTTCCAGAACTAGGAAACGTTCCAGGTCACGCTCAAAGACCAGAACAACAAGATCAAGGCAAAGGTCAAGGTCAAATTCTAGAGATGTTGAAAGGCCCCCTGAACCTCCATTTAGTAAGTATCAACTTTTTACAGTATAACGTATAGAACCACATAGTATTGTTTATATAGAGTTGTGTTTAACTGTTATTGTTTGACTAAATCTAAGATACAATTTTCAGATTATAAGGCTTTTTAAAATTTTAAAAACATTTTATATTCATTATTAGTGGAAAAGTTTTGTTTTATAGCTTGTTATGTTTGTCACTTTATTAATTCTATGGATTATTATTTCTTAAGAATGTCTGTGTTATTCATTGAACAGTTGTTTAAATTTTATTTTGTGAATTGAAACTTGATAATCATTACTTTTATACAGACATCTAGCCACAATGTTTCATTAAATATAAGCTGCTTTGGGGTCGGCGTGGTCGAGTCGGTAAAGCTCGTGGTTGCTAAACCGAAAAGTCTCGAGTTCGAACCCTCGGGCAGATGAGGCTCGTTAGCTGTGGGACAGCCACTCTTCTAGGAGAGACAACTCCAAAATTAAACAACTGCTGCCTTGTAGTTTGTTCTTGGTTGGACAAAGGCTATGGAAGCAAATCCAAAAAGAAAAGCAGGCTGAAATCGGAGTCAATGGCCTCAAAGGCGCATAACCAGTTGACACGTAACGCTTAATTGTGTTGGAGGCGTGGTCGAGTCGGCAAAAAGCTCATGGTTGATAAATTCGAACAAAGTCTCGAGTTCAAACCCACTGGCAGATAAATCTCGATCCCCTTCAACACTAATAATTAAGAACGAAGAAGAAGATAAGCTGCTTTAAATATTTTCTCTTTGTTACTTCACTTCCCTGGTGATTTGAAAATAATAAATTATTTTAAAATTATGAGTGTAGAATACACATTCTTATCTCACAATAGTATTTTAAAGGATATTGTTTAAAAACATGCTCTTTTTAAAACAAATAATTACCTTCAATGCTTATTTAAATTAGTGCCCTCCATAATTTATCTGATGTAATAATTGACACAAATATTCCCCATGTATATCATTTTCTTATTACAAGCCCAAAAAATAATTTCTTAACATAAAGAATAAAATAGTCGCTCATAAGAGACTGCATCTCCTTATCCGAGACAGTCTTAAGTCAGGTGCATTAAGTAATGATGCACCTAGCCAAGTTCAACATGCATTCTAATGGAAGATTAAATTTAGAACTTAAAGCAGGGTTTTAAAAGTGAAAGTATTTTTTATTATCTATTACTCTCTACACTGTTAGATACATACTCACCTGATATCCTCCTTGTAAATAGGTGGTGAAGATGAAGTTGAAGATGAAGAGATGGTGGATGAAGAAGAAACAGAAGAGCAGCTATATGACTCAGTGGCAGAAAGAACCACCACAAGGAGACAAAGAAGAGTGGACTATGATGGTGATGCTCAGGTACTGGTCTGTTAACTTACTGGTTTATTGCTGGTCTTTGTTGTAATCTTATTTCATTCTGTTTATACTTTATTGATCAGTTTGACATTTTTAAAAACTATAGTTACTATCTTAGACTTGATCATGATTCAATGTTGAAATTCTCATGAAGCAGAATATTTTTGTATGACATAGCGTACACTTTGTGCACACGACATTTGACCCAATTTTATTATAGTAAAAATACAAATAGTAACATTGTTTTAAAATATGTGTTTTCCTGCACGTTGTTTTAGCACTGTAAGCATGAATTTTTGTTTTTTATAACTTTACATTTTTATCACACAAATTGGAGGTCAAACTACCAAGGCTGAAATTGAGGCCATATCGGAAGATGGTATGTTTAGTGGAGTGGAAAAGGCTGCTGATATTCTTTAGTTCAGTCCTGACTCAGCCCAGTTTAATACCTGCCCTAAGTTGGGGAAAATTCATGTTGCTGTATAATGTGCTGACTACACATTCCTATTATTTGCTTTATGCCTCTGTTCCATCTGCCCCAATGGACTGCTGCATCCGATTTTATAAAGATACTTTTACATGAATGTAAAGATGTCACTGCCAGTTGTTTAATAGCATCTCTTTACGTATTGTAGGAACCAGAAGAGGGTTATGAGGATATATCATCAGAGGAAGAGATTGCTATGGAAGATCCAAATATGATGGTAGGATACTTTTAAATAAGTGCCAGGCAACCATCACAAAAATATAGTTTATTTACTTAACTATTTCTTGATAGAGATAATTATAACTACCCATAATCCAAAACATTAGCTGTATTTTCTTTGAGTTGTTGCAATGTATAAACATGTAAAAAAAAAATTAATTGTAGAAAAATGTAGGTTTGATTCTAGTCTTTATTGCACTATTTCAGGTTTTAGACATGTATGAGTTAGATGAGGATTCTTGGGGATTGTCCCATTCATTCAATCCTTTAGAGTTCTACCCGACTTCCCTCACTGTAAGATATCCTATTTTTATATTTATAACAAGAATGTAAGGTGCATTTGAAAACATGGTTAAACACCCATTAGAAAGATTTTTTTGGTGAAGTGAATGGTGAATAAAACTTTTTTATCCTGTTATGAAATAATAATTTTTTCTGTAAGTTGTACCTTTTAAAATGTTTGATGCTTGTCTTATCTACATTGTCCAAAGAACGCAGTGGTTTTTAAAAAAAAATGTGTCAGTCACTGTCCTTTTCCTGCCACCCCACTAACATTTCAAACTCCCCCAACAGACACTGAAGAGCCCAGCCCTGTCTAGCTATGAAATAGAACTGTCAAAATATGCTGGGATGGATGAATCAAGCACAGAGAGGCCCAAGGAAGCCCAGGTTTTGATGGACATCATGTACCGGTTTGGGGAAGAAGAACATCAGGATCGGTCAGTGGTGTTGACCCTATAGTTATCCATCCTCAGGATGGTTGACCCTGGTTAATTAATGTGTATAAAATGTGTAATTAGGACTAATTATCATGAATGATACATTTTTATTCATTTAAGCTATTAATATTACATTACAGACATGTCTAATCTGTATATCTAGCTAAAGGCTTCAAATCATGAGAGCATAATCATAAATAAAATAAAATGTAGTTTAATTTTAAGAATCTATAAGTTGGATGGATTGTTTCTCTCACCTCAGTATACAAAACCAAAAAGTTTCACTTACTCATTTCCAAGTTACCTGTATCTTCTCTAAATAATACAGGAAAAATGAGTAACAATAATGCGCAAATGCAGAACTCTTTATACTAATACTCTTTGTTTGGTCATTTCATGTAAAAAATGTTTTATTATTTATTTATTAAAACAATGTACATGGTCACGAAAGGATGCAAATGTGAGCTAGGCTGTCTTATAAACATCAGTTATTTGACATATCATGGCCAACTAGATTTTACTGCTCCATCTGTAGTTGGAGCTCACAGCCATTCCTATGATTAATATCATATTCCTTGTTAAATCAGTAATATAATTGGGTTAGTTGCTTTCACCTTCACTACAAAATCACACAAGCTCATACCATTGCTACAAATAGATCTTATGTGCAAAATGTTTTTTCATTGCAGTTATGTGATTTGTTTTTGTATATAACTATCCCTCATTTTACTTGTTTATTCTATAAACCAATGATTCTAGATGGGTAACAGCCATGGAGGAGATACCATCCCTGCTTGATAAAGGACTTTCTTACCTCTTGGGACAAGAGAAACGCCAGAGTGAGTTCTAGCTACCAGGTTTTTAACATGTGCCAAGCTCCTTATAGAAGTAACTTAATTTTATACTGCTACACATAAGCTGCCATGTAGTGATACTGCATTTTTTCTAGCCCTAGAAAAATTGCCTTTTATTTACATGCATATTAATAGCCCAGCACGTTTGTTTGATAATAATTTTTCTTTTTTCCGTGATATTTTCTTCTTACAAATTGGCCACCGATGCACTTCAGCCACCACCTAATGTGCCGTTAAACAGAGTGACTAAGTAACTTCATGTAGTGGGATTTGTTATGCTAACAGTACTGTACAGCAAACTCTGAAGCAATGAATATAACACCTGAACAAAGTCAACCAGTGTTGGTTGTGTTACACCTACTACATAACTGTACGCAATATCGTCAGTGCCTTCCAAATCTAATTTAGTCTTTTTTAGTGTAAGATGTGTAAAATAAAAAGATGAGTTTTTGGATCTTCAAATCATCAGAAAAACTACTAAGATAAAACAACTTCTTATTCTAGAATTCTTGAATGAAGATTCTAAGGTGAAATTTTCGGATCTTCAAATAAACCTCGTGGAGATTCACAATGCCAACTGCTATAAAAATTAAATCCAGAACATGAATCTGATCAGAACCAACAGAATAAACATCTTTCTTATGCTCCACCACCAGCTGAGCCCAGAAAACAGATCGGGTTGTGTTATGAATGACATCCTTCATTAGCTGTAGAACAGAGCAGCTGCGTTCTGTTCTGTGGCTGTTCTGTCTTCAACTGACGAATCACTAACCAGCTTTCAAACCTGTTCTTAGAAATGTTTTTTCACCCTGGTTCTGGTCACAGTAACCCAGACAACTTGCTTAAACCAGATTTTTCTGCCCGTAGCCTGCGCAAGAGTTCTTTGCTTGGTCCACAACCTCATCCTCAACTGGACAACCTCCTGCACAATTAGACTGTATCGTCTTTGACCTTCTCCGCTACTGCACAAGAAAACCCACTATCTTGTGGTTAAAATCTGCACCAGCTTAGCTGAATTTTGAATAGCTCATGACCTCACACTAACTGCTCTAGTCCCAAGTCACCCCCAGTATCAGTTTGGACTGGCGTTTCATTTTTTATGTTTTATGAATTGGCTTCACCGAGTATTCACACAGCAGAACACTTGATGTCAACCAGTATAACTTAACTAAAATGTGCTGTGGCGGCCAATTGAAAGTGGATCCAAGAAACTTACAAATCATATTTTTTGTGTGTGACTTGTAACATTTTTGTGACCATTTTCTCTGACTTGATCACTGCAAATAGGGTACAAGGTTTGACTCAATTTAATTGAACTTCACCAGCTTATGTTAAAAACGTGGGATAGGATGAACTTTGTGCCATTTGTTATTATATTTTTGAACATCAGTCAACCCACACCATAATAAATCTACTGCTTGAACAAATGTCTTCATCAAGAAACTTGCACCAGAACACTAACAAATGCAATATATTTTTGTCTTAATTGGAAATGAAAGATTAACTAAAATAATTATAAAGATATACACATCTTCATACAGGATATTCAATAAAACATGGAAAAAGACAAGAACTTGCCAACGTTGAGATAAATTCTTGTCAGAACACAAAATATTGGTGTTAGAATAATTTATTTACGGGGAGGGAGCGAGTGCAGGCAGAGTGGAGTGCTTTGCTTCCTGTACTGGAACATATTGGGGAAGTCGCACACGCCATGTTTAAAAAATATACACAAAGTTAACTCTTTAAAGTTGTTGCTTTCAATGTTGTCATTTATTATCTGACCCTTGCTGAAGACCTTCGTCAGCCAACGTAAAACAATCCTTAAGTTTTTGAACTAGTGCCACTGTAAAGGATGTTAGAAAAACCTCACAAAACAATTGTGACAGTAGTGCCAGTCATCCACAAGAATTGTGACACCATTGGTAATCCCATACCATTCAACCATTCGTGCGAAAAACTCAACAGAAGAATACCACTATCTGCATGTCCTAATGCAAACTCAAAATACAAAAAACAATGAACTAACATTTTCCAATCCAACATTTTAAGTTTCTACATAATGTACTAGATCTATGCATTGTATGTGTGATTATTTGCAGAAAGGTATGGTATAAATTCCTGGATAACTTTTTCATGTTTTTTTTTAAAATCTTTACTTTTCTGAAAATTGTGATATTCTGTTTATAGTGTGATGGAAATTTTGTTAAACATTGTAAGTGTAGGGTGAGTAACACTAGCTTTAAGAAAGAAATATTTTTCATTGCTTGCTTACATATTTTCCTCAGTTATTTTATTTTTGGGAGAGATATTATGATTTACCTCTGACATTTTAATGGGAATATACAATATGAATATAAATATATATGTGTGTTTATGCATATATATATATATATATATATATATATATATATATATATATATATATATATATATATATACACACACACATATATATATATATGATTACAAAATGCCGGGAAGGTGTTAAATTGCATAAGAACATTCTTTTCATTATTTGGCAAAAAGTTACTGTTTCCAAAATTATGCTCTAAAAATGTTTAAAACTGGTTAAACTTCACATCATATAATCTACTTATAGTTAATTTAACTGTTTGCTCATATACTTTTTGTTGTTGTGATCTCATGTACAGTAATGTCATGTAAGGAAGCAATGTGAAGAAGAAAAATGTTCCTTGATTGTGAGAATAATATTCCCATTCCCCTCAGGTGTCCTGGATACTCTAGTTCAGTGGGTGATGAAAGGCTGTGATCCAGATGTCGCCATGGCCCAGCCAGACCCAGCCTTCAAAGTGCGGCACCTTAAAGCAGGCATCAAACTCGCTGGGTGCCTGTGTATCCTGAGTGAGCCTATAGCTCTGGTTCTATTGGTCAGTAAGAAAAATCAGCCAGCGCTGGCCAAGAAACTTAAGTCTCTTTGTATACGTTCACATTGTGATATTTCATGTAGTAATTGTAGCTAAATGCATTATTTTAACTTTTTAGAGTAATAGTGGACTTAATGTTGAAAATAATAAGTTCTAATTAGTCTACATCAAAGCCATTTATTTACAAACAAATTTACTGCCACCAATATCTATGTATGTATATCTATATATGTATATATATATATATATGTAGATATATGTATATATATATATATATATATATATATATTTATATATCTATACACACGCACACATAAATTGAATGTCTCCCGGCTATAATTTAATTCATAAAGCTGATCCCGGAGTTAATTCCACTTTGCAGTTTCCGCCTTCCTAACAATAACATTTTTTCCCCAGAAAAAAGACATCCAGTCCAAATTGCTGGCACTGTTTGAAAGCCAGTTCATTGTGTTCAGTCTGAAACATCTAGCTCTCCGCTCCCTAGCTAAGACTACCCATTTCCCTGCTGGGACCCAGTGGTTTCTGGGCATACATCCCGACATGAAGAAGGCAGAAGATGGTTATCAAAAGCTTGTTCGAAGTCTTTTATCGCCTCAGGTTAAGATTATTTTACCTGTCATTTTTTGTTTAAGAATGCTAAAATATCAATCAACCAGCTACTTGTTTTTTGTGGTAGAGTATAAAAAATATGTAGGAAGACTGTTTGGTGGAAAAATTTTAGTTCCAAAGATGTTAATACCCAATAATAATAAGTTACCTGTTTACTTAGTTCTTTTAACCTATTTTTAATAACCAACAGTAGTGCAGAATTGTATTTATATTGTTAGATTTGAAAATTAAGTTAATGTAATTAAAATGTTTAAACACTATTCCATTGATTGCAGATAGTCAAACTGACCATGTCAGTGACTGCCCTAATTAGGAAAGTCCACTTTTATGAGACCTTGATCAACATCTACACAGTCATTGATCAGTGAGTTTTTTTTTTTTAATTTACATATTCTTTTATTAGCTTGTTTTTAAGCGTATCGAAACACATTTATGTTAAAAAGTTGTATAGATATTTTTCTAAAAATATTTTTTTTAAAATCGTAATTTTTCAAATGTGTTAATCTCTATAATAAAAATCAGCTTTTAAGAAATTATTTCAAAAAGACAAAAATGTTTATATTTTAAAATTTAATCCAACAGAGTAAAAATAATTTAAATTTTGACACAGGGTAGTAACAAGTGGACCTCTGGTGGAGGAGACATCCACCGAGGATGATGATCCACCACAGCTGAGGGAGGAAGATGAAAGCAGACTCCTGGCTGACTTGGCTGAGGCCACAAAAATACTTGCAGACCCTCATCTGCTCACTGTAAGTTAGCCAAACACCCCCCTAAACACTTTGTAGTAAACGTTTTTATTTCAATGTATTTTAAATATATTTTCAAACATGCTAAGTTGAAAAATATTTAATATGTATAAACATCATTTCAGTGTATTTCCCCCCCCCCCCCCCCCCACATATCAAATAATACATGAATTAGTCCTGGGTACTGATGAAAAATTTTGATTAAATAATATATAAAATTACATTTGTCCACTAAGCATTTTTTACAATATGTTTAATATAATAACATTTAATATTTTATTAAAATGTGACAAAATACTAATACTAGTCATAACAGTACACTATTTTAAAATGGTTTTAAAAAATATGTATTATAAAATCAATTTAAAACCATTTATAATTGTTTACCTTTCTTTTCTGCACTTGATATAGAAAAGTCTCTTTTAAATATATAAAATCAAATACATAATTTCTTAACCATTTGCCTTACCTTGAAAACATGAAAAAATTAATCAAATAAAAATCTTTAAAAATCTATATTTTGTATACTAGGGCCAGCAGCACAATGCTGTACCATACACTCTATTGGTGGACAACAAGACCAAGTCATCAGATTCTCTACAGACTATCTACAACATCGCCAACTCATGGTGAGCCAGATTTCTCTATCATGGCAATTTTCTAATAGAAAAGTTACTGGAAAGCTGTCTTGACACTTATGAGCTATAATTTAATTTTAAGCAAATAAAATATGTTTATTTGTAATCTTTTTACTGAGATAATTAAAAGTATACAATGAACATAGGAAAAAAGTAATAAAGAATGACTTGAAGTATAATATGTGTACATTTTTTTTCTCCTTTATTATTTGAGTCTTTTTTTGGAAATGTGGTTTTTAAATAGGGTGGGATGGAATTTAAATTACATTAAAGAAACCCGTCATAATATTGTTATATTATTAATGTATTGATATTATAACTCATGAATAATAAAAAGAACACATTCCCTACCAGTGGTCTACTAGAAAGTATCTTTGCCCTGCTGACCTGCCCAGCTACTGCCAGCTCACCCAGTGTTTTCCTGGCAGTCCAAACATTGCTCCAGGGCTTCATGTCCTCACAGGATGGCCTCTTGTATCTGTGTTCACATCCTGATGTCACTAATGGCATTATAAGATGTTTGCTTCAGATGGTGGTATGTTTTTGATAAATATTTTGTTGAGATATTATCAGGTTTTTTAAAACTCATATTTTTTATATTTTTACTGCTTATATATGAACACAAAAGTTTCACATAAATTTTAAATATTTCATTTTTGACTGAGATTTTTGTCCATTTTTAATGCCATAAATATTTTTATATTTTGTAGATACAGCAAATCTTAACACAGCATTGCATTTTATTTATCACAAAATATTTTTACTTAATTGGAGAAGTTTTTCTAGTTTAAAATAATGTTTTGTTTGATTAGTCTTTTAATATCTTTTATGAACAGCAACTTTAAAAGCAGTTTTACATTAATTTACAATATTCTGATATCAAATTCCATGCTTCATTATTCTTAAAAAAGTTAACTTGTGTAGTATTTGTCATGTTTGTTTCAAATAAGACACAGATTTTGTGAGAATGAAGTCTTAGATAAATATTATCAAACAGTTTTGGCATGTGTGTGATGTATATATAATATTGAAAATTTAAACCCATTATATGCACAGAGTAATTTTATTAGTTCACGTTTTGTAAACATGACATGTAATAACTTTTTCCGATGCAGGAAGAGCCAGAAGATTCAGGGGAGGATATCCCTTCACGTCAGCTTGGTCTAGAGCTTGTTTACCACCTTCAAGTCATACAGTTTGTTGACAATCTCTTCAACAGCCAGAGTAAATGTAAGCATTCAGACTATATTGTCAACATTTTGTTTTACTACTTTTGAGCTTCACCTTAGTACCCCACTGCATTTTTTTTAGGGTGCCCGTTCACTAAGATATTTATACTTCAGAGTAAAATTAAAAGGGCCACCATAAATAAGCCAGAGAAAAGATGGCTAAAAATATTTCTCCCTATAAATGGCCATTCAACAACACCGAGCTAGTTTGTTGAAATTAGCTTCAGTTGATGAAATTTGTTACTACTTATACAAGGGAATTTATTGGTTAAAAAATCTTAAGCTTTATCTGTGACAGCTGTGGACCACCTTGCTAGTGTTACTTTGTTGATTTATACTTAGATTGTAACCCTCTAACCAATGATTATAGCTCCAGGTTCCAGAACAATTGATGACCCAGAGGTGATCACAGTGCTTCATGGCCTCTACACTATGGCCTTCAGTGCAGCGGCCAGAGACCCACTGATGGGTAGGAACATCATGTCTAAAGTTCTTGGATTTGACAGAAACATTGAAGTCCTTTTACCCTATCTGGAGAGGACAGGTCGGTTTAAAAATTCCCTGTAAACTGCATTATTGCTCTACCACACACTAGTTGTAAACCGTCTGCAGTATCATTTTGTGAAATACAATTTAAGTTGTATAAGTCATTTTAGAGCACTGCCCACACAATATACAAATCGCACACAAGATTTTGCCCCTTAAAGACTATGTAGGTCACTAACAATGAATGAGTCGTCTTTAAGGTAAAATGTACTTAGTATTTTGTTTGTGTTGACCCAAGATCTAACATATTTATCCTAAAGAGTTCTTCAAAAAACTCAGCCAAAATTTTAAAGTTTAAGCATCTGATACAATTTTATGTTTCTATTTCAGTAAATGTCCTAATGGTTTTTTAAAATTTAGTTTTCTCTATTCTATTTTACTCCATGTAGGAGATGAAGAATATGACAGCAAGCTGAGGAAGTCTGTCTGTGCCAACTACTCTATCCAGCTCCTGCTGCTTGTGATCAAGACATCCACTGATGTCAAGATGCTGGAACGCTATGGGCAGAAACTTTATTCTGTCTGTGAGGATAGTAAGTGGCTCTTTAAAGTTTCTTTAACTTAATTTGTTGAAAACAATAGCAATTGGTTTTGAGGTTTTGACTTTGTACTATCTTTTTTAATATGTTAATAAGTTGTTTGTTTTTTAAGGGTTGACACAAATTTATAACCTTTCCCCCGATATTAGATTACTTTGCATAAATGCTGTGATTTTATTAATGAATCTTCTTAAACACCAGAAGGGATAGGAATGTTGAAATAAAGTACAATAAAGCTTATATTAAACACAAGTTTTATTAGATTTTTTTTCAAGCATTTACACTTGTTTAAATTACATTTTAAAAAATATTTAAATAAACAGGGTAGCTTAGGTGTTTTTGGTAAAATTTTCACTTGTCTGTAAAATTGTACTTAATTATCTCATGTTAACAATTTTAACATTCACTTTGTCTTTACATGACTGACTAAGAGATTCATAATATGAAAAGGTTTGAGAACTGTGATGTTGGAATTTAAAATATAACATATTGTCTATCAACCCACAGGCACCAGCACAAAATTAACTCAGCTCCAGGAGTGGCTGGCGCCAGTTAAAAAAGTGACCAGCTTTGACCTGGATGGCCTGCCCGCCATGATCTCACAGCTCAAGCAGTTCAGCGATGATGTGAAGAAAGTGCCCCCTGGTTTGATCACTATTGTGCGCATGATTTACTCCTTGATAGGGGAGGCTGCTGCTGATGCTTCAGTGGACAATCTTGGTATGGTTGATAGAGGTTCTGTATGGGTTGGTTAATCTGTGGACAATCTTGTAATTGTTGGTAGAGGTTCTGTATGGGTTGCTTAATCTGTGGACAATCTTGGTATTGTTGGTAGAGGTTCTGTATGGGTTTGTTAAGCTGTGGACAATCTTGGTATGGTTGATAGGGGTTCTGTATGGGTTGGTTAATCTGTGGACAATCTTGGTATGGTTGATAGAGGTTCTGTAAGGGTTGGTTAATCTGTGGACAATCTTGGTATGGTTGATAGAGGTTCTGTATGGGTTGGTTAATCTGTGGACAATCTTGGTATGGTTGATAGAGGTTCTGTATGGGTTGGTTAATCTGTGGACAATCTTGGTATGGTTGATAGAGGTTCTGTATGGGTTGGTTAAGCTGTGGAAATCTTGGTATGTTTGATAGAGTTTCTGTAAGGGTTGGTTAATCTGTGGACAATCTTGGTATTGTTGATAGAAGTTCTTTAAGGTTTGGTTAGAGGAAATAATGTAAGATAGTTATCACTGCAGTCTTAGATAATATAAATCAGATCAAAGTTGATCTATTATCTAAGAAAATACCTTCAGTTTCATCAAATAAGTATTAAGTACAATAGTGGCAACAACATTCTTTCTACTTTCCAATAAATTATCCTCTGGGGAAAAAGTTATTTCAAATTTTGTTTTTAAATGACTAAACTATTATTACAGAGACCCTTAATGAAGCCAAATACAGATATGCAATTGTGGAGCTCTATAGTGCTGAATGTTTCCCGATATTCATAAATATTTTACAGGTAAGCTTTTATACTGTTTGATTCAACCATATTTGATTACAATTTATTTATTTATTATAATGCACATGATAAATTTATTGTACTTATATTTTTATGGAAATTCACAGGCTGCAGTCATTGTGACGAAGCTAATAATTTAGACTTTTTTTTACATTTATTTTAAATTTACGCTTTAATTTTTTGCCGTTTTTACACAAATTAGGTATTGTTTTAAATAAATTTAAAAAGTATTTTTAGAGGTAATATTTTTGTATCTGTTGTTGCTATACAAAAGAATTATATCACCTTTATTATAAATCTACATGACTTAACCAACGACTTCCCCAGAAACTGAGTGATTCCCAGCTGAAGGTGTGGCAGCAGGGCATCCCCTACACAACTGACCAGTGGCTGACCTACTTTTCCCTCATCAAGCCCATCCTCAGCCTGGTGCATGCAACACTGTGTCAGCTGATCCAGGCTTTTAGGTCAGAGGGAAAAGAAATGGACAGAAGAGAATTGAATGGGGCTGTTAAAGATATGGACAAAAGAGAATCTAATGGGACTGATGACAATGATCCTCTTGTTATGAATCCTGTAGGTTTCTTTTCTTCAGCACTAGAGTTATTGTTCTTCAAGGAAAATTGCATCTTGTTATTTCTGTGCAAATATTACAATAATAATAAAGCGATTTGTTTTATTAAAAATAAAAAAAGTTTATCAACAAACACTACAGTGCTTGTTGTCTAGTTCTCTAACACAATCATCAATGACAATTTTTGGAATCCATATATTGATCCTTCATTCCTAAAAACTATACCTAAATTCTTACAGTTGTAAATGGTGTTAGTGCTCTAAAAATGTATTTTGTTTGTATCCTTTGCTTTGTACTAGTTTTTAAGTTAAAAAAAATAATGATGTAGCTTTGTCCTATGTTTCTAACCTTTTCTTTAGATTATTTATTTCTTTAAACATCATATAATATTATTATTTTTGTATTTTGAAACAGTCTATTTAAAACCCAGATGTACCACATTGTTATAAGGCTGTACAGTTTATGACATCTATTTTAATCAGTATTACCACTTTGTTACTATTCTTGACATCTGTTTTCATGTGTATTTACCACTTTGTTACAGTTCTTTACATCTGTTTGCATGTGTATTTACCACTTATTTCCCCATTGTTACAGTTCAAAGACCTGACATCCATCCCTGTGTTGTTGGAGCTTCACACAGTCATGTGTTCTGTTCCTACATCATCTCTCTACAACAATGACCTATCCAAGGTGAGCTACACATTAATTTAAAAATTTTGAATACATTTTAAGTAAGCTTAAAGTTTACATCTTTAAAATGTTTTTTTTTTTTACATCTTTTCTTAGATTCAGAAAGATATTGTTGACACTCTTCTTGCCTTCACACAAGAAGAGCTCCAACAGACCCAGACAGATGATGGTTAGAAGAGGACATTTTTTTCTTCATACTGTTTAGATTTTAAAAATTTCAGCCTTAGGTCCAAATTTATATATATTTCTTAATATTTTTTTACTTTTCAGCTCTAAGTAAAAGTTTGTGGACTTTGATGCTAAAAGAGCTCCTGAAGTACACAATCAAGACACCTTATACCTACATGAGTGGTCTTCTCATTCTTTCAGAGTTGCTTCCCTTACCGTTTCCACTGCACACTAAAGTAGTAAGTAGTCTTTTTTTAATGACTTGACTTATCCTTTGAACCCCCTGAGGAGCAAGGTGGTGCAACTACACCTCTCCAAATAAGCCCAGAAGCCCTTGCTTCTCCTTTCACAGTCCACAGTCCTTTTCCAGGATTACTTAGGCCGGCATACTTTCCTTTTCCTCTTGGGGTTCCAGTCGAATGCTTGCCTTGTGATGCTGATCTCTTCTCCATTTATCCCCATTTGAAGGCTATAATATACCTGTAAATCTGTTGTTGCTTTGTGGTTTGTTGTCAATGGACATTTTGTCTGGCTTTAGTCTTTATTTTTCTGTAAAAAATGAAATCATTATTATAACTTATGGTAAACTTCCCAAAAAATATAATTTACAATAACTGTTAACCTAATTTGTATTACATTTATCAAAGACAGCAAATTAGTAAAGTTATTTTTAAATTAAAGAAAATATTTAACCTTTGCGCCCCCCCCCCCCCCCCCCCCCCCAGGCTCTCTCTGAAGAGGAAACAGATGCAGCAGTGATGGCCAGGAAGCTGTGGAGTGTCCACCTTCAGTCAGCAACACCTGAGCTGTTTGCTGTGCTGGACACACTGTCAGGTACAGGCTGCCAGCCACTCCAGCACCTGATGAGGCGAGTCTGTTGGCAGGTGGCCGACCTTGCTGCTCCATCTTCTCTAAGAGTCACAAAGTAAGCTCAACCCTCCTTTTGTTACTTTAATAGTAAGTAAGTTAAGTTACGGTTTGAACCTGATGGTCTATGGGGCAAGTGATGTATAGTTCACCTGTTTCTGTAACCTCTGCCTGTAAAGGGATAGCGTAGTTAGCACTATGCCCAGACACCTTTACTTTCCCTAACCTGAGTTAGGTACCCAGCAGTTTGGTTTACTCACGAACGTTCAACTGACTTGAACCTGGATTTGAACTCAAGATTTTCATGTTAGCAGTCTAGCGCTCTACCCCCAGGCCACACCACCCAACCTTTTGTTACTTTACAAGCTTTTTACAGCCACAGTCTTAGTTCAATGAAAGCTTTTTCTGACACAATCCTGTTTAGTTAAACAATACCCCACAGATGTTGAGTGGCCAAAATATGATGGTGTCGTCAATATCTTGAAAACAGCCAGTTAGACTGTCATAAGGCACCCTGTCTGGCAAAGAGGGTTGGGGGTGTTGCCTTTTGAGTCAGAAATGACCATATCTTGAAAGTTAACCAATAAAACTCACTCATATCTAGCTAAACAGTCAATGTTTTTTAAGGACATAATTCTCAATTGTTGAGAAATTTTGCTGCACTTTTTCCAATAGTGGTTTTAAACTAAGTTAAGCAACACATTCAACAATTTTATTTTACTCACAATTTAACTGTTATCTCCCATTCCCTCACTGAGCTGCATGCACAACTCCACAATGGTTAATTTATTAATTTTATAAACATTTTGTACCAAATCATGATGACTGTAAATTGATTGTAAATTAACTTCAATCATTTTATTTGTTAAGAGTAATCTGCTATAGTTTGTTATGTATTATATTTTATTGCTAAGTATTGTCTGTTAAATTTGAGACCTACAATTTTAATCTCCAGAATTTTGTTGGACATCCTGATGATAAACCTGAAGCCAAAGAAACCCACCCAGACAGCAGAAGGAGGGGAGAAGAAGGAAGGTGAGGAGGACATGGCCGTGAGGACAGTGTCCATCCACACTGCTAAAACCCTCAACCTACTGGCCTACCTGCTCTCACACCCAGGCATCAAGGCGGCCTTGTTACAGCTCATTGGGACCAGGTGAAGGAGGAGTTTTGTTTTCACAATTTTTATTTTAAATGTTTTTGTCTAGTTTTCTTTACGCATTGAAAAATATTTTTAAAAAGTCGTTATTTTCTTATGTGGGATGGTGTGGGCGGGTATGAGTTTGGATCCTGGACTTCAGTCCAATCCGCTTTGGTGGGTACCTGGCTCAGTGGCGTAGCGAGGTCGGGTGTCACCTGGTGCGCACTTAATGGTGTCACCCCCAGAGGCATAGTGACCCTTGACCCTTCCCGGGGACAAACTTTCAATTTTCGATTTGCACCCCTCCCCCCCTCAGACTTTTGATATGCACCCCCTTCCCCCCCCCCCCCCTCAAACTTACGATTTGCACCTCTTAAAAGACTAACACTCGAATTAATCACTTAATTAAGTGGAATTATCATTCTTCTCTATATATTTTGCTATTTTTTGCCTTGGTGTCACCCCCCTAAATGGTGTCACCCTGTGCGGTCCGCACCCCCTCCCCCTCGCTACTCCACTGACCTGGCTCATGTTAGAGAAAACCCAGGTGGCTGTACATGTTACTGAACACACTGTCCCTGTAGAAATAGATACATTTTAATCTGCTCTATGGGACATAGGCACTAAAAGAGATTGCTTAGTATTTGAATTCAAACTGTATTGAATTCAAATACTTAAAAAATTGTCTGAATAAAACAGACTTTGTTATGATGTTCTCTCATGTTAGAGTTATCTTTGTCCAACCCAGCATCAACAACGATGCCAAGTACAGCGAGTTCCTTCCCATCATGCTCCAGCTGCTCAACCAGACAGCTGAAACTCCAGCAGAGATACAAGCACAGGAGGGAATTGTGGTAATTTCTTTCTTCAATAACAAAACCATCCAGCGATTCATATAGTGAATGTGGTTAGGTTCTTAAGATTTAATAATATTATGTTTAATGATGCAAGATGATAAAAAAATCGGTCAAATATAATTTTTACAATTCCAGTCTATGATTCAAACACTTTGTGACCTTGAAATCTCCATGGTCAACACTGACCTGCCTGTCACATTGGCTGAACATGTGAGTATCTTAAAATAGAATATTGAGTTTGTAAACATAATATCTATCCAAAACCTCCACATATGCAATGTCTTAACATAATATCTACATGAACACATTGGTGTACAATATTTAAATAAGAAAGTGTGTTATAACCTAAGATCTATTTAATCATAATGACTATATAAACATTTGTAAAATCCTTATAAGCTAAACCTACATAGAATTTAATTTCTTGTACTTTTCTTGTTTGTTTATTATAACTACTTTGCTAAATTTATTGGAACAACTATGAAATTTATGGTACCATGTTTTCCTTTGGTCCAATACAGTTACTTACAAGTCTATTTGTATTCTCTAGCTGGCCAACTCCCTGCCTGAGAGTGTGTTAACTATGAAATGTATGGTACCATGCTTTCCTTTGGTCAAATACATTTACTACTTACAAGTCTATTTGTATTCTCTAGCTGGCCAACTCCCTGCCTGAGAGTGTGTTGATAGCTGAGATAGTGGCTGCATTGCTGGAACACATAGGCAACCCTTTACAGTCCTATGCATCCATCCTACCCTGTCTAAGGACTCTAACCATGCTAACAGATCATGACTATGGGTTTTTCCACCTTAAAATGTGAGTATACAGCTAACTTGTTCTATGAAACTAGTATTAATTTAAGATGTTAAAATTTTGTTTTGGAAGTATGTTATATCAAAACAGTGAACTAGTAATTTTTTTTTCTTTGGTTTGTTGTAAAATATGTTTGGAAGTTTAGTAGTTAACCTTCAACTCTACAAGAAAATTAGTTTTTTATAGGATTATTACATTTAAAGCTTTAAAATTGATTTGGAAATGGGGTGGGTATTTTCAAATTTATTTAAGAATGTAGTGTAGTATGTAGGAATATTCTAATGAAGTGTTTTTAAAATAAAATTTTCTCATCACTACTAACAATATGATTTTGTAATTTGATTATATTAATTTATCCTAACTTATAATTTTACAATTTCTTCTAACAGTTTTACTATATAATAAAATGTAGAGATTTATTTCAATGTGATTTTATAATATAGTTTTGTGATCCATTTTAACCATGTTATGTGCTTTACCAGGAATCTGGAGCGCAATATTACTGTGATTCACACACTCCTGAACCGTATAAACAACACGTTCAGCAAGGACAGCTCCGACTGTCTCTCCACCCTGTCATCTGTCCTTGAACTTCTGCGCCTGATGATGACCATTGACAACTCTGAAGAAATGGCGGTGACCCGTACAAAAGTCATCAGCAGGGAGGAGCTGCGTCAGTTCCTGTTGTGGAGCCCTGATGTCCGACACCCACTGGATGAGCTTGAGGTGTGTGATGGACATTTTAGTGGGGATTGTGGGAGAGCTGGATGTTTTAGTGGGGATTGTGGGAGGGCTGGATGTTATAGTGGGGATTGTGGGATATTTTAGTGGGGAATTGTGGGTGGGTTGGACATTTTCATGGGGATTGTGGGAGGGCTGGATAGTTGGGATTGTGGGAGGGTTGGAGATTTTAGTGGAGATTGTGGGAGAGCTGGACAGTTTATTGGGAATTGTGGGAGGGCTGGATATTTTACTTGAGCTAGAGATTTTAGTGGGGATTGTAGGAGTGTTTCTATTACCTTAGTTTATGAGGTTTTTTTGTTGTTATTTTTTATCAAGGATATCTCCTGTAATACATAATAGTAAACATTAATTGCATTTCTTACAGAATATTTAAAATGTTTGATGTTGAACTTGTAATCTCTCCCACCCACTAAACCTGCTGATGATGTTTCAGGAACTGTCCAGAGAAGAAGAGACATTAGAGTCCATCCTGGAGAGCATCACAGCACTGACCAGTATTCTCAAAAGTTCACCTGATGTTCCAACCGATGGGGACACCAGTAAGTTTTGATATGTTAGATAGGGAGGGGGTGGGGAATCATAATAGTTTATGTACTGGTTTTTATTAGGTGTTTTCAATCAAAATTTGAACAGTGAATAGCTATTATTTAATTCCAGGATTTAAAATTTGTTTGCTAGAACTGATCTAGTTTTTAAAAAAAAAGCTATTTTATTTAATTTACCAAAAAACTAACAAAATTAATTCACAACCAATGGGTTTTAATACTGAACTTTGACCTTTCCTAGACCTGGAGGAGATCCTCCTGCCCATCCCTGCGGTACTGACAGACCTCTTCAACCAGAGAGCTGTCTACACCATCATGGACTCTGAAGATGAGAGGCTGAGTCCCAGCTACTGGCTGGCCAATCCTGCTGTTGATGAACCTGATGCAGAGCCTGAGGTCCTGCGCTGTGACCTCCAAGCCATCTGTGAACACCATTTGCCAGATTTTAACCTTGAGGAGGAGTTGAAAAAAGAGGCCACGTCAGCTGAAGAGGATATTGTGCGGCCAAAGAGACCCAAGTATGTTTTTTTAAATCTTTTATTATTATTAACCTTTACAGTTCAAAATGTAAATAACAGGTTTTGATAAGATGAAATTATTAGACAAGTTGTAAACAAGTGTTTATAACTGAAGATCCTGACACTTTGAAGTACTAAAACAATTTATTTGGCTAGTTTTTTAATGTTGGTTTTCTTTTAATATACAGCAAGTTAAGGAATGAAGTACTGACCTTATTATTATAAAGTATTAAGAACAGTTCAGTACTGTTGAAATTTTGAAATGTACAACAGCGCCCCATCATATTTAACATTTCTTGATGTATTTAATGTTTGATGCTCAATTAAATTCTTTTATTTATCCATCCCAGAGATAGAAGGAAGTCTCATGAAGTCATCAACATTAATAGAGGCAAGCCAGGCCGAAAGCCTTTTGGTGAGTTTACCTAGTTTTCAATGAGTTTTTTTAGTCACTGTCTTGTGCCCTTCAATATCAGTTCATTATTCTTCAACTAAAGATTTATTCAATATAACCAAGCTAAATTAACAAAACAATTTCAACTTTTAGTTTATATATTTCTAAGTCTGTGTTCTAATTAAAGAGGTAACTATAGGATAAATGCTTCAATATTTAAACTTTTAAAATTAACAAAATTTCTAAATTTAATTTCTGTATTTTTACAACAGTAATAACAACTGAGTAATATAAGACAGAACCTGTGCAGTTAATGTACAATAGACCTATCATTCTCTTTGTCCTGTAGTTTTGATGCAGAATGTGGTGCCATAAATGTCTTTTTGACCAACTTCCTCTTTTCCTCTCTGTCCTTCACCATCTTCAGTTAAACCTGTCTATTCTCTGATATTTTTCCAATCAATTATTAAAAATCATATGTAGTAGTTATAATGTTCTAATCAATGGACATGGTTTTTTTGTGAGTTCTGACCTAACATCCACTACTGTTTACCAGTTGCACCAATGAGGGGGCGTGGCATCATGCCCCACAACATGGGTTCAGGCAACAGGAGCAACGACCTCTTCAGGACCAGGGCCCCCAACACCTCCAGACCACCTTCCATGCACGTGGACGACTTCGTCAAGATGGAGAACAGCCAGCAGCAGCAGGAACAGCAACAGCAGCTCCAGCAACAGGTGCTGCGTCCACCGCTGACCCCACCCATGATCCCTGGGAACAGGGACAGCAGAGAAAAGGTTGGGCATTCAAACTGTGGTTTTAGCTTTTGTGTTTCGTCCATTTGCATACTAAGACAGCATAGAAAATGTTGGTCCTTCAAACTGTTTTTTTTTAGCTCCTATGCTTTTATCCATTCTTAACTTACACGAAATTTTTCCTAATGTTAAGAACATTATTAGTGACATCAAGAACAAATATTTGTGGGTTTTTTATGTCCCAATGTTTATATAGTTAAAGTAAGTAAAAATGTCCTTGATTATTTTTTTTAAGGAGATGCCTAGGGGAAGAGGAGGATTTGATCGAGGCCGTGGTTTTGGTATGCCAAACAGGGGTCGTTTCTACACACCCCCTGCACCATACAACAGACGAGAGCCAATGCTACATGACCCCCACCCTTTGCCTCCTCCGGGGCCACACCCATCTCACAGAGGAGGTAAAAAAATTTCATTCATTAGATCATTTCTTAATACATTTTTTCTTATTCTTGAGTTCTTAGTTTATTTTGTAAAATTTTCAGATTAGCTTTTCACAATAGATACTTCACATTAGATTTGTAGCCAACAATTCTTAAAAAATTGAAGTTTTGCATTAATTTTAGACATGTGACTTTTTGTTTTCTACATATCTTCATCCGAGTTCATTATAATTGAAGTATTTACTTTAACAGCAAGAGGTGGTGGCAATAATGGTGGAAATGGTGGCGGAAACAATCTCATTTCATTGGACAGATCTAGAGCAAATTTTATGGCACCAAGACCATTTTCTCGAGGGTAGGTTGATTCTTTGTTACATCTTTCAAGGTAACACAAACATATTTAATGCTGAAATTATGTAGCAATTATTTATTGTCACTTAGAACAATTTTGTTTGCTGGAGTATGATTGTTATTTTTATGTTTTAAAAAGAAATTATGTGTTTATGGCTGTATCATGGTCGTATTCTGCTATAATTTGAAATTGCTGTTCATGAGATAAAATTTGAAAACAAAATGTTCCCCTGCAGGCCGGAACGTCAAGGTCCCCCACCTATGGACAGGCACAATGGAAGAAATGGCAGATTCTCACCTGGTGGGAGAGGAGGCAGGGGTGGTCAGTGGGGCAGAGGGAGGGAGATGGGAGAACCTGGGTAAGAATGGACAGACTTTTAGATGTTCTTTATGTACAGACTTTTAGATGATGTTCTTTATGTACAGACTTTTAGATGATGTTCTTTATATACAGACTTTTAGATGTTGTTCTTTATGTACAGACTTTTAGATGATGTTCTTTATGGACAGACTTTTAGATGTTGTTCTTTATGTACAGACTTTTAGAGGATGTTCTTTATGGACAGACTTTTAGATGTTGTTCTTTATGGACAGACTTTTAGAGGATGTTCTTTATGTACAGACTTTTAGATGTTGTTCTTTATGTACAGACTTTTAGATGTTGTTCTTTATTGACAGACTTTTAGATGTTGTTCTTTATGTACAGACTTTTTAATACTTCTATGCTTTTATACACACTGAAAGATAAAACTCAGTTTGAATCAAAATACTACTTAAAAATTCATCACGCATTTTTCTTATTAATAATTTTTCTTTTGTTTTTAATCTTTCTAAATGGACAGACTTTTAGATGTTGTTCTTTATGTACAGACTTTTTAATACTTCTATGCTTCTAAATAGTTAATTATGTGTTGGATTTTTTTATATACACTGAGAGATACAACTATCAGTTTCAATCAAAATACTACTTAAAATTCATCCGGCATTTTTCTTATTAATAATTTTTCTTTTGTTTTAATCTTTCTAAATGCTAAAGATATTATTGCAGTGATACATTTTATTTGCAATATAAGGTATTTTGTCACATAACCTCTAAATGAAACAGTGTTCACAAATTTCTGTTTGTTAAATGTAAAAAATCGTATCTGCAAAACAAAAAAAAGTAAAGCGCGTTTTATAACTTGATAGTCTTTGGGGCAGGTGAAGTAAAACTCAACTGTTTTAGTAACCATGGCACATTAGGGATAGTGTGGTCAGCACTATAGCCTGCTGCCTTTTCCCTATAAGTCAGGTACCCATAATAGCTGGGTGGACTCAGGCAAGTCCTAATGACTCAAGCCTGGGATCCACCTAGTATTTTTTATTTTTACAAAACTGTGTAAACATTTTCTTTAAGATTAGTATTTGTTTTAACTTTCAGCCGTTTTGCTGGGGGTGGATTCCGCGGGAGACGTGATGGTGGCAGACATGCTCGGTCTTTTACAAAGTAATGTTGTTGGTGTTTGCTCAGGTGTCTTACACAGGATGTATGTTGGAGACATACGCATGATATATGCACTGGTATGCAAGAAGGTCTGCTTATACAACTGAGGCTATTTTAATTATTGATCAAATTTTAAAGCAGGAAACTATGTTTTTATCAAATTTTAACAGTATTTTTTAAATATGTAAGCTGCTTTTTAGCTCCCAAAAAAAGATTAGTTCTAGCATGAATTTACAATTTTTTGTTTGTTTTGCGTTGATTATTCATGTACATGACCTGCTAAGAAATATTTATCAGTACAAAAAGCCAAACTGTCATACACCACTTGTAAAACATAGTTCTGTGTTCTTAACATTTCACTTATAATTTAAAGCAACTGAAATAAATTGTTTGAGCTGTATTTGTAATTAGTGGGAGAATGTTAAATACTTTGTTTTTAAAGACTTGTTTACAATACATTTCACAGCTACAATTTAGACTGAAGATATTTGTATAAATTTGAAATAGAGTGAGATAAACCTGTATTACTAGTGTAAAAAAGAACTTTGTATGAATTTTTTGAATGATGTGAAACTACACAGGTAAATCGATATTATTTTGCTGGTTCAGTTAGCAAGTATGGTTGTAAAAATAAGTGTGAGTTAGTGTGAAAGTTTTTCCTGTTTGAACATATAATTGTAACCACCCAGTTTTCTTGTTTATATGAAATGTACAGAGTTAATTTTTCATAACTAGCAAGTTTTAATGTAGAACAATATTTTTTTCCCACAATGGGAATCTAATGAATTATTGACTTTTTAAAATTGTTGACATAGGATTTACCATTAGTGTTAGCACCGATGATGGTTTTATCACTGATGCTAAAAATTTATTTTTAAATGGGACTAATCTTAGTTGGCAAGAATTATGAGTAGTGTGCTTTTCTTTTATTTCAAGTTGCTGGCCTGCTTTGATTATATCTCAAATTATTTTAAATGAATACGACTTGACTGTTATGAATATACATTTTGCTACTTTTGTTTGATTATTGTATATTATTTTATGTTTTATAATAACTGTTAAATTTTGTTTCTTAAAAAAAAAATTGATGATGTTTTTATAAAATAAAAACACTGATACAAAGATTTTTTTTTGTTTGTTATAATTTTCAAAGTGATTTCTGGAGGTTTGAAGTTATGGCGAGCTTATTGAGCTAAGTTTGGGATGTTATAGCTTCCCAGTAAATCAAATAGTTTTAAAAGTTGTCTTTAAAATAAGAATCAGGTTATCCAAAAGCAGCTTCAGACAAAAAATCAAATCCATTGAAACTTAAACCAATAGGCATGTATTTTCTTTTACAGTTCAGCCTAGTTAATCATTTTACAAAAATGGATGTAAGTATTGCTCAAGATAAAATTTAATTTCCAAAATTACATGAAGTAAAATACTGTTTTTTTAAACAAAAATGGTTAAAATAAAAAAAAAAACATGGACAAATTCGACATTAAAATTCTTATATAAGGTAAAACATCAACACCATCAACATCAACAATATTTACAATTACAATTAAATTATTTAAATATTCAGATAAAACATTTATAATTTCTCTACTCCACTGCACTCAGCTGTTTGACCAACTGATTTATCTCCATTTCTTTTTCATTGAGCCAATCCTCATAGTTCACTCCTGTCTTTGACTTGCCCAGGCTACGCAAGTAAACACGCAATGCCCCATCATGATTGACAGGAAGTAAGGGCACACTGCTCGGAACATTAGCATGGCTTTTATTGGCTGAAGGGTGTCGTGGGGATTTCTCCAGTTTCTCATGTTCCCTCTCAGCTAGCCACATTTCATAACCAAGTTTCTCTTCTTCTTCCTTTTTCCTAAGAGAATATACACATTGGATTGTTAGTCAATTCAAATGTAAGAAGACCACTGAAATGTTTTTATATTTATTAAAATAAAAAAAATTCTGAAAGATTAAAATTTATTTAGTGAGGTCTTCTTTGTTCAAGTAAATAATATTGGTTAAACTATAAAACCTTAGATTTAGGGTTACTTTCAAGGAAGAATGAGGTTAAATACCAAGTTACAAGACACTAGATTAGAATTAATCTTCAGCAACATCAGAATTTGAGTTTCTAAAAGGACTTGACGAGCAGTGGGACAGATAAAGTGGAGTGGCTTTATTATTGTCATAAAGAAATAATGTGTAGCAAACACTAATTTTTACTTTACTCTAATGGATACCTATCATGAATGTGTAGACTTAAAATTTGGCAACAAAGCTGATTTAAGCTCACGTGTTTCAGGCTGGTAGCAGTATGTTCAACACATGTCACAAACGGTTACTAGTTAAATTATTCCAAAGGATCAATTAGTATTTGTGTTTCTACTTTATAATTCTTATTTTGTAAATTAAAATATATTTTCTCAGAAAAAACCTTACTTTTCTTCTTCCTCCATTTTTCTTTTCATCTCCTCCTCAGCTTTTTTCTTATTCTCCAGCATTATTTTCCTCTCTATCTCCTTCTGTTTTTGCAACCACTCATTGTATGATAGAGGCTTTTTCATGCTGCACATTGATAAAGATCCCAATAAACAGTGGGTATAACAAAATTGGTAAATTAAAATACAAAGAGTGAAAAACATAGGATAATAAATTATGAGAAAAATTATGCATATTTAATACATAATTTACATTTGGTTGATTCAAAATAAAATAATTGTTACGATATTGATTTGGTTTAAATTTATTTTTATATCAGTTTAAACTGAATGACATAAGTTAAATTGTCATGCCCAAATATTGCTATATATGCAAGTAATATTTACCCTACAGGGCATACACTAGCTACAAGAGCTACTTACTTTGTTTCTTTTCTGCCTTTTGTTGTGGAGTTTTGGGTTCCTTTTAAAATATTAAATTTATTAATAAATAAGCTAGCAAAATATATGGAACAATAAATAATTTTAACTTTCTTTACTTAATTATGTAACTTATATAAAAATGTTTGTATGTATTATCTTTTGTTATTATCCATAAGGTAAAACTGAATGTTATATATTTTCTAGCTCTACCTTGAGAAATGTCATCAGGTACCGTTTCAGAACTGTCTTGAGAATCACTGAAGAAAGTTGCATCCCTGACCTGCTTATGGATAACAGAAGGGTGTCTACCTCCCTTGGGAGCACTCAGTGCTGTCCCTTCATACTCTCCAGGTTTCAGAATTTTAGAGACATAAATTTGTGCTGAGCTTCCCCTTTTCCAGACAGGGAAACTGGAATCATGATACTGATGTGCAAATAACGGCACCTGGAATAGTTATAAAGTAATTAGTAACAATGAAAGGAGAAAATGCAGGAGAAAATTTAGTCTAGACTAAGGCAGTTACAGCTAATAGTCCTGGATATTTTATCACTTGCAGGAGAACAAAAAAAGTTTTATTTTAAATTTTGTGTTATTAAACTGTTGGCAGGACAATACATGACTGTGCCTAGGTTTTTTCTTCCAGTGGCACTGTTAGTTTAAGAGTAAGGGATACATCAAGATTAACTATGATCTGGGTTAGTATTAATATCAGAGTGAAGGGTTTGGGTAGTGATACTAGAAATATATAGCATTCAATACATCTTTCCAAAATATCAATAAGTACAAACATGATAATCTTTATAAGTATGTTAAAAAAAAGTCTTGAAAAAACTTTCACAGCTTATTGTCACAATAAATTGATTCAACACACAACACCCACTTTCTTTGAAGGCTTGATTTTCTTAGCTCTTTCCTGCCACTGGAACTGGAACAAATTTCTAGAGCAGACTTTGCTGCCAAATCTCTCTGCAATCATCAAGGCTGTGTTTCCACTGTGATCTTCTGCAGCAACATCAGCCCCTTTAACATGAACAAAAAAACTTGTAGTTGTAACTTTAGTTATTATATGCTTGAGAAAAGTTGAGTTTACAATGTCATAATCAGGAACCTGGAGTGGACTCTTTTTTGCTATTATTAATGATCTTCATTGGTGAATACAAGTAGTGGTCCACTGCTACTTAAATAGGGACACAATGTTTAGCTATGTTACCAAGAGCATTGTTGTCCTTAAGTACATATAACACTAGAAGAACTCCACCACTCATGATGATAGGTTGTTGCATGCTAGGTAGTTGTTAAGAAAAAGCAATGATTCTATTTGAACTTACATTAAATTAACTTAAAATTTTTTCAACCTATTTGTCTATTAAAGCTTTTCTCAAAATGTGCTCAAAGATTAAAAGCTACTTCCAAAAAAACGGGACAAAAAATAAGCAAGCAAAAACCCTGTTATATTTGTATTGCCTATTTCCAGAATAATCACTGCTTTTAAAACTCCCCTTGGCTAGTTTTTTAACAAATCAACTAAAATACACTACACAAATTGCAGGTTAAAACAATACAAAAAGTGATAACTTGCCATGGTTCAACAGTGTGTTTATAATATCTCCATTACCCTTTGCAGAGGCTAAATGCAGGGGAGTTTTTCCTGTGGGAGTTTGTTTGTTCACATCAGCACCTGAGAATAGCACATACATTAAATAATACTTCAAGTTAATTATCATTTTACTAATTAAAGCAAACTATTTGTATTTTCTCTGATTCAAGGAAGTATTTTTAAAACATACACATTTTCTCATTTTAGAAACTTTGGTATAAGATGTACAGTTATTTATTTGAGCTAATGTGATAGCTATTGAATGCAATTCAGAATTATGGTATTTAAAACATAAATTAAAGTTCTTTCTTTTCTTTATGATAATCAAGATTTTAAAAATAATAATTTTTATCACCAACTGTTCATAATATACAGCATCAACTAAACAGAACAAGAAAATACTTATATAAGTACATCTAACATGATAAATACCATTTTCAATGAGTTTAACTGTCATCTCCTCATGTCCTCTATGTGCCGCCAGACACAATGCAATGAAGGCTCTATCTTCCAGCCACACTTTTCTAGATTTTTTGGTCATATAATCACTGGCAGGAGTGTGGTAGTCTGACTGGCCAGTCACACCCAGCTTGAATAACTGTTTAAAAATGCACTCATTTTCAATCAAATAATGTTCAGTGGTTTTGCTAAACAAAGATAGGATCAGCTCAATAAAAGATGTCAAGAGATAGCATTGGAAAACCTTAGATACTGAAGATAATAAACCAGGCAGAATTTCTTCATATAGTTTTTTAAAGATGTCAATGAGTCAACCCAACTCTTATAAGTACCTGATTTGTGTAAGAGAAAGTAAAACATACTGAACATAATCTCATCATTTTCCTTGTCAGAGAAACAGACTTCTATTTCTTCTTATATTTTATCTAACCCATTTACCAAAAGGGTACTTTACTTTTACTTACTAGGTCTACTACTAATAATAATATGATGTACACACATATTAGAAGAATTGGAAATACTATACATATAAATTATGAATATTGATTTGGACAACAAATGTTTTATGAATTTTTCACTATGTATCTAAATGACAAAAACATGTAGTAGCAATTTACTATTGAAAATAAGACTACTGTTTCATGTGTAATTTAAAATGTAAAACTGCCTACCCATTCTATGTCATTGGCAACAATAACTTCAATCAGCTCTCTGTACATGGGCCAGACTTTTAGCTGCACAGTACAACCTGGCACAAAATCATTGCCTCTGACATCAGTGTGATCAGGCAATTCACCTAAATAAAAGTTCAAATGTTAACTGAAAGTAGCAAAAATTGGCAATATGTTAAATATTACTGAGGCCATCAATGATTGCAAAGTATGTTCATTGTTATTGTTATATAAAAGTCTTATGATAATTGTTACAGATTAAAATTCTCCTATAATAAGCAAAGGGAAATATAATCTAAATAATGTATGCTTTGTGTCCATTTTATTAGTAACTTGATTTTTAATTATACAAGCAGTGTTTTTACCTTCATCCAAATAGCTTAATCTCTGTAAAGACACAGGAATTCCAGTGACTATTTCCAATTCATCTTTTAACTGTGCGATTGTCATGTCATGATAAACATCATCTAGTTTAAATTTTTCCTCAGTAGGTTCAAGAAAAACATGTACTGTGAAGGCATCGGGCCTGCGTTTATATTTTTTAGGCTTCTCTTTGCCATTTTTATTTTGACTCTTAGATTTGATCATAATGTTTGTGAACAGAACATAGAGCTAATGGGTTGGGTTAGGCCTGCAGAAACTTTCAGGCTTTTTTTTTTCAATTTAATATTTAATCATATTTTTTATTTAGATCTATATAAATACTCCAATTTCATTCTAAACTATAGGCCTCTTATCCCATAATTTTTTACCAAAAAAACTTCATAGTTTTCTAGATCTAGAATTCTAAATCTAGATCTGTCACAATCAGTGAATCACACTGCACACAAAAGTTCAAGAAATCAGTGTTACATAAAAAAAAATAAACAGAGCTAATATTGTATTTTAAAGAAGTAGGCCTATTTATTACAAATTAAATTTCACAGTTAGGCACATTATAATATTTTCAAAAATGACAATAAAAGAATTAGTTCTAAGCATAATTCATTTTTAAACAAAAGTATCTAGAATCTAGATCCAGTGGTTATGCAGCCATATTGTTTATGCTGTCAAGGAAATAATAGTTCGGCATTAAATAAAAAAACCTTTATTTTACTTTTCAGACATCAGATTTTAGTTTCAGTTTCTGCAGTACATTAACCATTTCCGGTAATAGTAGAAGGTCAGCAACTACAAATATCAACAATGTTATCGTCTTTTCGAAAGGCTGTTTTGTCATCAGCCGTAAGTCTGGCTATAGGCCTTCATCACTGCATAAAATTTGTTCTTTGTTACGAGAAATTTAGTTCTATACTTTAGCTATGTCAATCCCGATTCATTCTTTGAGAATGCAATGTTTATCAGTGTGGGTTGCAAAATTGCTCATGAACTGAATGTTCTGAGTTCGAATCCTGAATTGACCATGCCATTCAGTGTTGTGGCAGTGTTGTTGTCACACAGTTACAACCCCCCACTTTTCTTATTTTCAATTATCGCCCTGAAATCGTTAGTTTGGTTAGTAGATCTAGATCTAGTAGCCTACAGTTTAGGTGTAAGTGGTCTATTATGACCACTGTGATTGTGAATGAAATTGTGATTGTCTGGGTGCCAAGTAAATTGCTCACGAGTCACTAGTTAGAGTTTGAATCCCGTTCTTACCATTGAGTTGTCAAATCGTTAAAAATAACCCAATATGGCTGTCTCTGCTGATTTTAAATGTAGACTGTAGAGCGAGCTTATACTACATTTTAAATCAGCAAAGACAGCCACCCCTCTATCACTTTGACTAAACCAGGCTAAATTCCTGAAACAAGGGACTTAACAAAGAAATGATTGGAGGCTCTATATCATAATACAGTGTAGGCCTACTCATGTTACCATGGTCAAGGTTTGACCAAAATTATATACGCCTAAGTGTCATTTATTTTTTATTTTTAGGGACACATACGTACCTTCTATGGCTCTGCTAATGTGTGCAGTGACAAAATGTTTGTTGTAAGTATTTGGCCATATGGCTCTGTTTAATTTTTATAATATAGGCCTAATTTCTTTTTTTTTTCATAGTAAATATACGCCTAACGTGTTTTTTTTTTGCAAAAGTAACTATTCTTTTATTTTAACTTATAATCACAGTTACTTTTAACCTAATATCCATAGTCACTTAGTTTAATATTTTCTTCCATTGTTATTACCAAAATAAAGCATATTGCTATGACTTTGTAAATGTGTGAATTTTGTATAAATTATGTTCCAATTTATTTTATCAGCATAGGGATACCCCAGATAACAACCCACAATTACCTTTTGAGTTTACACCAGAAAATATAAAGGTAATGGTACTTGTTATTATGCTTCAAGGCTTTTTGAATTTTAGATGTTTTGAATTATTGAATAATTTTTAATGCCGAATAAATTTATGCAAGTTGCAAAGTCTTAATTTCAAAATGAAAATATAATTGACTGCCTTTTTTTTACAGCGAGTCAACACAATAATTGCAAACTACCCCAAAGGTCACGAGGCTGCAGCTTGTATTCCTTTACTAGATCTTGCTCAGAGGCAAAATAATAGTTAGTTTTAAAAACTTTTTTCCTTCTTCTGTGCCATTTGCTTTTTATGTAAATAGCCAAATGTTTTAATGCCCAGTCATGTAAAGCTAAACAACATTTCTCACTTGGTGTAATATGTCTTCTGTGTAAAGTTGAAGTTTCGTTCAGGCTATTATTATTAATCAAAAGACTAAAAAGTTACCTTTTATTCCTGGTGGTTTAGTGTGCTCATGAAGTAGAGTTGATGTATTTCTGTGGTCTCAGCTTTTAAGGGATTTGTGTCATCAGCTGTTTTAATTAATTAAAATACCTTTATTGTGTAATCTTATTAGAGATGATCAGTCAAGATAATTGTTTCTTACAGACTGGCTGCCCATTTCTGCCATGCACAAAGTTGCAGAGATATTAAAGATGCCAAGAATGAGGGTGTACGAGGTAGCAACATTCTACACTATGTTTAACAGGTATGATTAGCTAGGCCAATGCCGCTGCCGAGAAAATCGGACAAATCGGCTTTTCCCTACCCCCTGCATGTTTAACTCTGTTTTTTGCATGCTTTTATTGTGTTTATGTTAACATGTTATACATCATTCTGTTCGTAATTGAACAACCTTTTTAACTGTATAAGTTTGATTTCTCTATTATTTCAGACGTTGAAGAAATCGCCGAATAAATCGCATTTTTTACCCTCCGCGGCGACGTGCCGATTAGGGGGGAGGCTTTTTCACCTTTTTAAAAGGGGGGTGTTACTTGGAGTCTATAGACTCTGTGAGTTTTCGTACTACAACTGTGAAACTTGGTAGAAGAATAGATTAAATGTACACGTATAACGCTCAGGGTTCTTGGTTAAAATATGTTAAATACTTTCGGAGATATCAGACCGCAAAGTTAAACTAAGTTATTTGAGCTATTTATGGACCGATTTTTTATTTGAACCCTGAGCTGTATTCCTGAAATCTCGACGTTTATTAATATGTATGATATGTCCTATAAGGCCCTATAATAAGGACGTCTATAGACTTTGAAGTGGACCGAAAATATAAACACGACGCGCCGACCGCTGTCTGACTGAACCGCCCTGCTGTGCTTCAAATCGCCGTCTTTAACCTGATGACGCGTTACAAAATTTGTATACACGTATCGAGTTTACGTACTACAACAGTTAAATTTGGCAGACGAATACATTAAATGTAGACGTATAACGCTCAGGGTTCGTGGTCAAAATAAGTTAAATACTTTTGGAGATATTGGACCGCAAAGTTGAACCAAGTTTCCCGGTCTATTATTGGACATATTTTACATTTGAACCCTGAGCTGTATTCCCGAAATCCCGCCGTTTATTTTAATGTATGACATGTAATATAGCACCTCGTAATAAAGCCGTCCATACATTTTAAAACCGAACGAAAATAAAAATTAACGCGTCGGCCGCCGTCCGACTGATTGGTGATCTACACATCGTGTGGCACAGCCGAGTGTGTGGTCACGTGACGCTAGGCGCTTGATCCGATTGGATGAGACTATAAACAATGTCTAAAGATAGATACATGTGTTCCCGTGTTTGACTCGACGGCTACTTTATATTTATAAGCACACAGACATGTTGCATAACTTTGTCTTAACCCATTGAAACGTCAAACAAAAGTTTTGTTAGTATTTACGGCTAAAGACTAATCGTCAAAATTAATCTTCTTTAGAAATTAATCCGAATAGCTTCGGCCCGATCAAACAATGCTGTGATGTGATTCGTGTAACGTTTCATTATTGTGTACATTACATTTTCGTAAAAATGGCTTTAAAAATAAATTAAATTATATCCGGGGCTCTTTTCTACACATTTTAATACCACTAGCTTGCCAAATCGACCAAAATGGGGTGGGGTGGATGGGGGTAGCCACTGACCATCCTACACCGTATGTAACACCCATAGCCTCACCCCGCCCCCACTATAGTCCGTGACGCGACAAGCCGACGAGCATCGCTTTTGATGTTGTATAACACCCGTACGGTACACGGTGGTTTCATACCCCACCTCCCTCCCCTTCACTTTGTGGAGTTGATGTTACTAACCCTCGGGCATAGATCAGGAAATCTTGCCAGACTTTTGTCTCTGAGATTACATAATATTCATCTGACACGTTCATCGGGTTGGCCGACTAGCCTATTCAGCGGTCGTGTTTACGTAATAGGGCAATAAAATTCGTTGGTCAGAAGACCTGGTTACCCACATGTCTGATTGAACTAAATCTAGGCAAAAGCTGGTGGTGGTACACGTGTCTGTGTATAGCCAAACACAGTAATCTTACACAATTTCTAGAATCTACTAGATCTACACAGTCAAGCACTCAAACACGTGCTTTTTTCTTAAGAAAGTTTTTAATTGTAAAAGGGCTACTGGTAGGCTTACAAAATACATAAACATACTTACTACTAGCATAAACATTGGGCATAAATATAAATTTATGTTATGTATCTATAACTAGATCTATACCTTGTGCAAGTTTTAAAAAAAAATATTTTCCTCCAATGTTTATTTTATTGACATTGTAAAAATGATTAACTTTAATATGGGTAATAATATTACGTAATTACCATAAAGCACACTCTGATTCTGATCAAACACATTTGTAACTAGACTAATTCTATAGCAAAAAGGATTAAGATATTTAAAATAACAAGAAATATAATTATAATGAGATAGGCCTTTATTTTTGGAACCGAGTAGGCCTATAGTATTGCACATATATTACATAACATCTTTTAAGAAGTTACCTAATCACAAATTTACTATAGCATTCTTCTCTTTGTATTGAAAAACTTGATTAGTTATATTTTCTTCTAGTAGGCTATTAACTTGAAGTTAACTGACAATGAGCAAAAGTGATTTTAAAACAAATTCATGGTATATTTTGAGCAAAGGGTGGGATTACATAACCTTAACATTTGATAGTTATGTAACAATGTTGGACCATTTCAAATCTACCATTAGCTTGAGCATATACAAATGTCATATTTTAGATTAAAACAGCGTTACATTTAAAGAATGACTTCTTATCACGTTGATTATTAGATGTTTAAAAAAAATTTTAAAGGGGGGTATTACATAATCTATGAGATTAGTAGGTTGAGTAATCGAAGGACACTTTTTAAAATAGCATCATTGGATTCAGCATACAAAAATCTATAAAATGTCTTAAAATTACATCAATTGATAAAGTATTCTGGCTTTTATACCACTTTTAGTGAAAAACGCTTAAAAATTTGGTCCATACCCTCCCAGTATTTTTCCTCTTTCAGGGTCTACCCCGGTTGTCTGAAAAAACTGCTGTTTTTTAATGACTAAAAAATTCATAACTTTTTTGTTTATGGTCAGATTTTGAAAATTCAAACTGATCTGTAATCAGATTGACAGCCCCTATCCAAATATGTAACTATTATATTGTTTTACTGAAATTAAATTTTTGCATTGGCCTAGCTAGTATGATTACAATTGTGATTAATCTTCTATAATTAATTAGGACAGAAATGTACTGAATTTTGGGAATTTTCAACTGTAAAGGGTTTTTTAATAGTACGAAATAGTTACAATGTGAACATTCTATTTACTTGAACTTGAATAGAAATATTTTTTGTACCCCTTGTTAACAAAAATCTGTGTTATATATTATACTAAAATTTCTAAATTTACTTCAATACTATTATACAAAATTAAGTGGCTGTATTTTGCTCAATCCTACTACCATTTTTCTCTAGAGAACCCGTTGGTAAATACTTTGTCCAGATTTGCACCACAACACCCTGTATTCTGGGAGGTGTCGGCTCTGATGTTATTTTGGAAGCTATTAAAAACAATCTAGGTAAGCTTATTTGATTGTAAAATTATTTCTTAGTCCCTTGAGAACTGGCATCTCCCCTTCATTTTATAAATATCAAATTATATAGCCTTAATATAGAAAATCTTTACCAGGGTTGTTTATTTTGTTTTTTTTTTGAGGAATTTGTGAACTTTATATTTTTTAACTACTGACTCAAAACCCCCCTCAAAACTTTTTGATGTATTAGTGATGACAAATTACCCTTTTTTGTTATTTATCATCAGGTATTGATGTTGGTCACACAACAAAAGACAAAATGTTTACCCTGGCTGAAGTTGAATGTTTAGGAGCTTGTGTGAATGCCCCAATGGTGCAGATCAATGACGACTATTATGTAAGTGTTGTCTACCCATTTTTGAAGTTCTTTCTTACTACTTTATTTAGCTTTCAGATTTTTCATCTTCTTCCTTTTCATCTCACAGTGGAGCATTGGCAATATCCTTCCATGCTATTATGACATTTGCAATTTTTTCTTCTCAAGTAACAAATGTTTTAATGGAGAGAAAAATTGTTTGGTTATTCTAATTGTCTTATTACTACTGGGTATTATGTGTCCATTGTAAATCGCTTAACCCCATGTATTTTGAATGCTCAATTTTAAAATATTTCTTACAGGAAGACCTGACAGTGGATGACATAAATAGAATTCTTAATACACTGAGGGATGGCAAGAAACCCAATCCAGGACCACAGTAAGATTTGTGTGTGTGTATGTGTGTAATTAAAAAAGCAAAAATTGATGTGTAAGGCATAAGTGCTAGTAAAGGTAATGCTTACATAAAAAGACTTGAACATAAGTCCATAATCTTTTTTGTATAAAAAGGAAGCAGAATACTACTGTGCATTTTGATGTATGATGATTAATTTTACATTTTTCTTATCCTAATTATCATCAATTGTCACTAATTTGACAGTAGTCAACTTTAAAAAAGTTTTCAATGACAATTGTGTACAAAAAATGTGTATGTGCAATTTTGAACCTCATTGTAGGATAATAGCAAATTTTTTGTGAGTAATTAGTTTTGTCTTTTTATTTCACTAAAAATTCCTTTTAATTAATTTTTTTTTTTTTTTTTTTTGCAGAAGTGGTCAGAACAACAGATTTGCCTGTGAACCTAAAACAGGTTTGACCTCTCTGAAAGAACCACCAACAGGTCCAGGTTTTGGTGTTAGGGCTGATTTATAGTTTCCAATTAACAATTTAGGTGATAAAATATAGGCACTAGTAGAAAGAAAATAACATTTAAAGGAAATGAATGTGCTGATACAAGTAAATTTCTTTTTCTTGTAGGCAACATTTACATGACTGGCTGATAATAAAATGTGTACATATTTTGACTGTAAGCATGACTGACCTGCTATTAAAAATTGTGTTACTATTTTGATTTTGGTCTTTCTTTATTCTTTTTTAAACTTAAGGAGTTATTTTACAGCATGCAATCAACACATTGATAAGCAAAAATCATACATGGTTTTGGACAAAAAGTTTATTTCTTACAATATATTGAAACATTTGTTATTGGTCTTATTCGTCCACTTTTATTGTGTAGACAAACATCTTCTGTTCAGTGGCAACATAGATTTTTGTGTTGGTTACCTTCAAACCCAGGATAGTATCAGGGGAGGCATCCAGTGACAGCACCTGTTGCTTAGCAACACTGCTGACTTGCTGCCCGGTCTTCCTGTTTCGCAATGGTGTCATGACAGAGACTTTCTGTTTGTAGAGATAAAGGTGGCGCTGGGCATCTGCGATCACGGCTGTGGACATGTCAGGGGAACATGTGCAAAATCTCCGCTGCTGTTTTGATGCCAGGACATAGCCAAATGCGTTCAGCACCCCAATGTGCTCCCATGGGGATTTATCCACCTGGCCATCTATAGTCTGCCACAGGAAACCATCCACGTCATGTCTCAGACAGAATGCTGGGATACCTCCAGATTCATCAATGGTGGCACTAAACAAGTACTGGTTACTTGTGATAGCCTAAAATATTTTCAAACATAAGGACTTAAAAAACCAGTCTATAAACAATTTCATTGTGTCAATATGAAAAAAATATTTTAAAATTCTGTATGTAGAAAATACCCATAGAGCCTGAACCCACTTTGTGTGTTAACTGGTGTGTCTCCCCATCAATCCTCATCAGGAGTAGACCATCTTCGTCCACAGCGTCACACTCCTCAAGCATTTGTGAATTGTAAGGGTTCTCTTTGCACTCTGGATTTGGATTCTTAAAGAATCATAAATTAACAAAAATGTTAAACTCTAATCAGGGCACTAAAGATATGCTGGCATGAGAAATAAAAAATTTATTAATAGATCCTCAAAAACTGTTGATGAAAAAAAAATCCAAGATGACTGGTTACTGGTTCAGTGTATGAAATAAAGTATCACAAACATTTATGGTTGTTTCAATTGTAAATTGTTTGTCACATATATATTGAATACAACCCTACTTTGATCCAGCACATGTGAATGATAAGGTAAAGAATTAGAAATAAAGAATAAAGGCAATTTTTAGAACTAAATTTAAACTTTGTTTTGAAATGTGTTACTACTTAAACTAAACTACATAATTTATACCTGCATGCTGTTATTAAACAGCTTGCTTTATAGTAAAATAATAAGTAATAGAACTGAGTCACAGTGGGTGCATGTTTTATATCAATACAATTTTTAATAAGGTTACTTTAACTTTAACTGAATTTTTGTAAAAAAAAGGTTGTCAGGTGACAGATGGTAAACTATAAACTAATATAACTTCCTGTCGACAACAACCTGACACCAAGTACTCCAAAAGATTAAGAGTATTATCTCAAATTTCTTTGGTAAACTACAGCATTAAGTCACCAATCAATACAATTAAATGAAAGTACCCAATCTTCTGATGTCAGGTGTGCAAGCCTTGCATGAACAGCATCAACCTGCTCTGGGGTCATCACCAGCTCCCCCCTGTTGTCCCCAGCTACAACTGTTGGCCACAGACCTTCTTCTGCCTTTTGTAGAGTTATTTCTAGCCTGGGTAAACACAGATTAGATCATCTTATTGCTTTAAACTGGAAGCATATTAGAAAAACAAACACTTTTTATTTCATTTCTGTTGAATATTTAAACTCTGACAAATGTATCTAAAATACATTGACATTGTACAACAGCTCATGCAAAATTGTCTTGGATTATCTGGACCCTAATGCAGTATCTTTTGGCTTATTATTATCTACTTTTTCATGTGTAATAATTTGCCAGATAGAAAAATTGAATTCATAGAGTAACTGGCAAATCAAATTAAATTTTTTTTTTTAACACATACTGATATTATTCCACTAAAATCTAATAAAATATTAAGTGTTGGGCTAGCTATCCATACTCTAGCAAATTTATACCTTGGTAGCTATGTAAAAAGTACACAAAAATAAAACAAACCTTGAATTTTGGTACTGCGAACCTAAGATACTAAACACTAATAATAACAGCGCATTGATTTATCAGTGACATACCTTCGACCATCGAGAGTCCAAGTGCTGCCATCTACATCTACTCTTGCATGCAGATCTCCTTGGATCATCTCAACACCATTTTTGATGACCACCTCTAGCCTGGTACCAGTAATGTCCACACTCAGGTTAGCTTTGCTCAAACCTTCTGGAATTGTCAGGTGGACACAGAGGTCACTGGTTGTCTGATTCCAGGTGTACAGTGACTTTGTATCTGAAATAAATTTTAAAAGCAAATTTCTTTTAAAAACAATTTCTTCTTTTATTTTTCTATAAACAAAATGTAAAAAAATGTACAAGTTAAGTTGTGTTTATGAAATAAATCTGAATATTTCAATGTTATTACTAGGTGTTATTATTTATATGGTAACAAAATGAGCTGATTTTTAATTGTGTCTATTAGGTCTATATGGTTTAAATCAAATAACGTCCTTTATAGTCTCAAGTAAATTTGGCATAGGTTATCAGAGTTGCAAAAACAAAGCTCTTAATTTAGTAAAACAAAATTAAAATTAATTATCTTAGCTTCTTTTTCCCAAGTAATTTTTAACAAAAATAAGATGCATAATTTATGTAAATACAAAAAATGTATTTACCTCTTTGACCAACCATCTCCCAGGCATCAGCACCCTCAACTGGTTTCACGGAATCTTCTACCATTCTGTAAGCCGAGGACGAGGCAATGATAACTGATGATCCCTTGCGGCTTAAACAAGCAAATTCAAAAGGCCTTGAACCTTCAATGCGTCTGTTTCTCTCAATGCTCCATTGCTTTCCATCAACTAAAATAAAAAACCACTGTAACTAAACGATACTATTGAATGCAAACAGAATAGTATAAAAATAATAAGAATTCTGACGGGTTATCTTGCATAAATGAGAAGTTTATTGCACCATAAACATAATAAAACTTAAACAATATTGTGAGATGGCATGGTCAAATGACAGAACATTTGGCTGATAGCCCGAGGGTCTCGAGTTCATATCTTGTTTTGGACTTAAGACCATAGGATGACCCTGAGTCCACCCATCTCTGATGGGTACCTGACTTATGTTGGGGAAAGTGAAGGTGAGTGGGCATAGTGGTGACCACACCATCCCTTCAAATGCTATAATTAGAGATTCACCAAATTATTTTTAAAAGAGTTATAACAATTCTAATTTAACATTCACTTAACCTGAAAGGAGTGTCAGCCACGAAAGAACCATAATCCAAGGTGATCTGTGTTTTTCTTTTACCTCCCCTTCAACTTCTTCCACTGATGCCAGAAGGCATTCAACTCTGTGGTTCTCCCCATCTAACCATTGCACTGTATCTATGACAACACTTGCCTGACCAGAGACTGGAACTGTTTCACTAAACAAGACCTAGCAATTGAAAAACATGAAAACATAATTAATTAGTGTTTACAAGCTACAAGAAAATTTGTTTTTTTTTGTAACAACTGTAGGTTTCTGCATTTATGTGATTGTTAACATGGACTATTCAATGAACAAATCATTTTTAAAATTGATATTACTACCTAACTCTCAACCCTAATTTCAAACAGCTATTTAACTGCTTTGGTGCTCATAGTTGTAGGCCTATCTAAGTACTTTTCCATCAAATAAATAACATAACAGTAAGAAGACCGATATGTATGAATACATTACTACCTTCCATTTGTTTAATGAATTTCTGTCATCAGTCTCCAGGAGGTAGATCATGTCTGCACCATTGACAATGACTGCCAGACTCTGGCTAGGAAAGCTCAGGGAAACATTGAAGCGTGTAGGTTTGAGCCTTAGGTTGGCAGCATCTGGCACATGGAACACTGTGTCACAAGGTGAAGGCTTACCCATCTGCAGAGCATCACAAGACATCAAACTACCATATAGTCCTTTTTTAAAAAAATTGGCAATAACTGGTACTAATTTTTAGATTTTTAAATCTACATGGAAAAAACAGCTGCCGAATACTAAAGGTTGCTCAATATTGCTATAGTGAGCAACCTTTGGGTATACTCCTGTTAAAGGAGGAAAAGAGAAGCTTATAATGCCACTTTGATACTACAATCAAAATAACTAATAAATAACTTAAACCTACCCTTAGCTCTAAACCTAAGAGAATAACATTTATATATTATACCTACACTATACAATTTTTAAAATAAGTATTATTTATTAAAAAAATCTATCAATATGGGAGAGGCCTAAGCATGTTAACTTGCAATTAAATGTGGCATGAGCTCATAGTTCACCTTGTCCAGAGAAATTTTTCCAATGCTCCATTCACGGTCACAGTAGTAGACAGAATCATCATGCCATGGATCAGAGAAAATATGGTTGTGTAGGCTAAACAGCTTAGCATGATGAGATGAGAATGTTGTTTCTGATGGTTTCGCTATATCAATACCTAAAATTTGATAAAAGTACAGGTTAAAGTCTGTTACATTATTTTTCATTGTGGGATTATTAGACACTCATATAACACAAATACAAAGCTTTTAGTGAAAAGGCTAAAATAAGCCAATTAGATAACTAATTAGTTACAGTTACACTACAAGACTAAATTAATTTTAAAAAACCTAATCTATTAGTAGATCTAGATCTAATGATAAAACAAGCTTGTTTACTAACTAAATTATTGTATATCAAAAAAGTAATAATTATGAGGGTGCTAGGAAAGCTGCCATCCGTTAAAGATAAAAAAAAATTAAAATGTGCCTAAGGGGTCATCTATAAATGACGTCACACTCGAAGGGGGAGGGGGGGTTCCGTAAATTTGTGATGGTGTGTGATGAGGGGGAGGGGGGTGGGGGTTCAGATGGTGCGACGTCACACTTTTGCATTATATAAAAGCAATTTTAAAAACTAATTTAAGACATTATTTCCCGTTTTAGAAAACTGTTTTTTTTTAAAAATTGCAATAGGAATTGATTAAAATACTCTAGATCTAGATCTATATTGACAGAGTTCAGACAAGATTTTGGAAAAATATCGGTTTTAAGAAAAATTCAACTGCAATTTTGAGGGGGGGGGGGGTTGTAGGCTGTGGTGTGAGGCCACTTTAGGGGTGGGGGTCTTGCTTATTGTGACGATGTGTGATGGAAGGGAGGGGTGGAGGTAAAAATCGTCCAAAAAAGCTTGACGTTATTTAATATGGATGACCCCTAACTAATAACTAATGTTATGTGTTTTGCATTTCCTCCTCGCACTTTGTGACTTAGACTTAGTCTGAGTTTACTCAAAATTTGCTGCATAGACATTTCAACTAGTGAACAAGTCTACTGTAAGTTTAATGCCTAGGCGCTTACGGGTTAAAGTATATTAGTATAGATCTAGATCTCATCTTAATCTAGATTTCGATTTCCACATCTCGAGATACCGTTTTTTTTTTATTTTTTTGTTTTACCCCAACCCATTTTTCAACTCTAGTAGTACGTACTAAGTAGTATGACATTAGATATCGCTTATTTTTCAATAGACTATCTAGTAAATTGTATATACTTTTATCAAATGATGCATCATAAACAGGAACAGAATCAAGAGAGAGCTGGTAATGATCAAAATTTGGATTTATTAGTTCTCTTTTCGGTTCCAGGTCCACTAAAGAAGCCATTTTATTTAAGTTGTGTCCCTTGGTTTGAAGTTTTATAAAATATTGACGACTTATATTTTAATCGATTAAAATTAGTTAAGTCAAGTGCTAATAATTTGAACAACTTACAGTGCTAAATTTTATTAAATCAGTAAAATATTTTTTTTATATACAAAGACATAAATTTCAAACGCCTATAATTAAGATTTTAAGGTTTTTTATTATTTTCAAAGATAATTAATTTTGTAGATATTTTCGGAATTTCCCGTTGAAAATACAACTTTTCATTCAGTGAAGAGTTAGGGCTTACGACTATTTATTACATCAACAAAATCAGTACTTTTATCAGACTGATGGCATTACAATCCTATTAATTGATGAGGAATGAATAAATATAATTTAGTATAAGCATGGAGTTCTTTCAAGTTTTCAGTTTTTTTCTGAAAGAAAGGTAAAAAAAAAATGTAGAATCTATCTAACTATCTATCTAGTATCTAGGTTACATTTTGTCACTTGTTACTGTACCCAGTGTTAGTGTACTCTAAGTGTACTGTACTGAACTGACTGTTGTCACTTAACGACTTAGTCTTATACAACTTATATATTATATTCTTATATTATGTATAATATGTAATAATAGTAATATGTATGACTTAGGTATACTTTATACTTTATACATACTTTATACTTTAGTATAGGCCTATACAATATACATTATACAATAATCATTAGCCTAATCATAATTATTAATTATACAATAATACATGACTACTACTACTACTACTACAGACTACGTACTTTGTCAACTTTGACTATGTCGTCTATGTCACTATTCCTAAAAATATATTATAATTAGACTATGGTGAATAGTTTGACTATTGTTATCCTATAGGCCCCTATAATTTATAGAGAGTGTCTATTGGTACTTTACTACAAATAGCCCTCAGAAGGCTATTCGTACTTCGCTATTTTTAGCCGACCAATCAAATTTATTTTTAAATTCATTGTCCTGCGCATGCGTGCATAATTATTTTTATTAGCTTGTGTATGGAGATTCCAATTCTGAAACATGTAGTAACTGCTCCGGTGGTCGAAGTGGTTGTGCATTGGCTAGTTTGTTTTCAAGGCGTGGGTTCTATTCCTTTTGGCTCAGATTTTTTTTTCATTTTTGCTTTTTTTTTTTTAATTTTACTTAAGGATTAGGGTTAGGGTTAGGCATATGCTTAGGGTTAGGCATTAGGGTTAGGTTTAGGTTTAGGGTTAGTGATAAGATTAGATCTAAAAAAAATAATTAGCTCTAGATCTATACAGCATGAAGAAGGGAATTCAAGAATCACAGAAAAAATGCCTCACGCTGATTGGTCAGAGTACGAATAGCCTTCATAGGGCTATTTGTAGTAAAGTACAAATAGCCGCAGCCTAATTTATAATAGTATTCTATAGTATTACGATTGGTATTAGTATCCCTATAAGTATACTTTACTATACTATTAGATCTACATTCAATATACATACTACTTTATCATTTGTACGCTTGACTAAGGGCAGGCCTACTACTACTTTTAATTACTACTTCTGTTACCTAAACTGTAGTCTTAGTCTTAGTGTTGCAGTCTTAAACTTAAGTAAGTTAAAGTTAAGTATTAAATTAAGTAATAGTAGTAGGCCTAAGTACTACTAAGTACTAAAGTAGTAGTACTTTGACTTATACTATTTAGGTTAGTTAGACCTACACTACTTACTTATTACTTAGTACTTGGGTACTTGACTTAATTAACTTATAGATTATAGATCTAGCCATTCTAGCTAGTACGCCTACTTGTAGATTTACCGAATCAGAAAATCTAGCCCTGGCCTATGTATTTAGGCCATATTAATAAATTATTATAGGCCTAATATTATTTTTTACTTTTCTTTTGCTTTCTAGCTCAGTAATCAGTAATACAGCAATAAAATATGAACAAAGTTTCAGGTGATATGTCACTTTTCCCACTCATAGTAAAATTAGGATTAGAAGGCCTATTACTTTGTAGACCTATTTCACTACTTTGTGGTGTGGAATAACCACCACACACTAGATACTAGACAGTATTAATCTGATTGGTGGCAGTGATAAAGAAACTATTATGGATCTTCTAACCATGCCAGCATGTCTGTGGTAGTCCCCCTTGTTCCCACCCTTTCTTAGTCCCCCCCACACACACAACAGAAGTTGAAAAGAATGAAACATTTATATAGAAAATATATACTTTTACCAGTGTCTGCCCACAAGAGATTAAGTTATTGTAGCTTTCCTCCTCCACCCCCCCCCTCATCCCCACCCCGGAAAGTTTTAAGTACCCCCACCCCTGCTGACCCATCATGGCATGCCTGAACTCACTTTAATAGACAATCAACAGTTTTCAAAGCCAAATTACCATTTGCAATCTTTTGTGTAAACTAAGTTTAAACCATTTTGCTGCAATTACCAAATTTCTTAAGGCTGTATAGATTTAAAAGTTTATATGTCTAGTCATTTGCATATGGACATTGCTATACACAGCAAGTTTTTATGGTCCAGTCACTTTCATATGGACATTGCTGTACACAGCAAGTTTTTATTGTCCAGTAATGGACATTGCTATACACAGCAAGTTTTTATGGTCCAGTCACTTTTATATGGACATTGCTGTACACCGCAAGTTTTTATTGTCCAGTAATGGACATTGCTATACACAGCAAGTTTTTATGGTCCAGTCAATTTCATATGGACATTGCCATACACAGCAAATTTTTATGGTCCAGTCGCTTTCATAATGACATTGCTTTACACATAAATTTTTATGGTCCAGTCACTTTCACGTGGACATAGCTGTACACAGCAAATTTTTATGGTCCAGTCACTTTCATAATGACAGTGGCTTACACTGTTGATTATTAAGGCCCAGTCACTATCCCACTCATGGGAACTGGCTGTACATTCTCATGTACTATTCTTGCTTTTGTAGCCAGTAGGATGTACTGCACACACATCCAGTGAACTATACAACCTGTGCACCTTTTTAGAGACAGTTTTCAATGACTAAGACTAGCAGTTAGCAGCTTATTTTGTCAAAAATAGAGTGTAGCTGCTGTTTTTGTCCCTACTATACGTCTTGAATATCCTGTTCTCGTTATAAATTTTCCTTACTGCATTGTAACTGATGAACACATGCTACAGCTAAAATAACTTGATCGATGATGGAGTGTATAGATTTTTGTTAAATACGTGTGTGTAAAGAGGGCGGAGGGGGTTTAAGTTGTAGACCTAAGGTGTGTCAATCAAAAAAAAAAAAATATCTAACACTTAGGTCTAAGTTTTCGTGTTCAAGGCTGATCTTCCCTTCCCACCAGCCAGATAGTAGACGTATTGTGTGACCGTGTCACGTGTTCGCCAACTCATCTGCCTGAACTCGGTCACATAACTGAGTGATAATATTAATAACTCTCATTTTCGTTTTGATAACAGCTCTATAAATAGGAACAGGGGACTTAAGTAGTGTGACTAAGGGAGTAAACTATTTTTTTTTTACTGATATAATTAAGACGACACAATTAGATTAGATGATTAACTATCATTGATTCGTAGCATTTTGTTTACCAGGTGCACATAAGCCACATAACCTTTTTTTTAAAAAAAAAGAAATACAATAACAATCACAGTATGGATGGGAGGAGGTGCTCATAAATTGCACGTTGCAGTTTGGGTCGATTTTTGCCGTAGAAGTGTAATAGAAAACTAAAGAAAACTATGTCCATAGATCTGCATACTGTAATGTCAGATTGTGTTAATCTTGTTAATACAGTTTATTGGTTTAGTACTTATTCCAAAATATTTAGCTACATGAAAATCAAATCTACATATATCTCATCTACGGTGACGGGAAACATGGTCAAAGGAAAACCGAGCAACGGAAAACCGCACAAAAATGTGCGCAAGGGAATTTGTATTTTAAAAGTTAAGCACTTACAGACGGTAGAGAAGAAATGACCACATGTTCATTGTAGCGTAATAAAACCTTTTTTTTTTCACGAAATATGTCATTTTTTTTCTGGGAACCCACGCCCTCACCTAATATCTTTCTCACCCCCTCCCTCGCGGTAAACCATCAAAACAAAACCCAAGTCTGATACTATCCTTCACGCTTAGTCAATGGCGGTTCAGCCTTGTGGTGTTTTCCAATAGAGCCCCCCCCCCCACACATATGTGTACGTATCGATGGGACGCAGATGGCCGAGAAGGTAGCGGTTTCTTACTTCAACAGTCTCTAGTTCTGATGTTTACCTGCCGGGGACAGTAAAGGCAGCCGGACACGCGCAGGCTCTTATATAGGCGACTTCGTAGAATCGAAGCCATGATGTTGCTAGTATGGCCACCCTTATCCTTACCTTATCAGAGACACGTCGCTGAATTGTTCCACCGTTGTTTTTATAAGAAATGTCGAGGTTATAAAAACTGATTAACTTTACCTCGTATTCTACCTCATTTTCAGGCATCCCTTCGAATGAATTAGAAGAAAAAGTTATATAGAAAATAGATACGTTTGTCAGTAAGGTTAAACCTCTCCCCCGGTAATGTGTCCGCCAGGGGCGGAACTACAGTGCCGCCAGACCCCGCAATGGGGCCGTTTAGGGGCCCACAGTCGACCATAATCAATTTTTTTTTAGTTAAAAAAATGAATTTTCTTTAATTTCTGACTCGATGGTTGTTTTGTAAAAAGAATACTGTAGCTGCGGTTGGATTATCTTTATTATATATATGGGGGGGGGGGGGTGTGCAAACATTTATTTTGCGTGGTGGCCCTTTTTTTTTTAGTTCCGCCACTGGCGTCCGCCCTATATCCTTCCAAATAAAAATATCTGAAAGAAAAACTATATTCTGCCATGAACCACTGTATCGGAAAATTAATTTTTTAAAATGTTTACCCGAGTATACGAAAAAACCCAACAACAAAATACCACAGTTATGAGTGAGTTATACTGCCATTCTACGCAATACAGCAATATGGCGCGGCGTGAAGTTCAAAGTACCCAAATCAAAGACTAAGCTGTGTGGACTAAACAAATATAATCGATTTCATTGCGGTTCGCTACCCCTCCCTTACTCACCAACAAAGGTTAATGTGTTGATATTGTTAATACCTTATCTTTGATGTGCAATATGTTTTATATGGTCTTTCCATACAACACAAATAAATATGTTGATATTATTCATGTCTGATCTTTGATGTACGTATTTTTTTTCCTGACCTGGACATGACGTGCTTTTTATCATTCCCAGTAGCCAGTTGACCGACAGAAACAGGAAATCATGCATCGCTCACGGCGTCCAGGACAAGCGCACGTGCATTTGTGACCACGCGTGAACGGGTAACCGCACGATTGAGGTCAGGACCACCTTTTTTTTTTTTGTTGGATCCGGCCGTCTACTACACCCATCACCCATCATCAGTTGTAACCATTACTAGCCGTCGACGTAAGCTCTGGCCGTACATCGTAATACGAACTCTGGCCGTCCATTACAACACGAAATTTTGGCCGTCCATTTCAAAAGCAATCTCGGCCGTCCAGTGTAACGCAAACTTCAGCCAGCCATTGCAACAATTTTGGCCGTCAAACGCAACACGAACCCCGGCCGTCCAAATTAACACGAACCTCGGCCATCGTTAACATCACAGCTTTTGACCGTCCATCGCATGCTGCAGATGTATAGGAAAAATTCCCGGCCTCAGACCAACGATGGCACCACAGTGGATGTAGCCTGACCAGGATGGCGTGTGATCCGATGACAGTGTCCAGGTAAGGGCGTGGTTGTGTGTGTTTAACATGGATAGCGTTGATCCTGAACACTTACCTGTGGCAGCGTTGTCGGGTTACGGTAATGGCGGGATAAACGGTTGGGTGGTTTTTAATTAGGGCATGACTCACAGTTGGTTGTTAGCTTTACATTTACAGTTGCTGTTAGTTTTTAATTGATACTCTATGCACCATCCTATGAAACTAATTAAGTATTATCATATATATATATATATATATATATATATATATATATATATATATATATATATATAGATAGATAGATAGATAGATAGATAGATAGATAGATAGATAGATAGATAAGATAGATAGATAGATAGATAGATAGATAGATAGATAGATAGATAGATAGATAGATAGATAGATAGATAGATAGATAGATAGATAGATAGATAGATAGATAGATAGATAGATAGATAGATAGATGTTTTTTTTTTCATTTATTTATGTGTGCACTTATAGCATTTCTACTCTTGTTTTTAATACACGTTTCCTTGCATTGTTTTCACGTAACTTCATCGGACCTCAATCAAATGAAAACTACCAAGTAAAAAAAAAAACATTTTCTTATAATAAAATGCACAGTAGTTTATTTAAACACAAACCTGTAAATAATAATGGAACTGAAAAATTTATTACCGAACAGACTATTAAACATTAACCTAATTATATACCGAGTATAAATTTTCATTGAAACTTTGAGTATTATTTTTATGGCTCGTGTCTCCCCCTCCCCTCACCGAACGTATATAATACATATTGATCTATCCCTCAACCCCCGTTTTTCGCCCATATACATCTTCTACATCTGTGACACCTGGGCAGAGATTACCTCCCTTTTTGGTCGATTTTAGCGAGGTCGTGTCTTAGCTCCCTTCTTAATAAACCAAAGTACAAACTACTAGTTAAATTGATATGGTTTCTTTATGTTGTTCGCGTGTGCACTTTTTTTAGAAAGTAAAATCGGATGGGCAGTAGCACTGACCACACTATCTCGTAATATTTACAGAAACGTGACCTAAACTCTAACTGTACTTATGACCGCCAGCTCCAAAACGGGTAACACTATTTAAAACGCAATACCCCCCCCCCCCCGATAAGCATTGAGTCTATGCTAATATAATAGTCAATTAGCATAGCTTATTTTTATGTGTGCTTTGGTCTTGTAGTTATATTTAAACGTCTGTCGCCATACATACGATATGTCCCGTATACATAGGATCTGTCCCCCATACATACGTTCTGTCCCGTATACTTACGGCCTCTCCCCATACACACGCTCTCTCCCCCCCCCCCCCCACACGGTCTGTCCCCCATACATACGGTCTGTCCCCCATACATACGTTCTGTCCTCCATACATACGGTCTGTCCCCCATACTTACGGTCTGTCCTCATACACACGCTCTCTCCCCCCCCCCCCGCCCCCCCCCCCCCACGGTCTGTCCCCCATACTTACGGTCTGTCCCCCATACATACGGTCTGTCCCCCATACTTACGGTCTGTCCCCATACATACGCTCTGTCCCCCACCCTCAGACGTACTGTCTGTCCCCTATACATATGCTCTTTCCCCCATACGAACGGTGCGGCAATAAAGTAAATTACCACCAAGGACTGTTTGATTGCACTCTCTATGTAAATAGCATCAAATGGATGCGTTTAATGAAGGCATAAATTGATGTTGCATTATAATATTACATTGGTTCTCAAATATATCGCTTATTTTCTTAATTTTAGATATGTTGTATTAAACAATAGAAAGTGTGTTAGACTCTAAATGGAAAGGAAAAAAAAAACAAGAGCACATATTCACCCAATATTATATATATATATATATATATATATATATATATATATATATATATATATATATATATATATATATATATATATATATATATATATATATATATATATATATATATATATATATATATATATATATATAAACCGGGAAGTTCATCGTTCAGTTTAAATTTTAGATCAATACTTAGTTATCTACATACAATGTATCTCTAATAAATCGTCCCCTCCACGTTTCGGTATTGTAGAACACAGTTTGGGAACCCTCGGATTAATCAATACCACTGCAAGAGTAGATCTTTTGTCTAATCGCCTTCGTGTACTGTTGCCGTCCATTGTATTTTAGACTGCGCGGACTGTACTGTGAGAACCGTCAATCAGAAAAACAGATGGGATCTCTTGCCGTACGTGTATCAGCCTCGTTCTCCTGTGATGGCCAGGACAATAACTTATTGTGAGTTAAGGCTTTTTACTGTTGTGAGTTTTAGCTTGTGACAGCAGACTTGTGTGTGTTGCCATTGAGTAAGTTGTGCTATACGGTGCTCGCGTTTAGTGGCGAGAATTCAACGAGATCTCTGCGAACCTTTGAGTTTTGTGTGGTTATTGGACACCACGGTTATCTTATGTTTACCTTTAGATCTAGTTTAATAAGATGGTAAAGTCTAGTACGCTAGTGGTAGAACACGTGATCACCGAATATGTAGATTCATCAGGGTCTGGACTTGGTATCTAGATGCACAGATTCTCGTGAGCCCGCCCAGCCCTAATGGATACCCAGCAGTAATTGGCTGGAAATAAAAAGGCGTCCTAATTTCGTCTTCTGGTTGATTTTATAACAACAAAATAATTCAACCTTTCAAAATAAGCAAAAATTTATAACAATTTAGTTATTTTGTCTTACTCCCCCCCCCTTCTCTCCCCCACCCCCACCCAGAATTAGCTTATCAAGCTCTTTGTGTCAGTCAAGCTCTCTCGACTCGCCTGCTATAAAAACAAGACCTCTAATTCACGTTCAACAGAACTCGTAAACACGACCGCCCTGCTTTTTCACAACGTTGAGCATGCTGTGTAGTTAATAGACGTATGAGCATAAAACTGCGAGATTTTTTTTTTTGTTCTACAATAACAAGCTGACCTATAAGAAACGGTTTATCGATAAAGATAAGAAAATCAAGGGTTAGAAATATAGTATCATCTGTCAATGGAACTTTGAAGGTGTTTTTTTTTTCTTCTTCTTATATCTAACAAGTGGTGGATTTGCTTGTTTATCTATACTCTACTATGCCGTGTTAGTGTTTGCTAATTGAAACATCACCACCTCGATGTATGGGCGTGTCGTGTCGTGTAGTGCATGGATAAAACATCATCACCATCTGACAGTGGCGTGTGGTGTAGTGTACTGAAGAAACGTCAGCTGACATCAAAACTAAAACATCGCATAACACAATGTGCCGGTAATTGCTCGAATTTGATCAGCTCTGGAAATTCCCGATTTTATCCTTAATATAGCCTAGCAGTTGGCTTTTAACTCAACACGCTGGTAGTGGATAACCGACGAGTGTTTCTTCAGTATCAACTGGACATACACCACAAAGAGTTGTGAGTTATTAGTTTTTTTTTTACTTCTCTACCACATCAGGTTTATTTGGAAACAGTTTCTGTCATCGGTATCTTAACACTGCCTTTCACGCTGACCATAACTCTAACAACACACAGGCCGGGAAAAAAAAGCATCCTGCACGTCTTTTACTTCTATTAGCAAAAAGTATATAGGACTTTATCATGACAACATTCTTTTATGGGGTTTCTCATGCTACACATATAATTTTTCTTGCTAGATACAATTTTAGTCCCTTTGTTTTTTCTTCCGCACATAGATCTTTTGATGCTCTCTTTCCCCGTGTTAGTAAAACGACCCTGGCAAGTTAATGCCGTCAACTTTATAAATAAATGTATGACCTAAGTCAACATTGATTTGAGCTAACTTTGAGTGTGTGTATGACCTAAGCCAACATTTATTTGACCTCAAATTGAGTGTGTGTATGACCTAAGCCAACATTTATTTGACCATAACTGGTGTGTGTGTGTGACCTGTCAGCATTGATTTGACCTCAAATTGAGTGTGTGTATGACCTAAGCCAACATTGATTTGACCACAGATTAAGTGTGTGTATGACCTAAGCCAACATTGATTTGACCACAGATTAAGTGTATGTATGACCTAAGTCAGCATTGATTTGACCTCAGATTAAGTGTGTGTATGACCTAAGCCAACATTGATTTGACCACAGATTAAGTGTATGTATGACCTAAGTCAACATTTATTTGACCACAGATTAAGTGTATGTATGACCTAAGCCAACATTTATTTGACCATAACTTGAGTGTGTGTGTGTGACCTGTCAGCATTGATTTGACCTCAAATTGAGTGTGTGTATGACCTAAGCCAACATTGATTTGACCACAGATTAAGTGTATGTATGACCTAAGTCAGCATTCATTTGACCACAAATTGAGTGTGTGTATCACCTAAGTTGGCATTGAATTTATCACAACTTGAGTGTGTGTATGACCTAAGCCAACATTGATTTGACCACACATTGACTGTGTCGCAGCCTATTGATTTCATCCAATTAAGTTTCTGCACATATTCAAGCTGTACTTGTGCTCCTATCAATCCTCTCAATCAGGTGCCCTGCAGGTATTAAACACACTTTGTCTTTCTTCGCGCATTTGGTATGTGTGTGGTGATCTACTTGCTTACATCACAAGTATATAATTACCTACTTGTCCATATTAAGTGTATCAGGACCTAGGCCTACTTGCCCATAGTAAAAAGTGCGTGATGATTTTTTTGCTTATATTAAAAGTGTGTGATGATCAAATAGTCCATATTTATAAACTGTGTGGGCTGACCTAATTGTCCAAATTTAAAAAGTGTGTGATAACCTACTTGTCCCTATTCTACCATAAGTGATGACCTACTTGTCTATATTCTACCATAAGTGATGACCTACTTTACTACTTTAAAAAAAGTGTGTGATAACCTACTTGTCCTTTTAAAAAGTGTGTGATGACCTACTTGTCCATATGCTACAACCAATGATGACCTACTTGCCTACATTAAAAAAGTGTGTGATAACCTACTTTAAAGTACAATGTGTCGATAAATGACGAAA